GATTTTTTCACACAAAAAAGTTACCATCTGTAGAAATTCATCGCCAGTTGAGTAAGGTACTGGGTCCCGCGGACGGTTTTTAAAAAATCACAAAATCGGTAATTTTTAATCAAAACTGAAGGTACTGTTGCGTCTTGTAGAACTTCGGATTTCACTGTTTTTTCACTTGAAACTTCTAGAGGGTAGTTTGATAGATTATTTTAAATGAAAAAAAGGGTGGATGAAGCACGCTTTCCATGCATTTTTTCCCAAAAGACGTATTTTTCTACCATTATTTACACCGCCATCTGCCATATGACGACGTTGACGTCATATATGAGAGGCGCTTGCCTGCGGTGTTGCCGGATTGGGCTCCGCATTCAAGGAAAATGAAAACTGGAAAATCTATACAGGGTGTTTCAGTTTATTGTTGCATAACTTTAAGATTCGATAGAACTTTTAAAATAAATGCATAAAGTCTATATAAACATGGGTCGAAAAATGCGTGGCTTCCGAAATACAGGGTGTTTAAATTTACTTTCTAAAATATTTTTTTTTTAAATATTTCGAACAATATTTGATGTATAACAGTGAAAATTGGTATACGAGGGTTTCTTGGTACGACAAAACGAACCATGGGCATAGTTTTACTGTAGCCGCTAGAGGGCGCTCTCTACTGTACCTGTAGTGTATTAAAATGACCGAAAAATTTTTCTTACTGCAATTTTTTGCTCTTTGAATTAAAAAAATTATTCTTCGTACTTTTCAACATAAAAAAGCTCTCTTGTGAATTTTCGTTATAGTTAGCCGTTTTTGAGATATTTCGATGTTTAAGGTTCGATGCATTTTTAATTATTTATGATAAAATAACGTTAAAAAGTCAGTATCTCGATAATTTTTAGAAGTAGGCTGTGCCTACAAATATTTTTGAAATTGAAAGCAGAATAAGGTTAAACGTCAATTAGTTGACAGTTAGTTTTGTTGTCTGTTGAAACCTGAAACGTTTTTTTGCAATTGTGAATCCACGAAATTCAGTTTCTTTTACCCGTTTTTTTTTTGAAAGTTTTATAAAAATGCCATTTTTATTCTCCAATCAAGAGTTAGCGGATATTCATTTTGTGTATGGCTTTGTAAATGGAAACGCAGCAGAAGCAGCCAGAGAATACGCACGAAGATTTCCAAACAGACGACATCCAACTCGCTCAGTATTTGTACGAGTGCATCGCCAAATATTGAAAATGGTTTTGGAAATCTCCAAAATGATCAAAACATAAATGTTCGTCAGCGCAGATTTACCCGTATGATTCTGCGTGAGTTTGAAAGAGATCCGACCACAACTGCTAGGAGAGTTTCTGGTGCCTTGGGAATTTCAGCAAGCCATGTTCACCGTGTTCTTAGAAATAACCATAGACGTCCTTACCATTTGCAACCTGTGCAAGGACTACAGCCAGGGGACGGAGAACGAAGAATCACATTTTGTCATTGGATTCTTGATAGTACTGATAATAATAGGTAGTTTTTAAGTAACGTGTTATGGACCGATGAGTCATGCTTCACTAGACGTGGAGTGGTAAATTTTCATAATCAACATATTTGGTCGCATGAAAATCCGCATGCAGTTCAGGAAAGAAATTTTCAGCAAGAATTTAGTGTGAACGTGTGGATTGGTATCTACCGTAATTGACTATTTGGACCCTACCTTTTGCCTGCAAGGTTAGATGCTGCGACCTTCTTGGAATTTTTAAAGGCTGAACATGCAAATATTTGGGATGATGTTATGTTAGATTTAAGAAGATTAGCCTGGTTCCAGCTTGATGGTAGTCCAGCGCATTATTCGAGAATAGTTAGAAACTGGCTGGACGAAAATTATCCAGAAAGATGGATCGGCCGTGGAGGACCAGTCGCCTGGCCTCCACGATCCCCTGACCTAAATCCATTAGATTTCTTTGTGTGGGGATTTCTAAAAGTAAAAGTGTACCAGACTCCCGTAACCACAAGAGATATGCTAATAGACTGAATCAGGAATGCATGTGATGAAATAAGGCCTTATTTGAATAATGCTATACCACGTTCGATCATTCGTAGATGTGAATTGTGTATTGAACAATTGGGTTTACATTTCGAGCAACTACTTTAGATTTTGTATGTTTGTCCTAACTATCCAATAGCATTTTAGTTGTAAATAATTAATTTGATTTGTTAAAAATAATATTGGAAAATTAAACAAATTAATATTCTGTTTTTTGTGTTTATTTGGAGTTAGGAATTATTGCTGTGTTTAAAAACACAATATAAATGATCATCTTAATTACTTGTAATGCCCAAATCGAAAATGTAAAAAAAATATTTTTTTCCCATAAAAATTAAAAATGCATCGAACCTTAAAAATCGAAATATCTCAAAAACGGCTAACTATAACGAAAACTCACAAGAGAGCTTTTTTGTGTTGAAAAGTGCGAAGAATCCGCTTTTTTATTCAAAAAGCAAAAAATTGCACTAAGAACAAATTTTCGGTCATTTTAATACACTACAGGTACAGTAGAGAGCGCCCTCTAGCGGCTACAGTAAAACTATGCCCATGGTTCGTTTTGTCGTACCAAAAAACCCTTGTATACCAATTTTCACTATTATACATCAAATATTGTTTATTTAAAAAAAACTATTTTAGAAAGTACATTTAAACACACTGTATTTCGGAAGCCACGCATTTTTTGACCCATGTTTATATAGACTTTATGCATTAACTTTAAAAGTTCTATTGAATCTTAAAGTTATGCAACAATAAACTGAAACACAAAAAGGAAAGACTGAAACAAACAACAATAGCAAAATAAAAAGCGGTTCTTAATAAGTATAAAACAAAAAATAACAGTAGTAAGCTAATACACAATAAATTGTAAACACTTACAAAAACAAAAAATAAAAACAGTGGTAAAGCAAAAAAAAACAATACCATGAAATTATAAAAAAACAAAAACTAAACAGTAAAATAGAAAGCTATTCTAAGTGATAACAAAAAACAAAAAGTAAAAACAGTAGTAAAGTGAAACACAATTCCATGTAATTATACTAAGTGACATATAAATCCGAACACCCAGTTTAAATGGTTTTATTTTAATAAAATTTTGTATAAGTACTGAATGAAGCATAATAAGTAAATGATAAAAATTTCAAAATGATTGCACTGCTTTAAAGACCCTTTGACCTTTAATAATGTGTGGATGCACTCTGATGTGCTACGCATTCTCCAACGCGCCTAGGCATGCTTCTGATCAGGTGGTCAATGTCCTCCTGTGGTATCTCATTCCAGGCAACCACCAACTCCTCTCGAAGTGCTTCTAGAGTCTGAGGAGGACGTTGCAAATTGAGCAACCTCCTACCCATCATATCCCACACGTGCTCAATTGGGGATAAGTCGGGAGATCTTGGTGGCCATGGTAACAATGTGACATCATTATGTTGAAAGAAGTCTATTGTGACTCTTGCAACATATGGTCGGGCATTATCTTGTTGGAAAGTTGGATCTGCCAGGGTGTCTAGATAGGGTAAGAGATGGGGTTCTAGAACTTCGTGGATATAACGCTGCGCGTTCATGTTACCTCTGATGAAGATTAAAGGTGACCTGGAACCATAAGCTATAGCACCCCAAACCATAACTCCAACAGTGTGATGAACATGTCTTTCAACAAAAAACTGTGGATTCCTCATTTCACCACGTCGCCTTCTAACCCTGGCACGACCATCGTGCATGCCTAAACAAAATCGAGACTCGTCACTAAAGACAATACTGTTCCATTCCTGATCCCAGAGTGACCGTCGTCTGCACCACTCAAGGCGATTACGTCGGTGTTCTCGAGTTAAAGGGAGGACCCAGTGTGGCCGGTATGAAAACAAGCCAAAACTTCTCATTCGTCGGTAAACACTTCGCATGCCAATAGGTCTTCCGTGTTCTGCAAACCATTCATTTGCAGTGGACCTGGTAGTGGAGAAACGGTCCCTTAAGGCCAATAATCTTAGGCGGCGATCTTCACGGTCTGTTGTTCTACGGCGGCGTCCAGTACCCCTTGCTCTTTGCGTTCGGCCTTCTCTAAGCCATGCCTGACAACACCTAACCACAGTGTCTACACTTCTTTGCACTCTAACTGCAATTGCCTGAAAAGAAAGTCCAGCTTCCCGAAGTCCCACTATACGGCCCCTATCAAACTCACTAAGTTGACGAAATTGTACAGGTCTCCGTACTCTAGGCATCGTAACCGATCACAAAGGATGTCAAGAACCAAAATCCCCAACGTTGATTCTTTACTGCGGCTGAAATATTCATTTTTAGGGCGTTAGTGAATTAAAAAAAAGCAGTACAAAAACCGGAATGTCCAATTGATAAGGCTGAAAATTTTTTCACTTGTTATTTACAGTAAGATAAATACATTCACCAACTTTTATTAAAATAAAACCATTTAAACTGGGTGTTCGGATTTATATGTCACTTAGTATATAAAAAATGCTTTTTATTTTACTGATTGTTATTTGTTTTCTATAATTACATGGATTAGTTTTTTTTTGTTTTACTACTTTTTATATTTCATAAGTATTGACAATTTATTGTTTTTTAGCTTACTATCGTTATTTTTTGTTTCATACTTATTAAGAATCGCTTTTTATTTTGCTACTGTTATTTGTTTCAGTTTTTCGTTTTTGTGTTTCATTAATTAATATATGTATTATAGATTTTCCACTTTTCATATTTTTCCCTAAATGCGCAGCCCAATCCGGCAACACCGCAGGCAAGCGCCTCTCATGCATGACATATGCACAGACGCCAACGACATATGACCGATGGCGGTGGAAATAATGGTGAAAATAACTGCTAAAAATACAGCGTTTTGAGAAAAAATGTTCTAGACAAGCGTGCATCATCCATTTTTCATTTAAAATGACCTATCGGATTACCCTCTAAGTTTCACGTGAAAATACAGTGAAATTCAAAGTTCTACAAGACGCAACCAGTACCTGTGCAAATAACTATGCTCCTCTTTTTATTCCAGGTGAGAAACCCTACCAGTGTTCGTGGCCCAGCTGCACTTGGAAGTTCGCCAGATCGGACGAACTGACAAGGCACTACAGGAAGCACACGGGACAGAAGCCCTTCAGTTGTAACCTCTGCCAGAGGTCCTTCAGCAGATCTGATCATCTATCCTTGCACATGAAAAGACATTGACGATGTTGCGATTAGGTCGAGTTTCATTTTTACGACTCTGGTAGCTGCAGGATTTTTTGGTAGAATATTTTAGGTTTGCATTTGCGAATAAGTTTGTTCATGGTTTTTTCTGTCGTGGGTAAAATCTCGCCCTCAGTACAAGTCGCCCTTGTCTTACTTAGATAATACGAATAATTTCCCAGCGAAAATGTCTGCGAACGTTTTGAAATCAAATTTTGGGGGCGGACACACTTTCACATCACTTTCGATATCTAAACGGACCCTGGACAAAACTATTACGGACGCCCTTGCATAATTTTGGTGGTTTATTCCTTATTCTCTTGGTCACCTTACAAGATCCATTAGATTGGACGAAAATATATTTGAGAAATGAAACAACCCATGGCATCTAAAACTATATTGAATCTGAAAATAAAATTCTTATACAGGGTCAATGATTTTCTGGATGTTTCTGCCTGCATTTGCTGCGTTTTCCAGAAATCACCATTATTTGAAACATAAAAACTCCCAACAATAGTATCCATTTGAAACACGTCTCATTATTCTGCAGCATACCAAGCGTAATCTAGGAATAATTGTAAAAAGACAGTCCTTGGGATATAATAGAAATATAAGTGCCTTAAAAATTAAATATCACTTATCAAAAAACTGATTCAAAGGTGCTAGATAAAAAACAATAGTTTTATATGCAGCAAAATATAGTTTTTATCGTCACCATGCTTTACTGTAATCAGCAGAATGTTGGTGGCATTAAAACGTTTCTAGTTTTTGAAATATTTAGCAACACAGTTGATAAATCCAAATATTAGCATTCGAACGCTTGCTGTACAAGTCAGTCCGATTTCATGACTGCTAGGCGTAGTGTGTGTTGCTGTATGGCCGATGGTTGTGAAGAAGCTTTATCTCACACTGTCGTTCTGGTCCCACCTTCGAGATATCTAGTGCCTTCACATAAAAATAACAGAAACCATCTACCTATTAAAAAACAAGACCAAGGTGATATTGAGAAAATTCTCGTGTGTAATATTTCTCCAATGCTGCATATGAAACTACTAATGTTACCTATAATTTATTTTACTGTACATATTTCGAAAGGTATTTTACAAGAATTATTTCTTTACGAATGTATGTATATAAAATTTTATCTTTTTGGAGTCACATTTACAGTTGTATATAAAAAAGAGTTTTTGTAAAAAAATATACTCCACATTCCTATCCTAGGTTGTAAGATAACAGATTGGAACAGGTGCCAGTACGAAGGTCAGATGTAAACAGAGTCCAAATATTAGGTAAATATTCTGCGTACAGAGTTCCTAATGAGAAATTGCTGATGTAATTGCGTTCGTAAACACGTTTATAATTTTTTATTTTCTACGAAATATACGTGAAATGAACAGTTCGTGTACGTGTAGAGACGTAAAATTTGGAAATACAGGACCATGCTAGACTAAAACACATCAAATTATATTTTCCACATTTTATTAATTGCCTCACTTACAACCAGCGTTGCCAGACGTACGATAATTATCGTTTCTGTTCGATAATTTCAAGTACTGTACGATGTACGATACTATGTGTAGGATAAAAGCTGAATGTACGATAATTTTGCGAATAAGCTTTTTTACTGACAGATGTTGAATCAATTAACACCAGCAATCAACTATCATTGTTGCCTCTTGGTAGACAAGCGCGCGTACCCCACTCTGTATAATGGGTTGCCTAGCATTACGCGGACTATCTCGGCAAACATCAACAGGAAAAATTGCCGTCAATCAGTTCTCACGTTCTATATATTGACATGACGCGCATATTTTTATTTACCCGTGTGCATTAGATGAAATGAATGCGACGTATCCCGTTTTTGTGACTTTTAAAACTTAAAAATTATAAGATCGTTTTCAGTTATTTTCGATATTTAACCGGTTTCAATTCAATAACGATAATATGTCGGATTCCGAATCAAGTTGCTCTGGAAGAGAGAAACATAACAAAAGATGCGATACTCTCGAATCCAGAAAACAACAAAAAGGAGCGGAATCTTTGAATAAAGCCAAACACAGACAGCAAGCTTATTGGAGAAAGTGGGAAACAAAAGAGCCACCCGAGACGGAAATTTTCCTTCATCATGAATCCTGAGAGAACCGAAGGCACGGTGTGGGATAATGTACGATAATTTTGACGTGTTTGTACGATAATTCCCTGCGACGAATCTGGCAACGTTGCTCGCAACGTTATTTTTCCGGTCATTTACTAATGAATCAAATTCAAGCGGATAACCAAATGGAAATGGTATTTACCATTTTGGATTGGTATTTACCGATCCGTTCAAGCGAGTGTGGTTATCAGTTTGGTTATAAGATCCATGACGTCATGAATCAGCTGTTATATGTCATAGTTATCACCGCAAAATTGTGGTATTTACCTAACTCGGGAGTAGTTTTATATTTCTGGTTATTATTTGACATGTGACAAGTTAGAATTTTGCCGGGTATTGAATATTTTTATTGTACTTCAGCTTCATTTTTGGGAAACTTGATACAGGCTGATTTCAGTTTTAGCATAAGAGATCACCTTATTATTTATAATCATTACTGTTGTTGTGGATACTTTAAATCTAGTTCCTACGCTTAACAAAGTATCCTGTATAGCCATATACCACAAGAATATTAAAATATGGCCGTATAAACTCACTGGATGATGTCCACCTGTATACGGTTTTGTTAATATCTTTTTTTCATCGCTTTTTCATCATTTCTGCTAAATCAATAAATATTTTCTTTGACATGCGGAGAAGTTTAGAGAATTGAAAGTTATCATAGCTACAAAGCCATGGTTCCATCAATAAAAAAAATTTTCTGAAAAAAAAAACATTCCTCCCATTAATATTATGAAAGTTTTCTTTTTTTCAACTTTCCATACGCCGTTGTAGACGAAAAAGCACCGATTATTAAGTGATACTAAAAATAATCAGAAATTATATACGCGCTTTTCTAAAACAAACAACTTGCAACAAACCGCGGTTAAAACCAACGCGTTCAAGCGATTCGAGTAATTGACGTCATCATCCCGTGTGTCATCTTGAACCATATTATAACCGCGGTACATAATACGGAAATTTTGGTTATCCGCTTGGATTTGATTATGGACAATCGCCTGTAACACAGGAGAAAGCGTCCAAAGTTTAAACCTCCGATTATTTTTAACAGATAGGTACGTCAGAAAAAAATAAGTAATGAATTGAGTAAATAAAATTTCACGAATCTACCATATAGTCGAAATCACGAAAGATGGCGATTACGTCACCATTTTAGTCAGTAGTAAAGACAAACGACAGCGATTTGTGAATATTTTTTATTAAGTTTCAAATATGTTAGACAGAGACAAACAGAATTTTATTGTCTAAACAAACTGTATTGCTAATTTGCATGTATCCGACAACGATAGACGATGTTTTCATGTTGCATGATCGATCATATTTGAAAGGTGAGTAGAGGTTATGTTAAAGCAGGTTAGGTTGTTTTCGAATAATACTTTGGTCTTCAATGTTCCTGTCTTAAGGTGTATTCTACTCATAACTGTTTTTTCAAAACAAAAACTCCCCGCTAAAATTATTATTGAGGTATCACTTTAAACCATGAAATAAAATGAAAATAAAAATAATCAGTGAAATAACCTAACTTCGCAAAATGATAATTTATAAATTTTGTTGTCATATTATGTTCCCGAAATTGTGATTTTATCATCGACGTACGTCCATTGTACAATTTATAGTATGACGTAAAAGTCATCTTTCGTGATTTTGACTGTATACCAATATGGGACCACTCAAGTATTACATAAGCACTACAGGGGGACGGGGGTCTTCGCTTTGCTTATTTTTGATGACGAGGAATCGGAAAATTGTGACGGCACTCGACATTCGACCATATCAACAAACGGGCGTCTCTTTCTCTGGTATATCGAGTGACACTATTGCGCAAGAGAAATCGTATCGATAAAAAAAGGTATGTCGCTAGACTATAATCAAATTCAAGCGGATAACCAAATGGAAATGGTATTTACCATTTTGGGTTGGTATTTACCAATCCGTTCAAGCGAGTGTAGTTATCAGTTTGGTTATAAGATCCGTGACGTCACGAATCAGCTGTTATATGTCATAGTTATCACCGCGAAATTGTGGTATTTACCCAACTCAAGAGTAGTTTTATATTTCTGGTTATTATTTGAAATGTGACAAGTTAGAATTTTGCCGGGTATTGGATATTGTTATTTTACTTCAGCTTCATTTTTGAGAAAAATCATACAGGCTGACTTCAGTTTTACCATAAAGTGGAGCACCTTATTAGTTATACTCATTACGGTTGTTGGGGACACTTTAAATGTAGTTCCTATGCTTAACAAAGTATCCTGTGTAGCCATATACCACAAGAATATTAAAATATGGCCATATAAACTCACTAGATGATATCCACCTGTATACGGCTTTGCTAATTTCTTTTTTCATCATTTCTGCTGAATCAATAAATGTTTTCTTTGACATGCGGAAAAATTTAGAGAATTGAAAGTTATCATAGCTACAAAGCCATGGTTCCATCATTAAAAAAAAAATCTGAAAAAAACATTTCTCTCATGAATATTATGAAAGGTTTCTTATTTAAACTTTCCATATACAGTTGTAGACGAAAAAGCACCGATTATTAAATGATAATAAAAATAATCAGAGATTATATACGCGCTTTTCTAAAATAAACAACTTGCAACAAAACCGCGGTTAAAACCAACGCGTTCAAGCGTTTCGTGTAACTGACGTCATCAACCCGTGTGTCATCTTGGACCATATTATAACCGCGGCACATAACACAGAAATTTTGGTTATTCGCTTGGAATTGATTAATGTCTCTTTCTCCAAAAAAAGCACTTGCATCTTGCATGTCAAGTGACGTGTATCACACGACACGAATCGCGTTCATAAATGTACACTAATCGTTCAGTCTTGAAAGTGCATCAGATAAAATGTAACAAATACGTTTTTGTTCTGCAATTTCTCAAAAACTCTGATGCGGTATGGGGCCTTATGACATGTCGCATACCAATAATGCATTTTACAACTGCTAAACCCCTAATTTTGTAATAAATAAGTGCAATTAAAGATACTTCATAGTATAGTAAATTACTTGTATGATGTTTTGTTAAGTTTAAATAGATTTATTGATATTTATAGTTGTTAGCATATAGTAGATTTTATACTAAGTTGTTTTTAAGCTGTAGATTCCCAGAAACAGCAGGGTACGAAGTACTCAAGGTATTTCCTTAGCACATTTTTTCATACTATCAATATAGATTTTTTTGCCAGTACTAGGGGCCAGTATATTATTTTATAGTTTTACTTTTAAGTTCAACATTGTCATATTATTTGGATCTCTAATTATGAAAATATTCCTATGATAAGATTTACATCGGATACTGAACTATTTTTTGTCAAAGGAATATATTTATTTATGTTACTAGGTTGTTTAAAATAAAACTGTGGAAGGGTAATATGTTTTATTTACAAAATACATAAAAAAAAATATTCTTCCTATGAGGTAACAAGTGGTGATGGTTGTAGATATTATGACCAAAAACAAAAAAAAAACATACAAAAGAAAATTGCATCAAAAATCACTGAACAGTGACTCAGCATCTATATCTTCAAATAGATTTTTCCAAATTTCTGTATGCTCACTTTTGTCAGTTTTAACTGAAACCTGACTAAAGCTGATATTGTCATTTTTTGAACCAGCAGGCTTCTTGAAATTAAATGTCTTGGCGCTATTTGACGTACTCGTTTTCTCAGTAACATTATCCCTTATGCAACATCCTGATGGAGACTTCAAAGTATTAACTATATTCGATCCATGACTTGGACTGTTTAACAGACGTTTATCACTAGTTGTACTAAATATATTACATAATGAATTTGTTGTAACTTCATCACTCTTTGTCCTAATATTAGATATCTTATTCACTTTACTACCACAACTAGTCTTTGCAACTTCCAAACATTCGTTATGGTTTTTCAACATTTCATTTATGTTTACTTTCTGTACTTCAATTATTTCAACACTAGTTTTTTTATCACGGTCTATCTTTTTCGTTTGTATAGAGTATATTCTAACTAAATTATTTTCTGTTATAGTTAAACAATAGCTATTCTGAACACACAGAACTCCAAAGGACTTGAGGACTAACACTGAGCCTGTTGTTAAGTAGTCCAATTTTTCTTTGTACAAGCTATGTAAAATTGTAGCTTGGATACAACCTAGAAAAGAAAGAAATTAATATATACCATCCCAGGTCAGCTATGAAATAATATCTGATCATCCTGTCCAACAAGTTTTAAGTTCCAAATAAACGCAAATGAGTTACCTGTAGGATCCTGTAAGGTGACATTAACTGTAGGAACTTGTCCGTTGGTGATTTCATAGCTTTGTATCACTGCAGCCAAAAATGGAGCTTTGAACAACTTTGAATTTGACTGTTTCTTTATCCAGGCAATGTTGAACCTCTCGTAGATTGTGCTGTTATCATACAATATGCAAAAATCTTTAGTCATTTGCGTCCAAGGACCATCTTCAAACGTTGACATTGTTCGTTGAGAGCACAGAAAAAAGCTCTAAAAATAAAGTAACATTGAGAATATTATAAAAATTTAAAGATTATAAAACATGAGCACCCAGAGGAAGGTACCAGGAGGGTCATGCTACCTCCCCTGGGTTGCTTCCTTTCATATACAATATTTGAGATTTTGATGATTTAGCCTCCCCTGGGAATTTGTCTGTGGGACTAATACACTTTCACAATATCTGGGAAAGACTCATGCAAAGCATTATTGAAAAATCTTACGTCGATTTGAGAATCATTTTTAGCTGTCGAGCAAGGCGCGAACACATCTGAATTATCCATGAGGCCCGCAGGCCCTGGGAACCTTCGTGTTACAACTTTGGGTGATGAGTTAAAAGTATTGTTTTCATGTACTGATTCACAGCTGGGGTATCTGAGGTTTGTTTCTTTTTCGTATTGTTTGGGTTTCTTTTTCAAAGGTTCATCTTCTTGAAGAGTTAGTACAGCAGTGCTGCTTTTATTAACTGCCTTTTGATTTGGAGCAGAGACTGGTGCTTGACTTCCGTCCCTTTGCTGTGTGCTGGTTATAACAGATGAGAACGACGAGTCTAGAAAATCCTTCAGAAAATTATTGATGGGAATTAACGTAGTACCTTTCTAACTTACATCATCAAAATCAAAATTTGAAGTATTTTCGAACATTTTTAGAATCCTGCACAATTTTAGCGGGTTTTTATCGGACAAGAAAAAATACAAATTGACGTCAAGTGGTCAAGTGTCAACAAAGTCACTGTCAACGTCGCGAACGCCAACTTCAGATTAACTAGTGATGGGCAAAATCAAAATTCGATTACTTTAGCGAGGCGACGAGACGCGACGACGTGATTTCCACGAATCAAACGTTACACGTCGCTCCACTGCGCAGACCAACATTTGTTTATGTAACAAGAACTAGTGGTGCAAAAATTAAAATGAAAAGACTCCTTGATTCGAAGCACATTCGGAGTATTGAAATCTTCGGATGATTCCGCGCAGAATTAAGCGAGTGGAGCGAATATATCTAATGCGAATGCCGAGGCTATGTTGCCCGATAGATGTCACAGAATGAATGAATTTAATCGGAATCGAATTATTTTGTAACCGATCCTCAAGACGAATGCGAATGTAGAGAAGTGAGAAAGAACATCAGTTAAATAATATTAGTGTTAGATTCCACTACTGGAATAAGTAAGTAGTTTTTGTCTGGTCACTGGTCTCAATAAAATGTGGTATCTAATAACTTTTGTATGCTCCTCTATTATTTTTCCATTCACAATGATAACCATAAAACATATCTGTCGCACTACCAATCCGGCATGGGTACCATGTAAAAAACCTATAAAACGTCACAAAAAACATATATGTCATCTTGCAAACCAGGTAGTTTTTAGGGCGCAAACAGTCATTCCACGTTTGCTCACTAGGATCGTTGTGAACGTCCATCTAAGGAGGAATCACTCAACTAACCTACACGCATTATTGGTTGCATATGTTTTGTGAGGCCAAATGGTCCTTCTCTGTAGTTTTTTATCTCTGAGAAGACAGTTGTTTGAATAGCATGATCGCATCTGGATGATTTATGTGTATTGGTCTGAATGTGTATAAAATCAGTGATATTTGCTGTGTGAGAAAATCATTACTGAATATGCTGCCAATGAAGTATATCTATTGGCTGTGCCCGACGGGTTATTTTTATGTTGTGCTTTCTGAGGAGAGGTTATGCTCAAAGTTATAAATTACGAAAAACTGAGGAGAATTACGGGAAATCATCACCGCGCCCGCGTTGTGTATAATTACTGTTAGCATGTATATGGCTTGTAATTCGACAGTGTACAGTGAATATGATTATTTCTTATTTCTCTCATTTTTGAAATTCAGCAAATTTGTATATGTAATTTCCAGAATGGATAAGAAAAAGTGGATGCGCAACTAATTTCTGGCTTTGAATCTCAATTAAGTGTATTTGAGACAAGAACCCATTGTAATTATCATCAACACACAACTTACAGCTTAGACCTCCAGTAATGCCATCTCAGAAGTAGATTTTACATCACATCAGAGCCAAAGATTGATAACAAGCCTCATGATGTTTAGGCAACACGTACGACTAAGTGTTAAGATAACATCTTGTAGAAAAACCTACATAATGCCAAAAAAAGAGCATAATGTCAAAAAAATCGGCATAATGTCACTTTTCAAGATACGTGATACCCGTGCCGCCCTAATAATGATGTACATGGGACATAAAGTCCCTAGAACGAAGTAACATGATATTAAGGTAGGTATACAGTACAACAGTGAAGGTAAGTAGACTCTGAGCAACGTAACCTTAGGGAAAAGGATGTTGTTCTTTGTGGTGCCGTCTTTAGAACGTGTATTTTTAATTGTTCCAGCTTTCTCTCGAACACGCTTCCGAGATTGGATATTCTGTCTGTGGCCCGCCTCATACACCCTGTTTCACGAGCATCCATCACGCTTTGACATCTACTGAGGTGAACAGCTGATCAGCGACATTTTTGTGTTAGTCTGCAACGGTGGCAATAATGAATCGGGTATAAATCTAGTAAAACTTGTTTGTGACATATTGTGTTTTGTATGCAAATGAACTTATCTAAATGGTGCAAAATGATTCTGTAGTGTATAAAAAACCAAAACAAAATACGGCTCTGTATACCTTGCGTTGACCGATCCGTCAGAATTATGTGTCCTGTGCCAATATGGGGAATATTCAGATATTACTACATAATAAGTTGTCATTTTACCGTAATGGATACTCGTGAAATTGGATATATTTGTCCCATCTCTAGAAAATATAACCTTAAAACAAGCAATGTTTTGGAAAACAAAATAAAATTGAAGTGAAGACACTAGTGGTGTTCTAGTCCTTCAAATCAAATTTATATCACCCAGCGATAATGTTTCCTATATTCCGAAATGCCATAACTATCGCTGCGAGAAGGTTACCATCAGCAACTGGCCACTTGGTAGCTACATCCTTTCACATACTGTCCAAGCCAAGTATCATCAGTGCCTTGCAACCAGGCTTTCTGACTCCAGCACTGCAGACAGTTGTGCCTTCATGTGGCATGAAGGTGAGAGGAAGGCTGAGGCGGAGATGCAAGGATTGCTACTTCGTAATGAGGGAAGGACGGTTGTACGTGATGTGCAAAACGCACGGAAGGCACAAGCAGATGTCCATGGTGAAGGATCCCAAGAATACTTGGATACTGTCTCATGCTACACAGGGCAAAGTTAGACCTTGGTGAAAATGAGGTAGAATTAAGTATTGTGTATGACTTCTTGTTAGTTTAAATAAAGTGTAAATAAACGATCTGCTTATGATTTTATTGTCGTTAGGTAGTTATAATAAAAACTACAACAGATTCAAGAATCATATACTGATTGTAGGTGCAAAATCTAAAGAGGTTGAATGTCACTCCTCTCGAAGTGCTTCTAGAGTCTGAGGAGGATGTTGCAAATTGAGCAATCTCCTACCCATCATATCCCACACGTGCTTAATTGGGAATAAGTCGGGAGATCTTGGTGGCCAAGGTAACAATGTGACATCATTATGTTGAAAGAAGTCTATTGTGACTCTTGCAACATGTGGTCGGGCATTATCTTGTTGGAAAGTTGGATCTGCCAGGGTGTCACGATAGGGTAAAATATGGGGTTCTAGAACTTCGTGGATATAACGCTGCGCGTTCATGTTACCTCTGATGAAGATTAAAGGTGACCTGGAACCATAAGCTATACCACCCCAAACCATAACTCCAACAGTGTGATGAACATGTCTTTCAACAAAAAACTGTGGATTCCTCCTTTCACCACGTCGCCTTCTAACCCATCGTGCATGCCTAAACAAAATCGAGACTCGTCACTAAAGACAATACTGTTCCATTCCTGATCCCAGAGTGACCGTTGTCTGAACCACTCAAGGCGATTACGTCGGTGTTCTCGAGTTAAAGGGGGTCCTCCCAGTGTGGCCGGTATGAAAACAAGCCAAAACTTCTCATTCGTCGGTAAACACTTCGCATGCCAATAGGTCTTCCGTGTTCTGCAAACCATTCATTTGCAATGGACCTGGTAGTGTAGAAACGGTCCCTTAAGGCCAATAATCTTAGGCGGCGATCTTCACGGTCTGTTGTTCTACGGCGGCGTCCAGTGCCCCTTGCTCTTTGCGTACGGCCTTCTTGAAGCCATGCCTGACAACACCTAACCACAGTGTCTACACTTCTTTGCACTCTAACTGCAATTGCCCGAAAAGAAAGTCCAGCTTCCCGAAGTCCCACTATACGGCCCCTATCAAACTCACTAAGTTGACGAAATCGTACAGGTCTCCGTACTCTAGGCATCGTAACCGATCGTAAAGGATGTCAAGAACCAAAATCCGCCAACGTTGATTCTTTACTGCGGCTGAAATATTCATTTTTAGAGCGTTAGTGAATTAAAAAAAAGCAGTATAAAAACCGGAATGTCCAACTGATAAGGCTGAAAATTTTTTCACTTGTTATTTACAGTAAGATAAATACTCGTACATTCACCAACTTTTATTAAAATAAAACCATTTAAACTGGGTGTTCGGATTTATATGTTACTTAGTATACTTGACTTAAGTGGCGATTAATTTGGTAACGTTTTCGCGTGTAAACATCGGATGACCGCACGAATTTCATATCTGGCGGTGACGGTGATGAAGAGCTCTCCATTGCGCATGGCTGTCGGGCCAGTACTGAGCATCGCAAATAGGCGCTTCTTGTTGGGATAGGTGGTGGGGGAGCCGACAATCACGACGCTGTTGCCAGATTTCGCCAGCATCATGCGTGGCAATATTTTTGGGACAACCCTCGTAATTGCTGAGCGATTGCTTAGTTAGCAGTGACACTGATTCAAACTCAGTAGTTAAGAATGAATGAGAATCGCAATTCATCCCTGATTCTAAATGGATTTCCACTGTTGAAAAGAAATTTTTAACAGTTTTACGCCAGATGACTGCCAAACATTAGTTGACACTATGTCAAGACGTATCGAAGTTTTTTGAATTTGTAAAATATTTTACCTTTGTTACAAGAAAATGCAGTATTTTAGGCTGATATTAAATATTCGTATGTTACCGGAAATGGATTTTAGTTTTTAATACGTTTCCGTTAATATGACAAATTTTATAAAAAACTTAGTTTTGATAGTTAACTGAGACAAGGCTCGTATATCACAAAGTACTGCGTATTAATTGTAATATGCTAATTGGTAACGAGTCGCGAGTCGCGCTGAATACTGTAAAAACTATGCCACATGAAAGAGTTTATCAACAAGTTGTGAAAGATAAAACGACGCTGAATGCCGCGTCGCGCATATTTAACTAGGCGTTTATGATTATTAGTCGCTATCGTTACAAATCAGACACACTTCCACAAAAATGTAAATACACTGTTAATGTTCGGTATAAGGCGATGAGGATTGTGCTATTTTTGGCAATTATTGCTTTCCAAGAGGCGATAGGATTTAAAAAACCAAATATAATTCTGATCATTGGAGATGATGAGGTAAATATTTTTGATTTATTTCCTCCATAGCTGCCAAGAAAGACTATTTGGCTTATAGCTAATTTAAGAAGCATTTAGAAAAGATTGAATATTTTTATATATTATCTCGTCTGATATTGTTAAGCATGCTTAACGTTCATATAAAAATAGGTCCGCAAATTCTTCGTTCTCAAGATACAGGGTGTACAGCGGTAGTATACGTAGTTATCAAATTTTATCATTTCAAGGGATGGAATGACTTTGGGTTCCATGGCTCAAACCAAATTCCCACCCCAAACATAGATGCACTGGCATATAATGGGATCATCTTAGATAAATTTTACACTCAACAGACATGTACACCGTCAAGGGCTGCTTTACTGACAGGAGTATACCCCTTCCGTTTCGGTAAGGAATGCAATTTGCTTGTAAATTTTCGACCCTATACCTCAAACAAAGGAGCGTCAAGAGAAAAATTAGACCCTCGAATTATTATTGCCCTAGTATGTTTAGAAAACATCCTCTAGTCCTTAGCTTCGTATCCCTGCATGCATGATATACGTATCTTAGAACAAACTGCAGATATTAACTGCATGCATGCATTTAGAAAGTAATTAAATATTTTCTTGACATTCGTGAAAACGTTTCTTTTCCTCAAGGATTTCAAGGAAAGCCGATAAATCCGGGAGAAAATCGTTCTTTGCCGCTAGACACGCCGACAATGGCAGAACAGTTGAAGAAATTGGGATATTCCATGCATCTGGTAGGAAAGTGGCACCTGGGAGCAGCTTATAAACACGTAACTCCCACCAGGAGAGGCTTTGACAGCCACTTCGGATACTGGGCGGGTTTTGTAGGATATTTCGATTACATGGCGTCAACGGAGCTGACAAATACTACGGTACACCTTTTGATTTTTTATTTTGGAGTCGTTAGTCAAGTTCGCACAACTATTGAAACGCAATTACGATCAGGCACAACTCGAACCGCATGGGTATCATGTAAAAAACCTATTAAAACGTCAAAAAAAACCTATAAGATGTCATCTTGCAAGCTAGGTAGTTTTTACGGCACAAACAGTCATTCCACGATTGCTCACCAGGATCGTTGTGAACGTCCATCTATGGAGGAATGACTCAACTACATGCATTGTTGGTTGCATATGTTTTGTGAGGCCAAATAGTCCTTGTCTGCAGTGTGTGAGAAGAAAGTTGGTTGAACAGCAAGATCGCATCTGGATGATTATGTGTATTGGTCTTGTTATGTCGTGCTTTCTGAAGAGAGGTTATGTTCAAAGTTATCAATTACGAAAAACTGAGGAGAATCACGGGAAATCATTACCGCGTCCGCGTTGTGTGTAATTACTGTTAGCTTGTAATTCGGCAGTGTACAGTGAATATAATTATTTCTTATCTCTCTCATCTTTGAAATTCAGCAAATTTGTATATGTAGAATGGATAAGAAAAAGTAGATGCGCAACTAATTTCTAGCTTTGAATCTCAATTAAGTGTATTTGAGATAAGAACCCAATGTAATTATCATCAACACATACAACTTACAGCTTAGACCTCCAGTAGTGCTTACTTAATATCTTGTAGAAAAACCTTTATGCCAAAAAAAACAGCATAATGTCAAAAAAAAGTCGGCATAAGGTCACTTTCAAGATACGTGATACCCGTTCCGGACTATATCAGATAGTCATTTATTTCGCATGCCAGATTTATCCCAAAACCATTTTAATTTTTACCCGACTATTTGAGACGGGATTTCAAAATAAATTGCATGTTGTCATTGTCACTCATTTTGCTCTACAAGGTGGCGTAGTCATATTTTCAATTCGAGATTTCTTTTTTCGACTATATTAGAATTTTGTACGTTTAAATGGACTTTTCAGTCCTAAATAAATATTTTCAGAATTACACCGGTTTGGATCTGCACGACAACTTTGAGCCCCAGTGGCAATATCAAGGACAGTACGCCACAGACCTGTTCACCGAGAAGTCTTTGGATATCATTGACAAGCACAACGCAGATAAGCCGCTATTTCTTCTACTCGCACATTTGGCAGCGCATACAGGGAAAGATGGCATAGAGATTGGTGTCCCAAATATCACTGAAGCTCACGAAAAATATAAGTATATAGATAGAAAAGAGAGAAGACAATACGCAGGTGATGTTAGGACTTTTTGCTTCTCCCGCAAATTTTGGGAGTTTTTTTCTAACTACATATGAAAAAAACCAAGCTCGTACGAAACGTATTAATCTGATAGTCGTAACAATTTTTTTTTATTACAATCATTTTGTAAGAGATCAAACAATTTATGAATGAAAAGATTACGCTTTAATATTTATAAGTTTTAGATTTTAGGACAAAGCAAAAGAAAATGTTCAGAGTTGGGCATAGACTATCATTTTGGTACCTTTCTCCATTGTACCTGTGTACCTATATTTCCTATGAAATGGAACCCCAGATTTTGAATAAAAAACACTTGATATAGTCGAAATCACGAAAGATGACGATTGCGTCATCATTTTAGTATGTAGTAAACACAAACGACAGCGATTTGTGTATATTTTTGATGAAGTTTCAGATATTTTAGACAGAGACAAACATAATTTTATTGTCTAAACAAACTGTATTGCTAATTTGCATCTATCTGACAAAGATAGACGATGTTTTCATGTTGCATGATCGATCATATTTAAAAGATGAATAGTTAGGTTATGTTACAGCAGGTTAGGTTGTTCTCGAATAATACTTTTGTCTTTGGTGTTCCTCTCTTGAGGTATTCGAATCATAACTGTAGTTTTTTTTTTTCAAAACAAAAACTCCCCACTAAAATTGTTATTAAGGTATCACTCAAAACCATGCAACAATATGAAAATAAAAATAATCTGTGAAATAACCTAACTTCGCAAAATCATAATATAAGTTTGTTGTTATTATGTCCCTGACATCGTGATTTTATCATAGATTACTTCAGTATAATTTATCGTATGACGTAAGAAACATATTTAGTGATTTTGACTATATTAATGTGTTTCAATTATGTGAAATTATTCATAGTTTACTCATAAAATTGATACAAATTCTAACAAAAATGGGTCAGTTGATAACAAGTAGTTATTTGTGAGGAAAATTATGTATATACAGGGTGGCCGATATGTAACTGACTGGTTTGTATCTTGAATATTTGTGAAATGAATCTTAATCTTTTATTGAAACTTAGAAATTATGTATGAAAAATAACATCAGACAAATGTCCGCCTCTAGACAAACCTAAGCCCTCTTGATTCTTGACTCATTATTTAAGTACATGAAACGTTTTAACAATACGGACGCGTTGTGGGATCGCGATCAATTGGGCACATGTGCTTTAAACAACTACTACGGCGCCACCTAGTGGATTGTGTGTATCAAAAATAGCGCGCAATTTAAATGTCAGTTATACTCGTATATTGGCCGTCTCTGTATTACCGAAACTGTGCCGTTGTTTTTAGACGTTTATTTTAATTTCTATAATAACTTGAAATACATGAGTAAATTAACATTTTTATTTTTAAATTACAGAGGTCGTTAAGAAAATGGATGATTCTGTTGGAGAAGTCGTTCAAAAGTTGTCCCACCGAAAAATGTTAGAAAATTCCATAATCATATTTTTCTCTGATAATGGTGCTCAAACGGAGGGAATGTTCCAGAATTTTGGATCAGCTTGGCCATTTAGAGGAGTGAGTGAACTTTTTTGATACACTTTACTACAAAAATGGAACCCTTAAAAATCATTTTTTTCCTATGTAATCGTCCACCGAGGCAGCTTGAGAGGACAAAGGAACAGTGGCGTGGGTAGGATTGAATTTGCCTCTAACAGTCGGTCAGGTCTTCACCACGGAACAGAGGAGATTCGGGTTCGAATCCCATCAGCGCCCATTTTTCCTATCTCTCTCAAGTTGTTGTTTACTGAACATAACTGTCGGATGATGTAAACTTTTTTGTACACCGCGTGCGTGGCGATCCATACTGTCACGATGTACTTCATTATTGAAATGGGTAATAGGGGACGGTCAAAACAAGTCAAAAAGTTCCTATGACCCATGGTCCAGAAGTCAATACATTTTTGTCTAAATGGCTTTATAGTTTACAACTTTTAAGTGTTTTATATTGACCACAATCACCACAATCTTACTCATTTTTATAATCTAATCTAAAACGTTTTTAAATCGAGTAATTAACAAATAAATGGCATTAAGTTAAGCCAAAATTTGTAGTCAGTAAGTTTCATGAAATTAAATATTTAAAACTCACATGACAACAGCGCGTCGTCATCACTCTTATCGAACCGGCAATCGATCGCAAACGGTAACAGTGGTTAGCTATCTTTTTGCATAGTTTTGCGGCGTTGTCAGATTCCCGTTTTAACCCCCATGTCATATGAAACTTTTTACGTCTTTTAACCCCCTTTATCACCGATTTAAATAATGACTATTATAACGTTTACACCCTGTATATTATGTATTAAGGTAGATATGGTGTTATAAAATATTGCCTACATTGTTTTTTTTTCTATTGGCAGCTAAAATTTACGTTACTTGAAGGCGGAGTAAGAGGAACTTGCGTAGCATATAGTCCACTGTTCGAAAAAAGGGGGTACATCAATAAAGAATTGATGCATATCACAGACTGGTTGCCGACATTATATCACGCCGCAGGTAATACTGAGTTTGGAAAACCGAACGATTAGAAAATGTTCAATATAGTCGAAATCACGATTACGTCATCATTTTAGTCTGTAGTAACGACAAACGACAGCGATTTGTGAATATTTTTAAAGGAGTTTCAGATGTGTTAGACAGAGATAAACAGAATTTTATTGTCTAAACAGACTGTAATGCTACTTCGCATGTATCAGACAAAGATAGACGATGGTTTCATGTTGCATGATCGATCATATTTGAAAGATGAATAGTTAGGTTATGTTAAAGTAGGTTAGGTTGTTTTCGAATAATACTTTTGGTCTTTGGTGTTCCTGTCTTAAGGTATTCTACTATTTTTTTTTCTCAAAACAAAAACTCCCCACTAAAATTTTTATTGAGGTATCACTCAAAACCGTGAAATAAATGAAAATAAAAATAATCAGTGAAATAACCTAACCTCACAAAATCATAATATAAATTTGTTGTCATTCTGTTCCTGAAATCGTGATGTTATCGTCGACGTACGTCCATTGATTACTTCAGTACAATTATGGTATGACGTACTCGTAATATCAATCGTCATCTTTCGTGATTTTGACTATATATAGATAAGAATACAGGGTGTCCGCAAAGTTGGGGTTTTACTTTACACGACGTGTAGATCTTGAAAACATAAGCAATTTTTCTTAGTACCATATACACCAATGTCTTAAGGGAACCGAGATAAAGGGCGCTGCTACATCAAAAATATCTGAATACCGTCCTGTAGCCGCGACATCCCCGAGTGGTTCTAGGACACTAGCTCAACCCGACGACAGAACTGGGTCGGGGTCAGTGTGTCAGGTCAGTATGCAACCTTCAACCGACGGTTACGGTCACGCGTGTAGAGGTAAACGAACCCGTATAATCGATTGCGTTTCAAAAAACAACAAGCACTAGAGACGTGGCTAGAGAAGTGCAAGTATCAAAACCTAAAGTGTGGCAAACGCTGCGTGAAGAGGGGCTGTATCCGTTTCACGTCCAACGTGTACAAGCCCTTCAACCTGACGATTTTCCAGCAAGAGTGCGGTTTTGTGAGCGGTTGTTGCATCAACATGACAATAATCCGGACTTTTTGAAGTGCATATTGGTGACAGACGAATCTACGTTCACGCGTAATGGGGTGAATAACTTTCGCAACACTCATGTTTGGTCAGTAGAAAATCCGTACGCTGTCCGTCGGGCACATTTTCAACAAACATTTTCGGTTTATTCTCCCAAATCAATTGGACGGGATGCAATACCTAGACTTTTTACGCAATATTTTGCCTTCCTTGTTAGAAGATGTGCCATTAAGTGTAAGACAATCAATGTGGTTTCTGCACGATGGTTATATTTGTTACCTCTGTTCGTGGTCTGAACCACCGCCGGCGTATGCTCGATAGCGCATCAGCTGATTTCATTTTCTGTTGGAGCGGTATGATTTCGGGCAGAGACGTACTTAGCCCTTCTCGTCAACTGGAGAGTGAGTACTTTTTCCTTTATTTTTTTTTTACTTGGTCGCCCTCGTTTCACTACACATTACTTTTGTTATTTCAAGGGTAGTTGTTTCTGAAAAGGAACACCCCAACTTTGCGGACACCCTATATGAAAAGTTACGTTCTTCTGAGGAGTCTGGAAATAATTTTCACTAAAACCTCAGAAGAACAATTCAATTTTCATAAAAAATTGGCAGACATAGAAACTCTCATTTCTTAAAATTTAAATACATTATCTACAATTTTTGTGAAATGCTTATTGCACCCTTCCTATATATTAATTTTATGCGTTTTTCGAGGTTCAAATGTTTTATTTTTCACCGGACTGCCTCAGAAGAAGGGTAATACGATATCCAAAAAAATCCTATTTCACGGGCTTCAGGCCAAACGGCTTGATGGCTTTTGACATATGACGCTTTTTTCCTCGTACTCGTATATCATCTTAGCAAAAAATCATAATTGTCCTGAATACTTTTCGAATTTTTGTAGGGGGAAACGTATCGGATCTTGGAAATATCGATGGCATAAACCAGTGGGAGGTCCTATCTCGCAATGCATCTACAAGTCGATCCGAAATACTTTTGAACATAGATGAAGTCGATGATTATTCAGGATTGTTGAGCTGCAATGGAAGATATAAGCTCATAAACGGGACGCATAAAGATGGCATCTACGACTGGTATTATGGAGACAGCGGACGAAACGGCAATGAGCCAGAGTACGATATCCAGGCAGTACTGAACAGTCCGACTAACATTGCTATTCAAAAATTGAACAGCAATACACATATAGATCAGGAAATCATCAGACGTACTAGAGAAGAAGTGGACAGAAGCTGGTGTAGAGACAAAAACGATACACCAAAAATCTCCTGTCAAGACTTCTGTCTCTTTGATTTAGACCATGATCCGTGCGAAACGAAAAATTTGATAGATGATCCAAATAAGCGAAGTATTGTTGTTGCATTAAAAAACAAATTAGCAGAGTATTACGAAGTTTTGACACCACAGCTGACCAAGCAAGTAGACATAAACTCGGATCCTTCTCGTTGTAATAATACTTGGTATACTTGGTTGGATTATGGAGCAAACTGGTTCAAAAACCTATAGTTTGTAATATTACCATTACCAATGGACAAAATTGGTTTATTCATTTTTGCTAAAAAAATCACGAGTGCCTTGGAAAACAAAAAATCAAAAATATTCCTAGGAAAGAGTGTTATTGCACGTTTGGTACCATGACATAAAGTACAACAAATTTTGGAAATTTCCCCCGTCGATTTCTGTACATCTTCTCACTCGACGAATCATTGAACGAAGAGCTCGAGCTAAAATTCGAGGTTTATTTCTTATTTTGCTAGCATTTACGATTTTATTTCTTAATTCTTTTATTGTTTCTATGGGAGTAGCGTAAACCGTCGTCTTAAGGTGTACCCATAAATATAAATCTATTGGATATACGTCCGGGGAGCGAGGTGGCCAGTGATTGGTCCACCTCTTCCGATCCAATTTTCACCAAAGGTGTTATTCAGGTGCGTTCTGGGAAATGAGGAGGAGCTCCATCATGCATAAAAGTTATGTCGTTACGTACATTTAATGAAACTTCTAACAGTACGGCACGGGTATCATGCAAAAAACCTATAAAACGTCAAAAAAAAACCTATAAGATGTCAACTTGCAAACTTATGTAGTTTGTAGTGCGCAAGCAGTCATTCCACGTTTGCTCACTAGGATCGTTGTGAACGTCCATCTGTGGAGGAATCACTCAACTAAACTACGCATTATTGGTTGCATAACTTTGCGAGGCAGAGTGATCCAGGTCTGTAGTTTTTATCTCCGAGAAGAAAGTTGGTTGAATAGCAAGCTCGCATCTCGATGATCAAGTGTATTGGTCTGCATGTGTATAAAATCAGTAATATTTGCTGTGTGAGAAAATCATTACTGAATATTATGGGTTATTTATATGTTGTGCTTTCTGAAGAGAGGTTATGTTCAAAGTTATAAATTACGAAAAACTGAGGAGAATTACGGAAAATCATCACCGCGCCCGCGTTGTGTGTAATTACTGTTAGCATGTATATGGCTTGTAATTCGACAGTGTATAGTGAATATGATTATTTCTTATCTCTCTCATTTTCAATTCAGCAAATTTGTATATGTAATAAGAAAAACTGGATGCGCAACTAATTTCTAGCTTTGAATCTCAATTAGGTGTATTTGAGACAAGAACCCAATGTAATTATCATGAACACATACAACTTACAGCTTAGACCTCCAGTAATGCCATCTCAGAAGCAGATTTTACATCACATCAAAGCCAAAGATTGAAAACAAGCCTCATGACGTTAAGTCTACACGTAACAACTAAATGCTAAGTTATCATCTTGTAGACTAACCTACATAATGTCAAAAAAAAACAGCACAATGTCAAAAAAAAATCGGAATAATGTCACTTTTCAAGATACGTGATACCCGTGCCGGCCTAAAATTTCTCCGTCTATTTTTCTATCACCCTGTACAAGAGCAGTAATGCTCAATGGCTTTGCTAGAATAACTCAGCATACCATTAAATCAATGATGATTTCCCATCTATTTGTATTAGAGCAAACTATTTAACAAAAAATGATAAAAACGTAGCGAGATCTCTGTAGTTTAAATTATAGTTATTTTTACTGTAGAAAGAGTAGGATCGAAGATGCTGCAAAATAAAACTATTAATAGCACATAGTACTCTATGCACTTCAATTTTTTTTAAGCATTTCCAGGTAAAGCTTGATTGGGATAAAACATTCACATTCAAACTATCCCTTGGGTACATAGTCCACTGTAAGAACTCTGTTAGTATTTCTGAATCCTTTCAAATACAGTGAGGACTTCGATGTATGAATATGTGTACATCAAAAGAGTTTGAAGGTTCCTCCATATTGATGTTAAACATGAGGTGTATTTCTGCTTGAGATTATGGACTGTCTTCTTAGAACTCAATATTATAATCCCAGATATGGTTTTCGTACTAACTAAAAGTTATTACATACCACTTCACCACAATTCAGGACATTGTTTGATGAGGGAGAATTATTAAAACAGCAGACATGTCATTGTTTAAAACATTTTATTTCATCAAAAAACGACCTAAATAATCCACTCTATATCTAAACAATATTAAAAAAATAGACACTATAAAAATAAAAGTTAAAATGACTATCATTAAAAGTGGCTTAATATGAATATAGATTCCTTCTGGATCACTGCGAATGTTTCTCTAAAAATGCTGTGCATGCCCTTAAGCACTGTTGATAGCATTTCTCGAATCCTTCTGCTCCTTTGTCCTAGCAAACATATTGTTATAATCAGTTATAAAAGTTGTTGTTCAACTTACATAATATGGATCCCTGATTATTCTGTCACCTTGTGGATCAAAATCACCAAGCAATAGAATCTTTGCCTTAGCACCTCCAGGACATTGACCCTTTAAATTGGAAACATTGTTTTCATCCATCCCAAAAATGTAGTCAAATGTACTGAAATCTTCATCCTCTATCTAAAAGATATCGTATCAACTGTACAGAGTAGCAAATATACAAAACAAAAAAATTATATGACAAGTTCCTATTAGAAATGTCCCATGGGGCTTCCTTGCCAAGACACCGGATGCCACTGGAAATCAATGTATATACAAAATGTGTGGTTTGGACAATGATTCATGCTGTAGCTCAGAAAGTTCCAAAATCATCAACAGTATCATCAGAAGCATTTTTATTTAGTGTCATTCAAAATTTATGAAAATACCCACTTCTTCTATAAATGGTTGTTAGAGACATGCAACATTTGAAAACAGGCCGAGTTTTCAAAATCTACAATCTAAAAAGATGTGTATCACAAACTGTTTTATTACCTGTCTTGCCCTGCCATTATAATCAATTTTGTGATTCTTAAGGGTCTGCGTGGCACGCGGATCTGGACGACTTCCTGAATGCCAACCTCCTATTGCGGCACTGTCTGCTTCCCATTTATCTGATAATCCCTTTTCCGTCACAAGATGCTGAAAAACAGCCTCGGCGATGGGAGACCGGCATATGTTTCCTGAAGAATGATAGTTTCGCGAAATAGTTCGTAAAAAGCACTACAAATCATACCTAGACATACGAATAACACTTTCTGTTGCCCCATCTTGATTTATCCGATACAATTAAGAAAAATAACTGGGTCCAATCCAAAAACCAACATTCATCAAATTCGCAATTGAGGTTAGATTTTAGTTTGCACAATATATACCCTATTTCACGGATATCCATCACGCTTTGACGTCTACTGAGGCGATCAGCTGATCAGCAAGTGACATATTTGCAACGTTGTCAATAATGAATCTAGTAAAACTTGTTTGTAGCACTTTGTTCCTTGTATGCAAATGAACTTTTCTAAATGAAAAAGCTGTTAGCAAGTACAAAATGAATCTGTAACGTACAAAAAACCAAAACAAAATACAGATTTGACTACCTGACGTTGACGGATCCGTCAGAAGCATGTGTCCTGTGCCGATATGGGGAATTTTGAGATATTACTAGATAATCATCTGTCATTCTACCGTGACGGATACTCGTGAAATAGGCTATATTTCAAAATTTGACAGACAATTATCGGGGATGGCCACAAAAACAGATTCAGCTGCTACTTGTAACTGAGAAGTCTGCAGAGACACCGTCGATCGTGCGTCCATTTTCGAATATGAGACTTTTTGAATTTTCGATGTTTTGCAATTGAAGACGAAATAATTGGAACAAAGCTAGATATTCCAAAGTTCATTGCCAAAATGTCCTAGAAGTAAACGTATCGATGATTTACCTGAAGAAAACTTGATTGCTGATTGTTTATACATCAGAGATTAGTCGTGCTCAAAGTTTGGAACAAATAGGACTATAAATCAAATCCAAGCGAATAACCAAAATTTCTGTGTTATGTGCCGCGGTTATAATATGGTTCAAGATGACACACGGGTTGATGACGTCAGTTACACGAATCGCTTGAACGCGTTGGTTTTAACCGCGGTTTTGTTGCAAGTTGTTTATTTTAGAAAAGCGCGTATATAATCTCTGATTATTTTTTTTATCACTTAATAAGCGGTGCTTTTTCGTTTACAACTGCATACGGAAAGTTTAAATAGGGAACCTTTCATAATATTCATGGAGAAATGTTTTTTTCAGATTTTTTTTAATAATGGAACCATGGCTTTGTAGCTATGATAACTTTCAATTCTCTAAATTTTTCCGCGTGTCAAAGAAAACATTTATTGATTCAGCAAAAATGATGAAAAAAGAAATTAGCAAAACCGTATACAGGTGGATATCATCTAGTGAGTTTATATGGCCATATTTTAATATTCTTGTGGTATATGGCTACACAGGATACTTTGTTAAGCATATAAACTACATTTAAAGTGTCCCCAACAACCGTAATGAGTATAACTGATAAGGTGCTCTACTTTATGGTAAAACTGAAGTCAGCCTGTATCATTTTTCTCAAAAATGAAGCTGAAGAACAATATCAAATACCCGGCAAAATTCTAACTTGTCACATTTCAAATAATAACCAGAAATATAAAAATACTCTTGAGTTGGGTAAATACCACAATTTTGCGGTGATAACTATGACATATAACAGATGATACGTGACGTCACGGATCTTATAACCAAACTGATAACTACACTCGCTTGAACGGATTGGTAAATACCAACCCAAAATGGTAAATACCATTTCCATTTGGTTATCCGCTTGAATTTGATTATAGTGTGTCAAAGCTCATATAATCCAACACACATCATACATAGTTCAAAATGCAGATGCACCACACAACCTGCAATATGGCCGCGATACGCTTTTGCCCGGAGTTCTAAGTTTCAATTCCGTTGACACTATTCATCTTTCGGGACTTCGAGCGGGTGATTCAAAATTATGACAGCTTGCATTTTTGACTTTCATTTTGAGATAACTCATAAGTCGGAAACGGTTTATTTTATTTGTTGGTAACAAGTCATTATCCTTGACGTTTTGTATTGTACAAACTAGCGTTTTGAGTATATAACTTCATAACTGCAAGTCTATTTATAAAAACTGTTGCGTAATCGATCGCGCATTCAAAACTCCCACTTCGCGCACAAGGGAAGTGCCGTCTGATTAGACGAACTCAAATCCTGTTCGAGTTCGACCATGTTGGGTGCAGTGACAAGAGCAACTTCTGGCCTTTTGGCTGGAAAAACTATCGAAAAAGTCGGCGTTGAGGCCCTAAAAGTTGCCTCCTCGTACAACGCTTCCAGTAAGTATATCAATGTTTGATTATCAACCATCAGATTACGCAATTTAACCGATAAAGTAGACCGTTCGATGACCGGGTCAAAAGGGGATCTTTTTATCAATTTTTACGATAGCAAATTAGAAATGTCTATTATTTAACGACTTGGACTATCGTTAGGCTTGTTATGCCTAGCGTTTTATGTTGATTTTGTCCGTTTTTGTTGAACATATCTCTGTGTTACATAACAAGTACGTCCAAGGTGTAAGTTCAGCGATCGCCATATTGATTCGGAACTTACGTGAACGACTTTTTCAAATCATAGGTCTTTAAATAATGTTATTGCAGGCAGGAACTATGCAAAAGCAGCTGCGTCCGCAAAGGGCAATGGCAGAATCGTCGCTGTTATTGGTGCTGTCGTAGACGTGCAGTTCGATGATGAATTGCCTCCTATCCTCAATGCCTTGGAGGTGGAGAACAGAAGCCCTAGGCTGGTTCTTGAGGTAAATGCTTGTTCCACTCTGATTTAATAACAAATTAGTAATTCCGCATATTAATCAGCTACCCCCAATATGCTATCTTATCACTATGTTAACCTAAAACCTAGCCTAAAGTTAATCAATACAAAATGTTATCGACAAGCCTAGGTACCACTCCAACAGGTAGAAAAGGTGAGAACAAACGTGTAATTCAAACAGGAGAAAATGTTTAGGATAAAATTAAAAAATCACTTGATGAATACCCAAAATGCATCGCAATGAAAATTGATTAAAAGTGTATGAAAGATTGATACAAAATTGACATTGTGGCATTAATAATAAGTAAATCTTCAACCAACAATAATTTTCAATTATAGTTTTTTCCTCAAAAAGCTGCTAATAAAGTTTTAGTCAAACGAGTTAAGTAGACTGTATTGTTTGTTTTTTAAGATGTATTTAGCATGATTGCTACAATTAAATGCTTCTAAAAAACTAAAACAATTACATAATATACAGACATTCAGCAAAAAAAAGCAAAATTTGCATCTCTAAGAATTTTCATTGCCAGTGAAATATTCCTTAATTTTCTTTTAAATAATTTTAAATTACAAGTAGACTTTATATCATTATTTAGTTTATTAAATTCAATCAATCCTTTCTGAAATATTGATTTGCTAGTTATATTAGTATTGCAATTTTGTAAATGAAAATCTATATTTCCTCTTGTATAATAATTGTGGTAATGATTATTCAATTCTATGTTCTTGGCAAAAGATGATTTTTTATTTTAAATAATAACTAAATATATGAAATTTTTTATATTCAACCACTGCATTTCTTGTAACATAAATTTTATTTTATGGAACTTATTTTTATTCAATATTATTGTCACACATTTTGCAGGGCTTGTAATTTTGAGAATACAGCTTCATTGGCAGTGAACAAGATAGTTGAACAATTTAGTAAATGTAGCAGAATAATTGTATTATTTTTTTTAATAATAAGACTGAGACGCCCTATGTGATCCTCAAACTTTAATTTAGTATCAATATATACAGGGTGACAGGTAAATAGGTGTAAAACATTTTAGGAGGTGATAGTACAGCCCCTTTGCTATCGAAATTAGTATATAATACCATACCCTATATTCAAAGGTTGAAAAGTTATTGAAGATTTAAGATTTTTTTAAAAACAATCCATATTTCGGAGTAAAAAAGTCGAGAGAGAAAAAAGTTGGTGATTAAACATTTGTTTTTTGTGGTTTTGGGTTATTATTTCAATAATTAACTTTTATAAATTAAAAAAGATTCGAAAACAATACCAAACAAAGTATTTATTTTCATTCAAAAATGTTTAACTAAGAAAAACAAATAATGTTTTACAGTAAGTAAGGTGTTTTAAAAAAAATCAGTATATAAAAAAATGTACAAACAATTTAAATAATATCCTTGTTTCATAAGGAATCTAAATTGGTATGATAAGTGCACAAAAACTGTGTGAAACTCAACATAATGTATTGTAATACAACAATAGGGAGTAAATTTACCAATGGCTTGTCCCCTATTTTCACAACTCTCTGATTGATAAGAAAGTGTTTTTGTGAAAATAATGTAACTGTAAGCTATGGGATAGTTATTATTTTAAACTACGGTTAAGTTACACGATTAGATTATTACACAGTTGTAATTGTACTACAGAATAATAAAAACTGACTAAAAGTCACTACAATTGGTAAGTAAAATACAATAATGAAACGAAGGTAAAATTCATTGCATTTGTTGTTTGAACTGACGCCCGCCGTTTCTTATGCAAGCCCGTAGTCTTTTTCTCATGTTGGTACGCGTGATGCGGCCAGTTAGTTGTCCTCTGATAGTGTCAGCAGCAGCAATAATTCTTTCTTTCAACTGTGCAAGAGTGTCTATGGGCTCAGCGTACACAAGTGACTTCATGTGCTCCCATAAATAATAGTCACATGGTGTTAAATCTGGGCTCCTCGCTGGCCACGGTGTCGGTCCACCTCGGCCAATCCAGCAACAAGGATATTTCTCGTCCAGCCACTGTCTAACTCCCAGACGGAAATGCGTGGGACAGTCATCGTGTTGGTAGATCATCTGCATCCTGATATTCAGAGGCAGGCCTTCGAGATACTCCCAGAGTTCGGATCTCAAAAAGTTTTCATAGGATTCGCCATTCAGGTTGTCAAGCAAAAAAACTGGTCCAATTAGATACGTATGAATGATTCCCATCCACACGTTTGCTGAAAATCTTCTTTGATGGGCTCTTGGCTTTGCCATGTGGGGATTTGCCTCTCGTGGGGCCCAATAATGTAAGTTGTGATAATTTGTTATCCCCTCTCTGTCAAACTTAGACTCGTCGGTCCACAATATTTTAGTTAAATAGTCGTTTTCTTCTTGATCCCGATGAAGCATGTATCGACAAAAATCAATTCTTGCGGGATCTCCTTCTAATACTTGAACCGGTGTGTAATGGAAAGGGTAAAGTCTCGCCGACTGCAAAACGAACCAAACTTTCCACTGAGTTAAACCAAGCTGCTTTGCTATAACTCGTGTAGACGTCGTCGGGTCTCTGCCGTAGCATACCAGTATTGCCTCTCGATCTTCGTCGTCAAACAACCAAGGTCTACCAACATCATGACGTCTCTCATGAACCTGTCCACTTTCCTTGACGCGTTGGTACACAGAAGCAAATACTCGATGACTCGGTATTCGCCGATTCGGAAAACGGTTTTCGTATTCTCGCCTGGCTTCAACGGAATTTCCATCACTTAAACCATAACAAAACAGAATATCAGCGTATTCTTCGTTACGGTAACTCGCCATTATTAAAACTAAAAAAAGTAAAAGTACGTCCTACCGCGTTAAAGGTTGATATTCTACTAACTAACATAAGCGTTAGTCCCCTTTCCTTGATCCGTCAGCTGTGTCAATTCATAACACACGCAGAGCTTGCTTCCGAGGAGCGACGACAGAACCCGAATAACAGCACAGGGCACAAAAAATAACAAAAAGGGTCGAACCATGAAAGGCTCGGTTTACCTGCTCAGTACAGTGAAATGCGCTTAGCCGTCCTTTCTAGCAAAGTAATATTGTTTTGTTAAATGGTTTACTTACTGATATCTAATTATACCATTTTAGAAACCTAATGAAACGATGAAGTTTTTGCAGTTATTTGTACATTTTCTTTATTATGATTTTTTTGAAAAAAAAGACTTCTTAATGTGAAAGTCGAAAATAAAAATTTTCATTCAACATTTAAATGAAATTAAATACGTTTTCAGTAGTGCTTTCATATGTTTTTTAATTTATGAGAATTATTTATTTAAATAATAACCTGAAACCACCAAAAAAAGAATGATTAATCACCAACTTTTTTTTATCTCAACTATTTTACTCTGTAATCTGGGTTGTTTTTTAAAAAAAATTAAATCTTCCATAACTTTTTAACCTTTGAATATGGGGTATGGTATTATATACGAATTTTGATAGCAAAGGAGCTGTACTATCACCTCCTAAAATGTTTTGTACCTATTTACCTGACACCCTGTGTATATATATATATATATATATATATATATATATACCTAAGTATTTAATAGATCCAACATTTTCAATTATTTCACCATTTATCCTAACTGTGATAGTATTTTCATTTAGGTATTTCCCTATTAGCATATATTTTGTTTTAGAAGCATTCAATTTTAGTTTATTTACATTTAACCAATTGTATGATATTTGCCAGTTCGGAATTTAGCATTTTTACAGCAGTGGCAATGTTTTCATCTGATGCAATTATCTGAATTTTACTATCTAAAATATTACAAATGTCATTAATGTATAAAATAAATAGAAGTGGACCTAGGTTACTACCTTGTGGTACACCAACAAAAAAGATGTCCCCTTTCCTTCCTTTTTTCTCTTCTATCATCCCAACTTTGACTACAGTAGGAAACAGAAATCTTATGTAAGCAAAAATAAATAAAAACCGTACAGACAATAAAAGCGCGATTTCCAAACTACTAAAACTTGTTGCTTGTAGGTCGCCCAGCACTTGGGAGAAAACACCGTCCGTACCATTGCCATGGATGGTACCGAGGGTCTGGTGCGAGGTCAAAAGGTCAACGATACCGGATACCCAATCCGTATTCCAGTGGGTGTTGAAACTTTGGGCCGTATCATGAACGTCATCGGTGAGCCCATCGACGAGAGGGGCCCCATTCCAACCGACAAGGTGGCGTCCATCCACGCTGAAGCTCCCGAGTTCGTCGACATGAGCGTCGAGCAGGAGATTCTCGTTACTGGCATCAAGGTGAGAAATTATGGGAACAATAGATATTGGTCAAAAATCAAAACAACCCTTTTTGTACATTGGCACATTAGATATATTTAAATTGAGGTAATTTCTGGAGGTGCTAGAAGATAATTGATTGTCAATGTGGGACGTTGATGAAATAAGTTGAGAATCTTTGATCTATGTCCAAAACGTACGCAGGAAAGTAAACGCATATTAAAACAAGAAAGATTGATATTCAAATCAAGTTGGGTACTTTATTTTGAAGGTTCATTTATACCATTTATGTATGAAAAATAATATCGCTCAAATGTTCACCACGACTGGATTTACAGACGTCCACGCGATGGTCGAAGTTTTCAATGACATTTTGCAACATGGTCGGTTCTATGGCATTTATCCGGCAATTATGTTGTTTTTGAGTTCTTGAAGGGTGGCTGGTTTGTTGACGTAGACTTTGCTTTTCAAATATCCCCATAAAAAGAAGTCCAAGGGAGTCAAATCGCACGATCTTGCTGGCCATGGCACATTTCCTCTGCACGCGATCACCGAAGAAGGACTGCAATCGATGGATATTGACGTTGGTTGTGTGGCATGTCGCACCGTCTTGTTGGAAATAAACATCGTCCATATCCATTCCTTCAAGTTGCGGCAAAAAATAGTCCTCTATCATCACGTGATATCGCTCAGAATTGACGGTAACGGCGTCCCCGGCCGCATTTTCGAAAAAGTAAGGTCCGATGATGCCTTTTGACCACAATGCACACTACACAGTCACTTTTTGAGGATGCATCGGCTGCTCTTGACACTCACTTGGATTTTCGTTCGCCCAGATGCGGCAGTTTTGCTTGTTTACCGTCCCATTCAACGTGAAATGCGCTTCGTCGCTGAACATGAAAAATTGGCATCAATTTGGCGGTGTTCAAGGAGCCAATCCGAGAACGTTCGGCGCGAAGAATGGTCGGCCCGACGCAGCTCTTGCGTCAATTGGATCTTGTAGGCGTGTACATTCAAATCCTTGTGGAGAATGCGGAGCAAACTGGTTCTCGAAATGCCCAATCCTTGGGATCGACGCGTTGTTGATTGTTTCGGATCGTCTCTGACACTCTCCTTCACAACAGCAATATTTTCCGGTGTGCGAACGCTCCTTGGCCGGCCAGAGCCTGGCAGATTTGCCACAGAACCTGTTGCCTCGAATTTACTCACCAGACGACCGATGGTTGTTTCGTTTGGGCGGTTGTTGCGACCGAAATGTTCACGAAGCGCGCGAAACGTATTTTTTTATTTTTGCACCATTTTTGTAGTGCTCTTGAATAACTTTAATGCGGTCTTCGATCGAATACGACTCCATAGCGATCAATGCTAAACATTCAACTAACAAAATGACATGTCGGTGACAGAAAACAAAGGTGGCGTCTATGTCAAATTGACGTTTACTTTCCTGCGTCCCTATTGGACAACCCAATAGATGGTTTGTGCAACCACCTCTGACCACTTGTTTGCTAGTATCAGACTTTACTGTTTATTTATTTATTTATTTATTTACAAATTTACGGGATAAACCCATTCGGTTACAGGTTGTAAAAGTACAATGTTAACCTAATAAAATTCACACACATCATAAATAAAGTATCTAACATATGAACATAAAGTTTGACTATTTACTAAATTAAAATATTAAAACGTGCATAAAAAAGTTACAAACAAATACTAAAAAAAAAAAAAAAAAAACTGAACAACTAAACAACACAGCAAACATCACCAGCAATTAAGACATTTTAAAACTTTAGCTAAGATTTCTATCTTTAAGGAACTTTTTGAGAGAGCCTAGTGAAGTATTAAAAAGGTCTATATCACAGTCATTACAATTTCTCATTATCCTATCCATGCTACTATTCGAGCCATACAAAGTTCTATGCCGACAAGGTTCAAAGGATCTTCGTTCTCTTAAATGCCTAGGAGAAACATAAAAATTTAGCTTTAGAAGCAGGTCTGGGCAGTGGTAAACACCATGAATTAATTTATAAGCAAAAACAATATCTGCTGAATCTCTCCTGGCTCTTAGGGATCCAATCCTTAACTCCTTTTCAAGAGCATTATAGTCTAAATTCTCAATAGAAATGTGTTTTTTGTAAGCTATGTATCGTAGAAATTTTCTCTGAACCCCGTCAAGCATGTCCTGATAAGTTACATAATATGGAGACCACACGCTGCTGCAATTTTCTAGATGAGATCGCACCAGTGAAGTATAGAGAGTTACTATAGCTCCAATGTTAGTAAATTCAGATGTATTTCTTTTTATTATATTTATTTTGAAGGTTCATTTATACCATTTATGTATGAAAAATAATATCGCTCAAATGTTCACCACGACTGGATTTACAGACGTCAACGCGATGGTCGAAATTTTCAATGACATTTTGCAACATGGTCGGTTCTATGGCATTTATCTCGGCAATGATGTTGTTTTTGAGTTCTTGGAGGGTGGCTGGTTTGTGACGTAGACTTTGCCTTTCAAATATCCCCATAAAAAGAAGTCCAAGGGAGTCAAATCGCACGATCTTGGTGGCCATGGCACATTTCCTCTGCGCGAAATCACGCGATCACCGAAGAAGGACTGCAATCGATGGATATTGACGTCGGTTGTGTGGCATGTTGCACCGTCTTGTTGGAAATAAACATCGTCCATATCCATTCCTTCAAGTTGCGGCAAAAAATAGACCTCTATCATCACGTGATATCGCTCAGAATTGACGGTAACGGCGTCCCCGACCGCATTTTCGAAAAAGTTAGGTCCGATGATTTTTGACCACAATGCACACCACACGTCACTTTTTGAGGATGCATCGGCTGCTCTTGATACTCACGGGGATTTTCGTTCGCCCAGATGCGGCAGTTTTGCTTGTTTACCGTCCCATTCAAAGTGAAATGCGCTTCGTCGCTGAACATGAAAAATTGGCATCAATTTGGCGGTGTTCAAGAAGCCAATCTGAGAACGTTCAGCAATATTTTCCGGTGTGCGAACGCTCCTTGGCCGGCCAGAGCCTGGCAGATTTGCCGCAGAACCTGTTGCCTCGAATTTACGCACCAGACGACCGATGGTTGTTTCGTTTGGGCGGTTGTTGCGACCGAAATGTTCACGAAGCGCGCGAAACGTGTTTTTATTTTTGCACCATTTTTGTAGTGCTCTTGAATAACTTTAATGCGGTCTTCGATCGAATACGACTCCATAGCGATCAATTTTAAACATTCAACTAACAAAATGACATGTCGGTGACAGAAAACAAAGGTGGCGTCTATGTCAAATTGACGTTTACTTTCCTGCGTCCCTATTGGACAACCCAATAGATGGTTTGTGCAACCACCTCTGCCACTTGTTTGCTAGTATCAGAGTTTGCTGTGGCGGGTACCTGAGAAAAATAAGTGTCAATCTGAAGTCAAAATTGACCTTAAAAATTATGGAACCAGTTGTGTATATCTGACTTCTGTTAAACTGACACGTTTAGTGAAATATCAGCATTTCAACTGGTATTGTAACCGACCAATTGACCATTTTTTCTTGGACATTCAATTTATTGTATTGTTTTGCAGGTGGTAGATCTTCTTGCCCCTTATGCTAAGGGTGGTAAGATTGGTCTGTTTGGTGGTGCTGGTGTAGGCAAGACTGTGTTGATTATGGAGCTGATCAACAATGTAGCTAAGGCCCATGGTGGTTACTCAGTATTTGCTGGTGTAGGAGAACGTACACGTGAAGGTATAATAATGATTACTTTCAGATTTTTTTCGATAGATTGCTGCTGGAGCCATACAAAATTACTTACGGTAATCTTCCGATTTTAGGTAACGACTTGTACCATGAAATGATTGAATCCGGAGTCATCTCGCTGAAGGATAAGACCTCCAAGGTAGCGCTAGTGTACGGTCAGATGAACGAGCCCCCAGGCGCCCGTGCTCGTGTAGCTTTGACCGGATTAACTGTAGCTGAATATTTCCGTGATCAGGAGGGGCAGGATGTGTTGCTTTTCATCGACAACATTTTCAGGTAGGACTCGTTGCCGCCGGTCTGAATATATCGATGTTTAACCTTGAATTTTTTTCCAGATTCACTCAGGCCGGTTCTGAGGTATCGGCTCTGCTGGGTCGTATTCCATCCGCTGTGGGTTACCAGCCAACTTTGGCCACTGACATGGGTAGCATGCAAGAACGTATCACCACCACCAAGAAGGGTTCTATTACCTCAGTACAGGTATTTTTTTTTCTTTATTTATTTTTTATTTCACTTTTTATTTATTTATTTTTTTTTTTGTATCTTGAGCTTTTTGTTATACACAGTAATGGACAAAAGTATATAGACAAATTAATATTGAGCTGTATTTCTTTTTTAACTTGTTTTATTAATACACCAACTTGTATACATAATTCGTTATAGCATAATACTCACTTATACATAAATAAATTCATCAGAGTCCCTTCAATAAAAAAATTATTTGAAAAAAACTGGAAGTATGGACAAAAATATATAGACAAAGCAAAACAATTATAGAAAAAAGAAGCATAGTTCATTGAATTATATTTTTCCTTTACCATTTTTCTGATAAAATTAAAGTAACAAAGTTATAGCCCTTTGGAAGTTTGAGTACCGCCCTGTCTCAATAATAATATTATGTGCTCGTGTTTGGCGACAACGGATATAATTCGCCTTATCGGTTCATCGCATCGGAAACAAAATAGCGAAAGAATTTGGAACGATGTTTTTACAATTATTTCATTCAGTTGTATACAGTCAGTGTCAGTCGGTAGTGGATAGTGGTGTCTGTTGCGTGGCTCAAACGAAATAAAAAATGGCACATGTTTATGCGGATCGGTTTCCCAATCGAGTGCAACCAACCCCTCGTGCCTTTGTTAATGTAGTACAACGGGTTCGTGAATCATTTTACTTAAGACCTCACATATGGACGGCATGCCGGTGCTCCAAGACCTCACGATCAAATACAGGTCCGCACTGAAATACTTGTCGGGAGGATACTTTATAAAACAAGGTAAACATTTTTTTTTTATTTTTTTTTTATTTTTACACACATATTTTGGTTTATCTTCCTTCTACAATCATTATCTGAAAATTAATGACTCAACTTCAAAGTCACCCTGTAGAAAACCAACGGTGTTTGTGTTAATATTTTGTAGCATAACCATTGTTATCAATCACCGCCTGGCATCATCTCGGCATAGATTGTAGAAGTTTCTTGATATGAGATTCATCAATCTGTCTCCACTTTTGCTCTAAAGCGGCAAAAAGTTCATCTTTGTTTGAATAATTGCTTATACAGTGTGAGTCTCCATAAAGTGCACATATCAAAATCAGGGAAACTACACTCTATTTCATCGACGGATAAACCATCAAAAAAACATGAATTTAATTTTTTATGAATATATGAATATTTTAAAATTTTTGGTAGCAGCTTCTAACCATATTGAAATAACTCGTTACAACTTTTAAACTAAATGTCCTATCATATTGGAATACATTTTGTAGTGACTGCTGGTAGAACGACGTGCCTGAAAAGTGAAGAATTCCAGGAATTTAGAATAAAGAAAATTTTGATGAAAATCTGTTTTTTTTTTTCATCGTTTTTACAATAATTTCAAATTTTCTATAAATATCATCCCTTGTACCCTACCTTTTTTTATTTGTAAGTTATTCTACATGTTATCAGCTTTATAAAAGTAAAAATTGCACGTTTATTACTCAAATGTAACAGTTTCTATGAGTGTTTATAAAAAAGCCCATGCGCATCGTCTTGCTAGGCACCATTGTTTATCATGTAGATACCTTTTTTTGGTGATTCAATGTAGAGTCGCGCGGGCTGAAGTACGAGTGGGGAGGCGGGCCCAGTTAAAAAAAAATTGAATGTTGGGCAGTTAGGCAGCTATTTGTGTTTCTCTTGCCAACTTTATCAGTTTCGTTTGCTACATATCACGCTTTCGCTTTTTGGTCGCGATGCCACGTATAAGTGATTTCCCTCCGGCACACATTGCCGATATCCATTATTATTATGGAATGTACCGAGGGAGTGCTAGAGCTGCTTGCACAGCTTATCTAGCTGCATTTCCAAATCGACGCCCTGTTCCATCAGCCCGTAACTTCCAAGAAGTGCATAGAAGACTGGCTAACACTGGACTTGGTTTGCCTCGAGATCGCCGCGAACCAGGTGTTATTATTCATGTTGCTATCGAAGAAGCCATTTTGGATGATTTGTTTGCTGACCCGACTACTAGTACGAGACGTTTGGCGTTACGTTATGGCGTATCCCAGAAATCGGTTTGGCGCATCTTGAGGAAAGCAGGGTTGCATCCATACCATTATCAAAGGGTGCAGCACTTGCATGAAGATGTGGATTGGCGTCCAAGGTGCGTTATGTCTACATGGATTTTAATAAAAACAAGATACAATCCTGCATTCCCGAAAACAATTCTGTGGTCAGATGAATCTCAATTCACATCGTGAACTGTCGTAATTTACATAAGTGGTGCCCAAAAGATGAAAACCCTAGGCTGAAAAGGGCTTCAACATTTCAAGTGAAATTTTCTGTAAATGTGCGGGCCGCACTGATTGACAACTTTTTGATTGGTCCAATAATACTCCCGAGGACATTAAACGGAGAGAGATTTCTGGAGCTTTTGCGGACTGAACTGCCCTTGCTGTTGGAAGAAGTGCCGCTGCAAACCCGTCGAAGAATGATGCTTCAAATGGATGGATGTCCTGCCCATTACTCGCTGATTGTCAGGTCTTTTCTGAATGAAAATTATTCAGGCCGCTGGATCGGCCTTCAAGGACCTGTTGGGTGGCCGGCGCGTTCCCCAGATCTCACACCTCTCGATTATTTTTTATGAGGGACAATGAAACAAAGGGTGTACAGCAGTTCCATAAACAGCGAAGCGGAACTTGAAGAAAGAGTTTTGCGTGTTGCAAACGAAATCAAAAATGATCCCGAGATGATTCGTAGGGCAACTCATCAAATTTCACTTCGCGCTACAATGTGTTTGAACATTTGATGCATTAATCCAAAATGATTATACTATAGACAAGTCTATTTGATTTTATTTGTTAAAGATAATGAATGATTCATGTAGGTTAATACTGTTATTTAATTCCTACTCTGGCGTTGAACTGAGTTCACTGCTTTTTGAAACGCTGATTTAAAAACTTGTATCTAAGTAATAAACTTGCAATTTTTCATCATTAGGAAGCTAATAACATGTAGAATAACTTAACATTTAAAAAAGGTAGGGTAAATAGGACAATTTTTATTGAAATTTAGCATTTGTTTTAAAAATCATTGAAAAATAGTGAGTTTCAGCATATTCCTCTTTATTTTAAATTTATAGCATTTGATTTCGTGGAAATTTTCACTTTAATAGTACGGCCTATTATTTGCAATCACTACAAAATTTATTCCAATATGATAGGACATTCAGTTTAAAAGTTGTAACGATTTATTTAAATAGGGTTAGCAGCTGACTCTAAAAATTTTAAAATATTCATAAAAAATCAATTATTGTTTTTAATTTTTTTTGATAATTTTTCCGTCAATAAAATAAGGTGTAGTTTCCTTGATTTTGCTATGTGCACTTTATGAAGACTCACACTGTATAAGTATTCCCATATATTTTCAATGGCCATTTGAGCACTGGTATTTTTTCATCCAGAAAGAATTTCTTTGCGAGATTGATCTTAAGGGCATATTGTCTTCCATGACATGCTTTAGGATGACTGTGTATACAAACTATCCATAATGCCATCTATTCTATGTAAAGGTCACATCCGAAACCCCGAAAATCACCCCCAAACCATAACAGACCCGCCTCCATGTTTGACAGTGGGCAAAGTGTACTTGGGGTTCAATCTTTGTCCTCCAATCAAGATGCAACCGTGCAAATTGTAATCGGTCCTTACGGTTTTTCCTAGAGATAAGCGGCTTCTTACTCGGGCAAAGTGCAAATAACTTCAAATCATTTAATCTTCTACTTATAGTTTTCGTAGAAACACTGACAATTCCTTTTTTCTCGATTTCGGCTTTTATTTGTCTTGGGGTTTTAAACGGATCTTTGGAAGAAATGTATAGTAGTAGTAGTAGAAAGATTTATTTAGCACATTTGGCTACATAAACAGAATAATTGTAAACAACTTAGAACTAGTAAATTCAAGCCATATGGTGTATGATGTAAATGCTGGGCAACCTATAATTGTAGATTTAACAAGTGATTTCTCAATTTTACTTTCAATTTTGTCAAAGTTTTCTGGTCTTTTATCTCCGAGTATAATTTATTATATTCAATCAACCCTTGATGGAATACAGATTTGTAGCATATGTTATACTTTTTGGTCATTAAATGGAAGTCATCTTTATTTCTGGTATTATGTAAATGATGGTCGACATTTGATGATGTTAAATTAGTTAGACTTGATGGAAATATATTATTTTTTACATTGAGCCATTTTAATTCGCTAAGCATTTGCCTAATTGGAGTATATTTATCTTTATTTAGTATTATTCTCATGCACTTATTTTGTAAAATTTGCAGTCTTTCAAAAATGGAATTATTTGTTAAATATAGAATAGTCGAACAGTACAAGAAGAAGTGGAAGAATGATGGTATTATAGATAATTTTTCTGCTATATGAACTCAGACATCCAGAAACTCTCGATAAATATCCCACTTTACTACTAATCTTATTTTTAACTTTTTCATAATGAATATCAAAAATTAATCGAGAGTCAACAAAAACCCCCATGTATTTAAAATTTTCTATGAATTCAATATCTTCACCATCAATATTCAGTTGAACATTTGTACATTGTTGTTTTCCGATTAACAAGGCTTTCGTTTTACTCGTATTTAATTTTAGTCTGTTAGATGCTAACCATTTTGAGACAGTCTTCATTTATATAAGAGATACCAGACTGAATATTTTTAGTACTTATATAAATCATAGTGTCATTTAAATGCTCACATGATTTTATAAATTTAAATAATGAATTGATACACAAAAGTGACACCATCAAATTTTTAGGATCGACCACTGATCATAATTATAAGACTTTACTAATCACGTGGACAGATCGCTTACTCAAATAGCAAAGATTTCCTCATTCCAATTAGTTACAATGTAGGAAAAAGCACAGCCATAAGCAATTACGAGTACCTTGCCTTACTTGAAAGTAGATAGGGATGATATAGCATTCCCTTCTGGTGTGACTGCTCCCAAAATTGTTTAAAAAAAGGTGCTTATTCTACAAAAACGGACTATTACATACAGGAATGGACAAAAGGATATAGGCAAATATGAATATTTATCTAAATACCTTTAGAAAACGAATTCATACTTCATTGCTCCATAAACAAATGCGTTATTAGTAGAAAAACTAAACTTGTTTTTACATTATCTGCAATGAACACAAGCCTGAATATAAGCATTGTTTTATGAGGGACAAAAATATGTAGACAAATTCTTTTCAACATTAGTTTAGTACAGTTTCGTGTCAGAAGAGGATTAGTTTGTGTTCATCAGGTATTGTGGAAAAAGTTGAGTGATTTTAAGACAATGCCGCGTGGTCCAGAAATTTCTTTCGATGTGAAAACTAAGATCATTGAGTTATACAAAGATGGTCAACGTCAAGTCGACATTGCCAAAAATTTGAAGCTGAAGCATAAAGCAGTCTGGGCAATATTGAACAAATATACTAACTGACATATAAATCCGAACACCCAGTTTAAATCGTTTTATTTTAATAAAATTTTGTATAAGTACTTAATGAAGCATAATAAGTAAATGATAAAAATTTCAAAATGATTGCACTGCTTTAAAGCCCTTTGACCTTTAATAATGTGTGGATGCACCCTGATGTGCTACGCATTCTCCAACGCGCCTAGACATGCTTCTGATCAGGTGGTCAATGTCCTCCTGTGGTATCTCATTCCAGGCAACCACCAACTCCTCTCGAAGTGCTTCTAGAGTCTGAGGAGGACGTTGCAAATTGAGCAATCTCCTACCCATCATATCCCACACGTGCTCAATTTGGGATAAGTCGGGAGATCTTGGTGGCCATGGTAACAATGTGACATCATTATGTTGAAAGAAGTCTATTGTGACTCTTGCAACATGTGGTCGGGCATTATCTTGTTGGAAAGTTGGATCTGCCAGGGTGTCAAGATAGGGTAAAAGATGGGGTTCTAGAACTTCGTGGATATAACGCTGCGCGTTCATGTTACCTCTGATGAAGATTAAAGGTGACCTGGAACCATAAGCTATAGCACCCCAAACCATAACTCCAACAGTGTGATGAACATGTCTTTCAACAAAAAACTGTGGATTCCTCCTTTCACCACGTCGCCTTCTAACCCTGGCACGACCATCGTGCATGCCTAAACAAAATCGAGACTCGTCACTAAAGACAATAAATACTGTTCCATTCCTGATCCCAGAGACCGTTGTCTGCACCACTCAAGGCGATTACGTCGGTGTTCTCGAGTTAAAGGGAGGACCCAGTGTGGCCGGTATGAAAACAAGCCAAAACTTCTCATTCGTCGGTAAACACTTCGCATGCCAATAGGTCTTCCGTGTTCTGCAAACCATTCATTTGCAATGGACCTGATAGTGGAGAAACGGTCCCTTAAGGCCAATAATCTTAGGCGGCGATCTTCACGGTCTGTTGTTCTACGGCGGCGTCCAGTGCCCCTTGCTCTTTGCGTACGGCCTTCTCGAAGCCATGCCTGACAACACCTAACCACAGTGTCTACACTTCTTTGCACTCTAACTGCAATTGCCCGAAAAGAAAGTCCAGCTTCCCGAAGTCCCACTATACGGCCCCTATCAAACTCACTAAGTTGACGAAATCGTACAGGTCTCCGTACTCTAGGCATCGTAACCGATCGTAAAGGATGTCAAGAACCAAAATCCGCCAACGTTGATTCTTTACTGCGGCTGAAATATTCATTTTTAGAGCGTTAGTGAATTAAAAAAAAGCAGTATAAAAACCGGAATGTCCAACTGATAAGGCTGAAAATTTTTTCACTTGTTATTTACAGTAAGATAAATACATTCACCAACTTTTATTAAAATAAAACCATTTAAACTGGGTGTTCGGATTTATATGTCACTTAATATATAAACAAAAAGGTATCTTGGAAGCCTCTAAGAGAAGTGGTCGGCCTAGAAAACTAAATGCTAAATCAGTCAGATTAATAAAAGTAATTTCGTCCAAAGATCCGTTTAAAACCCCAAGACAAAAAAAACCGAAATCGAGACAAAAGGAAGTTGCTAATCTCGAGGAAAAACCGTAAGGACCGATTACAATTTGCACGGTTGCATCTTGATGGAGCATCTGTGACTGGAAGAGGGTATGTTTCAGTGACGAATCCAAGTGTTCAATATGTTTGGATCAGATGGTGTTCATTACGTTAGACGTCCTAGTCGACAAAGATTGAACCCCAAGTACTCTTTGCCCACTGTCAAACGTGGAGGCGGGTCTGTTATGGTTTGGGGGTGCTTTTCTGGGTTTGGGATGGGACCTTTACATAGAATAGATGGCATTATGGATAAGTTTGTATACACAGACATACTAAAGCATGTCATGTTACCCTATATGGAAGACAATATGCCCTTAAGATCAATCTTCCAGCGAGATAATGACCCGAAGCACACTTCAAATCTCGCAAAGAAATTCTTTCTGGATGAAAAAATACCAGTTCTCAAATGGCCTTCACAGTCTCTCGATACAAACCCCATTGAAAATCTATGGGAATACATAGATAATCAAATACGAGATAAAAATTACTCAAACAAGGATGAACTTTTTGCCGCAAAAGTGGAGACAGATTGATGAATCTTATATCAAGAAACTTCTACAATCTATGCCGAGACGATGCCAGGCGGTGATTGACAATAATGGTTATGCTACAAAATATTAACACAAACATGGTTCGTTTTATATAATTCAATGAACTTTGCTTCTTTTTTCTATAATTGTTTTGCTTTGTCTATATATTTTTGCCCTTCATAGTTCCAGATTTTTCAATTATTTTTTTATTGAAGGGAGTCTAATGAATTTATTTATATATAAGTGAGTATTATGCTATAACGAATTATGTGTATAGGTTGGTGTATTAATAAAACAAGTTGAAGACGAAATACAGCACAATATTAATTTGTCTATATACAATGAACGTAAATAATGGAGATGGCAAAATACGCATATTCCCTATTTGTTATAGAAAATATTGAATGCTTTTTAGGCCATCTACGTGCCGGCTGACGACTTGACAGATCCTGCTCCTGCCACGACATTCGCTCACTTGGACGCCACCACCGTACTGTCCCGAGCTATCGCCGAATTGGGCATCTACCCCGCCGTCGATCCTCTCGACTCGACATCCCGTATCATGGACCCCAACATCATCGGCGCTGACCATTACAAAGTCGCGCGTGACGTACAGAAGATTCTGCAGGATTACAAATCGTTGCAGGTATGACATCACTCAACATGCATTCAATTTTTTCTGCAAAATACCCGAATTTGTCTTCAAATTTCAAAATTCCAATTTTTTCAAATTTTCAAACTCGATTTTTTTTTCAAAGATTATTGTATCGTCATCGGCCTTTGACCCTGTGCAAGTTTTCAAATTAATCAGACTTCTTGAAATTGGTGAATATTAGGTTGAAAGATTCCTCTACATACATACAGTTTAAGCTAATAAAAGCGTGTTAAAAGCTAATTTCTTCCACAGGATATTATCGCCATCTTGGGTATGGACGAGTTGTCAGAAGACGACAAACTGACCGTAGCTCGTGCTCGTAAGATCCAGCGTTTCCTGTCACAGCCTTTCCAGGTAGCTGAGGTTTTCACTGGTCACGCTGGTAAACTTGTACCTCTGGAGGAAACCATCAAGGTATGTCAGTTTTCTTCTTTAAATAGAGAATCTTTATAACGTATATTCCCGGCGACATGTAACGTACGAGCCCCTTCCCACTTCAGTTGGCCCACTTCAAGATTTGTACCAAAATATACCTTTATAAACTAAACATGACGAAACTATTTACTTCTAAAACAATTTATTTTATCAAAAACATTTTAGATACACTCTAGTCGTAAAAAATACATATTTGAAATCACTTAGACCTATAACTAATAGAACATCTGAACAAAGCAACAATTGAAAGATTACCATTGTGTAACATCACCTTTATTTTTTATTACGGCTGAAATTCTTTGGGGCATAGTGTTGACCAACTTTGGCAAAAATTTGGTGTAAAACAATCCCATATTTCTTGAAGCTTTTGTCTCAGTTCGGTGATTGTCGTAGAACCTTTTTCATCTCTTGCCACAAAGTTTCAATAGGTGACAGATCTGGACTGCTAGAAACCCATTTCAAAAGTGGTACATTATTTTCTTCCATCCATTTCTGAGGTATGGCACGCTGCACCATTTTGCTGAAACACAAAATCTTGGCCGAATGTCACACATTCTTCCATCACTGGTAAAAGCGATTCTTCTAAAATTGCCAAATGTTTGTTTGTATCCACATTTCCGACAATAAAATGAAGTTTTCCTACTCCTTTTGATGACATACTGCCCCAGACCATAATGGATGCTGGAAATTTCACTTTTATCTTCAGACAGTCAACATGGAATGCTTTATTTTTTTTGCGAATAACTCTACTGAGACTGTCACCAACACAAACTTCGAATCGGGCATCATCACACCATTGTTGAGGTGTCCATTGTCTACGTTCTTTAGCCCATCTAAGCCGATTTTTCGTTTGCAGTGGAGTTAATAATAGTGGCTTTTCTTTGGCCTATAAACAAGTGGTGCAACTTTAGGGTTTTTACTTCACTTTTTTTTTATTAGAAAACTTACCTTGCAAGCGCTAAATCCCAGTTTGTGGGCCTCTCCATGAGTTTTGGACCTCGAAATTCTCCTTCCAAAAGCGTCACTCCACAGAGCACTTGATTGTAAATAATTGGCACGCCTGTTTTTCACGATTATTCTTTTTAATGCTCTTCGGTCGGCATTTGTGATATTACTTTTTTTTACATATCATGGCTTAATATTAACTGGACCGGTTACGTTATATCTTCTAACAATATTTCTCACACTGTACCGAGATAAGTCTAACAAAGTTGCAATTTATGAGTTTGATTTCCCAGAATTAAAAAATTTAATTATCAGTAACCGAATTTTCTCACTAATAACCTCTCCTTTACCCATTTTGAAAACCTTAACTACCCAAAACTATTTTAAACGTATTCTGACAGCTGCGATTAATAAAAACAATTGTCATGTCTTTTATTTTGCATTGAAATGTAAATAGGTTGATATGCTGTAATTGCAACATGTGTTATTTTTATGCTGCAAATTTGATTAGGGAGTGATAAAGTTGGTGTTTTCTACTATATATTATCAAAATATTCATTGTTAATATTTTAAACCTACCTGCTACATTTTTATTATTTGTGTTTGATAAGAAAAAAACTAAGATTTCAATAGTTGGGCCAACTAGGAGCTCGTAATCGTGTTAAAATCATGTCTGCAACTGAAGCTAGCACGTCATTTTCTTTAGCTTCCTTGGTAGTGTACACAATAGATTTTTTCTTTCTGGTATAATTTGCTATTTTGAACGTTTGTCTTCCAGGGTTTCAAGAAGATCTTGAATGGTGAATTGGACCATCTGCCAGAAGTAGCATTCTACATGGTCGGACCCATCGAAGAGGTCGTGCAGAAAGCAGAGAAATTAGCTGAATCGTCGTAAATTAATGCGTACTGTATTTTAATTTATACCATTCTCATGTATGTACAACTCAACGAGATGTGCTTAGGAAAACCCAACAGCCTGATAATTTTTTATTACATCATCTCTTATTTCCACAGGAAATTAAATAATTGTTATATTTTCTTTTAATTAAAAAATTAGTAAAACAACATTGAAGTACGCTTATTTTTGCAGATTTTATCTGCGGAACTTTGACCCTTTTGAATTCACATTTTTCAATTTTTGCGGGTTCTGATTGAAGTTATCCTTCCACTCCGACTCTAGTCTCGTCCAAACACCGCCTGAAAAAAGTGTCGTAGTTATTATAAAATAAACAATAATTTAAAATGTGTTACAGTTTCTTTTTATGGTCGACTTAAAATTCACTATATCTTGATACAGTAAATTATTACGACGTTTTTCTTATTTAGAATATTAATTTTATAACAAATTTTATTTTTAGAATGGTTTAATAATTTTATGGTAGAAACTCTCCATCTCGTTAAAGAACATTTTTTTATAATTTCTGTCGGCCGAAAATACGAGAGCTGAGCGTGACTTGGCGCTCTCGTGTAGGAGTTCAACGGCCCACCATCCGATTCTGTGAATAGTTTCACACGCAGTGCTGCGCTTTATCGGGTAGTGGAGATTTTAATAAAAATCGGCCTCCATTAGTGAGTTTGTTGTCGGAGCCCTTTTTCTCTTGGGGGTTTTAGCCCTAGACATGACTACACTCGACCATTGAGCTGGTAAGTGACCATTTCTCCAAGCCACGTGTTCATTTATAAATATAAGATTTTTGTCAAACAGTATCAAGATGTCAAGCGACGAGGACATTTTAAATAAATTGTAAGTATGCATTGTAATGCAGGTATCATGATATTTGCGAAAAAGTATCAATTGACATTTGACACCATTGCATTTCAATGAAAAGGTTGTCAGCCATATTTGGAAAATCTCGGACTACAATTGAATGTAATACAATAGTTTGAATAACTTATGCCTTGGTGTTTTCAAGTATGATTGAAAAGCGTATGATTAAAGCGCTTTTGTAAAACAGATAACTTTTTTCTGGTCATAAAATGAATCAGATCATATGTTTTTTTACCTATTGGTGTTACATTCCTGGATGACGCCTTGCTGGTTCTGATGTAATTTTCATGAGAAACATTCTTATTCAAAATTACAGTCATTTCTTTCACAATATGTTCTTCATACGCCCGTTGGATATCCTGATTGCTCCTAGCAGACAAATTGTGCTGCCATAATTTCAAATCCTTTTTCCTTTTCACTTTTCTTCTGTTTGTTATCTAGACATAATATAATAATATGTTTTTAATAACCCCCATTTTTTAATTTCTTAGATTTTCTATCAAGTTTATGCCTATCTTCAATCGTTGCCAAACTATTTGAGTTTATAGTGAAATTCTAGAAACTGATAAGGGATTATTTCGTAATAAAAATAATTAATATAGTTCCTACAGTAACAAGACTACTCTGAAATTAAAAACAAGCCTCCGAGTATTAAAAAATCAAATTACAGTTCACGCATATTAATATTGGAGTAAAAATTATTTTTTTTGAAGAGGTAAGTCAGTGTGGTACCTCCATGCAATAACAAAGGTTTTGTTCGAATCTATTCCCCACATTTTTAAGCATGTCTACGTTATTTGTCTATATTCAGCTGTAATCCGCTGACAAAGATATTGAATGGAATCTGGCTTCATACCAAAAACTTCACTCTTCAAATGCCCCAAAGAAAGTAATCTAAAGGACCTAGGTCCGGAGATCTCGGTGGCCACTCGATGGGACCTCGTCTCCCGATCTACTGATTCATTAATAGATTACACTGGACAACAAATTTTAGATTTTTAATTGTATCTTGTGGGAAAAGTGCACTTCTTTGTTAATTTTGGGGTGCTGAATCCAAAAATGACAATGAAATAAAAAAATTAGTTGCGGTTTAGAAAAAAAACTTTTTATTTTTAAGGATATATTAAAAAAAGTAACAAGATTCATATACTTATAAGAATCACTATATGCGCTGTCTTTTTGCTGTTCTTTTATGGATCGTTTCTGGAGCATCTCTACCATGAGTCCAACAGTAGTCTGCAAGCATGGAAGGATTCCACTTTCCCTGGTACCTTTTTTCCATTGTTGAAATATCCTGATGAAAACGTTCGCCGTGCTCATCACTTACGGCTCCGCAATTGTCAGGAAAAAAGTCAGGGTGTGAGTGTAAGAAATGTATCTTAAGAGACATATTACAGCCCATCTTTTGATACGATGACAGCATATTTTTGACAAGGGTTTTATAGTTGTCAGCTTTTCTATTTCCCAAGAAATTAGTGACCACCAGACGGAAATCATTCTAAGCAGTTTTTTCAATACCTGTTAAAGTGTTTTCAAACTGTGTATCTTTCAAAATATTTCGAATCTGTGGCCCAACAAAAATACCTTCTTTAACCTTTGCCTCACTTAGTCTTGGAAATTTCTGACGCAGGTATTGAAAAGCTGACCCATCTCTATCTAATGCCTTGACAAAGTTTTTCATTAGGCCCAACTTGATATGCAGTGGTGGTAATAATTTTTTTTTTCGAATCTACTAATGGCATATGCTGTACATTTTTTTGACCTTGCTCTAGGAATTGACGAACAGGCCAGTTTTGTCTGGTGTAATGAAGTGCCTTTGCCCGACAGTCCCATTCACACAAAAAACAGCAAAACTTTGTGTAGCCTAGCTTCAGCCCAAGTAAAAGTGCAACAACTTTCAAATCGCCACAAATATGCCATTGGTGCTCATCGTATTTTATGCATGTCAATAGGTACTTCATATTGTCATATGATTCTTTCATGTGAACTGCATACCCTACATGAAGAGATGGTAAAATATTTCCAATATGCAATAACACTGCCTTTAAACTCAATGTTGAACTGTCTATAAACAATCTCCATTCTTCTGGGTTATAGTTTATATTCAAAGCCGCCAGTAAGCCGTTAATGTTACTGCAGAAAACCAAGTTATTCTCCATATTGAAAAATGGTTCTAAGTCTTTGTGGCGTTTACGAAAAACACATACCGAAACATCGTCTTCTAACAAGTTCCACTGCTGCAGTCTTGATCCAAGTAACTCTGCCTTACATTTTGGAAGTTCTAAATCTCTTACAAGATCATTTAATTCTGACTGTGTTATTTTGTGCGGTTGGTGGCATGACGTGCTCGGTATAAAATCAGGATCTCTTGACGTTGATGGCATATCTTCTTCCTGATCATTAATATGATTTGTAGGCTCTCTCCAAACCATTGGGACAGCAAAGCGCATAGACCGTTTTTTGCCATTTAACCAGCTCCTTAGACTTGAAGCACATGTATTACAGCAGATGTGGGGTGCCCACTGTTTGTCTAGTTTACAACCGAAATAAAGCTGATATGCCTTTGTTATTAGTGGAGTAATAGACCGTCTCTGAGACGCAAAAGTCACATCACCACACACGTAACAAAACTGATCTGGATTGTTTCACACTTTCGAGCCATCTTGCATGAACGCTGTCAGCCAACTGAGGAAAAAATGGCTAATATAAAACAATATAATGTACACGTATGTATAACGTAACACAATCATGCCGATTACATCATCTTTCCTTGCCGAATATAAAAATGTAGCACGTGCATTCTTGTGAATTACAGTATCTTAACACTGTCACAGCAGGAACACATGTAATTGCCGTATCTCTAAAACTTGAACTAATATTGAAAAAATAAGTTTCATTCCGGTTTTAGCACATTAAAAATAGTAATATTTTGTTGATTTTATTTAGGATATTTTTTGGCTGTTGATCAGTGTTATTACCGTAATATTAATTTGTTTGACGGTCGCACAGTATCACATGAATACGCACCCGTGCTGGAGGGGGGTTACTTTCGGCACTGCCATCATCACTTTCTGAAGTAGAGGTAGAGGATTCTTCTTCAGTTAAATCCTCTGTACTCTCTTCAGAACTGCTTTCCAATTTTGCCCTGTTCGAGAATCCAGTTAGCAATCCGAATTTCGGTCGAGGGGGAATTATTTCGAACCCTTCCCACCAAAAAGTTTCCTTGCAAACGAATTTTTTGTCGGTAGCATTCGAATCTGAAAAAAGTAGAGAATTCATCGTATACCCCTTGTAGCAACGAGCACTGTTCTGCCATCTGTTGGAAGACGTCAAAAGCATGGTGCATTTGAACTACTATTTGACATTTCTAACCTCAAAATGTAAAGGCCTGTCAAGGTCATTTATATTATTGTTTTCAGGAAATTTAAGTGTAGAGTGTAAATTTTGAGTAATGGCTCCGCCTCCGATAGTGTCAGGATTATCTCCGAATGAAGGGCCTCCAGGCACGAGGATAAAAATAAGAGGCGAAAATTTTGGAAATCAGCCTTCGGATATCGTAGGTCTGACCATTTGCGGGGTAGATTGTCTCCTTACGGCCGAGTGGAAATCCCCAAACAAAATCATAGCGATATCTGGAACGGGTAAGGGTAAAGGAGAAGTTATTGTTAGCACTAAATATGGGGGCACAGGCAGTTGCAATGTTACATTCAAAGGCTATCACTTGGCTACAATAGGGCCGATGAAAGAGAGCGCAGTGTGGGTGGAAGAAACCCCACTCTTCTCGTGGGGAAGACATTCTCTCAGCACCACAAGTTTCCAGCAAGAAGATCCTTTAGGCTTATCAATAGAAGAAACTGAAAATAAGATCAGCGAAGATTTTTTGATCAACCACTTCGCTGGCAAATGTGGGGACATAACCAGTACGAACTTTTCTCCTGGCTGGTTTCTGTTAGAGAATCATCAAAATACAAGTTTCAATGACTTGAGTGCGGGACTTGTACATCTGCGTAGAAAAGTGCAAGGTCAAAAAGAAGGGCAACTATCATTTCTAAAGGCAAACATTGGGTCTGTAATGGACCAAGTGGATACCTTGGTAAATATTTGGGAAAAGTACGACTCTGACTTGCCAAAACTTGGTAATGAACCTACGCTCAAATTAGAGAAAGCAATCAAGGAGTCTGAGAGAGAAGCTAGAAAGTTGTTTGACGAAGTACTGTCTAGAAAAGACCGAGCTGAGAAAACAAGAAATGCTCTCAATGTATTACAAAGATTCAAATTTTTATTTTGCTTACCATGTGTTATCGAGAGAAACATCAAAAAAGGAGAATACGATATCGTGATAAATGACTACATGAGAGTAAAGAACCTGTTTCTTAAAACGGACGTGCCAGTATTCAAAGATGCTCCGAGTGAGATAGACAAACGAATTGAGGAATTGCAAAAAAAATTACATCAAGATTTACAAACAATGCCAATCACAGTAGAACAACAAAAGAGGCTGATAAGATACTTAACCAATCTAGACTCCCCTTTTGATGCTGCTTGGGACGCTATCAAAAGTCGGTCGGACTACATCATCAAAAAATTTAAATCGATATATGAATATCACAAGTCCACTGAGAAACCCGAGATGGATAAAAAGAAAGGCTCTGCAAACAAATTTGCAAAGTTCAATAATTCACAGTTAATCGAAGTTAACACTGTGCCTGCATGTGTCAACTTTATCGACGAGATTTGTGCAACCATCTCGGAGATTTTCCCTGATTTGTGGAAGATAGGACAAGCGTATTTTTCCGGAGAATTGCAAGTTAAGGTGGAAGCAGGAAGACAGGTAAGGATTTCATATAAATAATTTTAAGTAATGCAAAATATGAAAAATCAGGCAGTTATGAATCAAACACCATATGTCTTGTTGAGGATGAATTTGGCTGATAATATCACCCAGCATGAAAAAACATTTTAAAACAGTGGACGTCCGGTAATGTGACAAACATTATGCAGGGCAGTGTCGGACTATCGAATTTGTCGGATTATAGAGCACTGCCCAAGACCCCCTATAGTCCGGAATTTTTTACAAAAGAGTACCTTGTAATCCGAAAAATCACATATCTAATGGTAAAATTATATATGTTATGTATATGTATGTACTTTGAAGTACAAATCATACATAGTTTATGTATGTCAAATTTAGTAAATTAAATAACAATAGAGAGCTTACGTTTTATTATAAAATTAAGCATAAATGCACATACATATGTACCAAAATAATCAAGAATTATTAATCAAAATCATTAATGAATTTATCAAATTATGAAGCTTGGAAATATTCATAAATTTTTTTTTGTTTAAGGTTGTTATAACGCGAGATCAGAGCTTTGTCAATCAGGCTTCTCAAAAGTAAAAGTTCGTTGTAGTATGTACCATTCTCTTTCCAAGACGATTTAATAGTTGATGACGGTAACGCATTCCACGACTGACAAAGAACAAAAACCAATTCTTTCATATTAAATTCCTTTAAAGTTTTTTCTATTGGTTGGTCTTTTGATACGGCTCTCAGAAGTAGGTTTTTCTTATAGTCTTGCTTGACACTGAATGATGTTCTGGCCCATTGGTTGAATGAGTGCAGTGCAATTTGGAGGAAGAAACATCGCAGTGATGCATTTGTCGTCAGTTGTTAGTTCTTCTTCAGACTGATAACCGGGAGCGTTATCAAGAAGCAACAACGCTTTTTGAGGAAAGTTATGATCTTTTAACCATTTTCTAACTTCATTCATCAAACCACTTTTTGAAAAGGTCTTTTGTCATCCATGCACTTTTTTGTCTGTAATCAATGTTTTTGAATGCCCGTGGTTTATTAGATTTTCCAATGACCATCATCTTAAGCGCGTGTGTGGCCGCAGCGTTAGCACATGGTAGTACGGTTACACGCTCTTTACTTACTTTTCGTCCAGGTACGGATTTTTAGTTACAAGAAACGAAAGTTTTGTTAAGCATCACACCCCAAAAAAGCCCTGATTCGTCTGCATTGTACACCTGTGACGGGTCAGGATTTAAATCGTTCACCTTTTGCAAAAATCTTAATTTAAAGGACTCTATGCAGGTGGCATCGTTAGAAAGTTTCTCTCCTGTAATAGTCATTAAACGTATGCCATGACGACTTTTAAAACGTTCTAGCCATCCTTTGCTGGCCACAAAATCATTTTTTTTGTTATTTCCTTATAAAAAAACCTAGCTTTCATGGCCAACATGGGTCCTGAAATTGGTGCATGCCTATTTCTTTCCTGAAGAAACCACATGTACAAAGCTTCTTCCACTTCTGGATGTTCAGCTTTCTTGAGTGTCTGTCTCTTGCTTGGCCTGCAGTCAGTAGTTGACACGAACTTCTTGATCTTCTCGTGGTTTCTTTTAATGTCATAAATTATAGATCGTCCTACGCCGTATTCATTTGCTAAACTACTGAAAGTTTCATTGCGATTTAAGCGGTCTAAAATATCACATTTTTCTTTAATTGTCAATGTTTTGTGCTTTCGCTTCTGAGTTTGTGATGACATTACTAGGTACTATACTTAATACACAATGAGTAAATAGTAAAAAATGAACGCACGCTAGGCCGTACCGCTATCACAAGTAGTCAAATTCAAACTAAGTAAAACAATGCTTACACGTCGAGCACGATAGCGGTGGCGCGTACAAGTTGTAACCTGTTCAAATCTGCGTGATCTACATTAGCGAAGATTGTCAAATACGTATGTATGTAATATTCAAAGACATGTCGGATTACAGGGGGCGCCGGATTAGACAGCGGCCGGATTATCGGGGGTCCACTGTAATGGTCAATCACATTAAATTGCTATAATTAAAGAATAACATTGCCTTTTAAGGTAGTTTTCTTGTAGATAGATACCATGTATATGTCTTCACATTACCCATCTTTATGTATTAATTCTGAACTTTTTAAGAATATTTTATACATCAGCACTACAATAAAATTGAAGTTCCTGATATAGAAATGTTGATTGATAATTGGTATGAAAACAAAAAATAAGGCCTGTCAAATCTCATACATTTTTTAAGCAATTAGAAACTTGTAAAATGATGAAAACATTGATGAATGTATTCTCCAAGAAGATGTCCAACTTTATGCTGTATTTGAACATCTTTATCAGCACAGCAAGTTGCCAAATGGAACTGTGATAATACCCTCAGAATTAACAAAAACAGAAAAATTAATAAACAATTAATTGTTTATTCTCAAATTTGACATCAGCCTTCCTTGTAATTACCACACACTGTTAAAATCCTACAACCTGCAGTCATAGTCCAAGAGGTGGCAATGCTGGAGCTTAAAGACGGTGGTCAATGGTGAAAAATGAAGTTTGGGCACTCTTGAATTTTTTGTACCCACATACAATGTTTTGTGACTATGTCCAAAAGTTTTTAAAAAGTTGAAAAGGCAGACTAACAGAAATTAATAACTTGCATTTTCGTGATGTATATAGCACAATGTAAGTGTTACCTCATTTAGAAATTATATGTTTGCAGGTAGAATACAAGTATATGGTAATGAACGTTATTGAATCTTTTTGCAAATACATCAAGGCGAGCATAATTCCAAATACGTTGGATAAAGCAGATAGAAATCAATTTGGAACTTTAACAACTCCAGAGCGAGACGAGATAGCTCACTATCTACCAGAACTTCTGAGATCCGTCAGATCTTCCTACTCGACGCTCATTAGATTAGGTACTGTTGTATGATTTTTAATATAAACATCATCAGGGGTGAAGCCAGAAAGTTACTTGAGCAGCAACAGGCATTGTTGCATGAAAGTCATAGTGCTAAAAAAGTGTCGTCAATTATGTTAACTTTGGCTTCCCACTCACTGTTCATAAAACATTTGGCACCAGTTATCCCATTTAAAAACCCCCTTGACTACGCTCCTATGTACCATTGCTACTCTAGACCTAAATTCAAAGTGCAATGATTTGACTCTGTTTATTTAAACTTTCAGATTTGCCAAACGAGGCTCTAGACATTATAGGAAACTTGCTGTTAGATCTTCGTATACACTGCATGAGCATTCTTTTCCAACAGACAACAGAACAAATCAAACAGTTGTCCGAGAATTGGCAAATCCAGTATAATGGAAAATATATGGGCGTTACTGACTTACCGATAAAATTTTTGCAACTTGTTGAGGATGTTATACAAATTGTTAAAGAATCAGCTTTGTCAGGTGAACAGAGAGAAAGTCCCCTCCTAGATAAGCCAACAGCTAAGAAGGAGTTGGAGAAGCAGGTATGTACTGTTTAGGAAATGCAGATTGTTCTGCCAAAGGGGTATTGTTCAAGTGATATTTGAAAAACCATTTAACTGAGGTTAAAATTAAGTACGAGTGATGTCTTTTAAGTACCAGGTACCTGGTTTGTAGACTTGGTAGATTACCGATTTTTGAAAATGTGTTTTACATTAAGAGATACAAGCGTTTTTGTTGGGTAACTTTGTTATTGTTATTGGGAAGTTCACTTTTTCACTTGTATCAAAGAAACTGCGGAATGTTGATATAATTGATCGACATGAGAGTCGGGGCAGATGAAAAAACCGTCAAAATGAGATGTTATATATATTTGTATCTTCAATTGGAGTGGCTTTTTAATTTTTTAAAGAATATAATTTTGTTTTAAAATTAAGTTTGAGACTACTGAGCAGTTTTAGTGATGTATAAAGTCTGTTTTTTCTTTGGTGCAAGTTGTTCAAGAGGGTATTTAAAATATCGTCTCATAAAATGAGTTCACCAATTTTTGTGGGACAACTTTTCAAATAAGATTTTTAAGTATACTAAGTGACATATAAATCCGAATACCCAGTTTAAATGGTTTTATTTTAATAAAATTTTGTATAAGTACTTAATGAAGCATAATAAGTAAATGATAAAAATTTCAAAATGGTTGCACTGCTTTAAAGCCCTTTGACCTTTAATAGTGTGTGGATGCGCCCTGATGTGTTACGCATTCTTCAACGCGCCTAGGCATGCTTCTGATCAGGTGGTCAATGTCCTCCTGTGGTATCTCATTCCAGGCAACCACCAACTCCCTCTCGAAGTGCTTCTAGAGTCTGAGGAGGACGTTGCAAATTGAGCAATCTCCTACCCAACATATCCCACACGTGCTCAATTGGGGATAAGTCGGAAGATCTTAGTGGCCATGGTAACAATGTGACATCATTATGTTGAAAGAAGTCTATTGTGACTCTTGCAACATGTGGTCGGGCATTATCTTGTTGGAAAGTTGGATCTGCCAGGGTGTCAAGATAGGGTAAAAGATGGGGTTCTAGAACTTCGTGGATATAACGCTGCGCGTTCATGTTACCTCTGATGAAGATTAAAGGTGACCTGGAACCATAAGCTATAGCACCCCAAACCATAACTCCAACAGTGTGATGAACATGTCTTTCAACAAAAAACTGTGGATTCCTCCTTTCACCACGTCGCCTTCTAACCCTGGCACGACCATCGTGCATGCCTAAACAAAATCGAGACTCGTCACTAAAGACAATACTGTTCCATTCCTGATCCCAGAGTGACCGTTGTCTGCACCACTCAAGGCGATTACGTCGGTGTTCTCGAGTTAAAGGGAGGACCCAGTGTGGCCGGTATGAAAACAAGCCAAAACTTCTCATTCGTCGGTAAACACTTCGCATGCCAATAGGTCTTCCGTGTTCTGCAAACCATTCATTTGCAATGGACCTGGTAGTGGAGAAACGGTCCCTTAAGGCCAATAATCTTAGGCGGCGATCTTCACGGTCTGTTGTTATACGGCGGCGTCCAGTGCCCCTTGCTCTTTGCGTACGGCCTTCTCGAAGCCATGCCTGACAACACCTAACCAGTGTTTACACTTCTTTGCACTCTAACTGCAATTGCCCGAAAAGAAAGTCCAGCTTCCCGAAGTCCCACTATACGGCCCCTATCAAACTCACTAAGTTGACGAAATCGTACAGGTCTCCGTACTCTAGGCATCGTAACCGATCGTAAAGGATGTCAAGAACCAAAATCCGCCAACGTTGATTCTTTACTGCGGCTGAAATATTCATTTTTAGAGCGTTAGTGAATTAAAAAAAAGCAGTATAAAAACCGGAATGTCCAACTGATAAGGCTGAAAATGTTTTCACTTGTTATTTACTGTAAGATAAATACATTCACCAACTTTAAATATTAATTAATTAAAATAAAACCATTTAAACTGGGTGTTCGGATTTATATGTCACTTAGTATATTTCTGAGATCTCCAAGATGAGACCACACTTGAAAAGAGCCGACTAATAGCAAAAATGTTATTGCTGAAAAACCATGCAAAATGCAGGTTTTGGCACTTACTGGTAATGCGACGATAATTTCACGCAACTACTTGCAATTCTTCAAACCCGTAAGATTCATGTTTCTAAAGAAAAACAACAAAATTTTAGTGTATTGGGCAAGTAGTTTTTGAGAATTTGCAATTGTTTATCCCTAAACACCTGCTTTCCGGCCATTACAACTAGTTTTCAGAGCAATATACAGAGTTCGTTCAAACGGCATTTAATACCAAAGCGTACGTATTTACCTTGTCGATATGAATCACAAACCATTCCGAAAGATAAATGTTGTTTTTATTCGGAAAACAAAGGTTACGTTTTTTGCTTCTAAACAAATTCAAACATTTCGTATTTGTGAGTAATTGAACAAATGCGCTACGATATTCGAAAAACATTATTATTATTATTATTATGATAATTGAGATGAGCAGAGTACGCAGTACTATAAGCTCATGCAGTAAATATAGTGTACGGACACGTAACACAAATACATCAAATAGAAAAAAATAAAAAAAGACAGTTCATAGCTATAAAGTTTGTACACTCTTCCAGCTATCATACTGCACTTTGAAGCTATTAACTGAAGTAGCACCAACCACACTTTCAGGTAAACTATTCCAGGTGTTGAATATGCGGTTGGGAAGAAACCAGTGTCGGACTGTTGTTTTAAATGGCTCCTTATGCAGTTTGAAGCTGTGTCCGCGTAGATTGCTGCGCGACAGACGGTATAGATGCATGAGGTTGGTGCCCATCAAACCATGAAGTATCCTGAACGTAACTATAAGATCGCCACGAAGTCTTCGCTCAGAGAATGAGGTCAGGTTGAATAATTCAAGGCGATCTTCATAGCTTGGTCTTCGTGCTCCAAAAGGGATACGAGTAGCCCGACGCTGTACTGATTCGACGAGATTTCTATCGCGCAGAAGCACAGTGCCCCATACCGGGCCAGCGAATTCAAGAATTGGCCTCACGAATGCCTTGTAAATGTAGGCGCAAGTGTTGACATCGGATCCTTTGAAAGACCTCTCCAGCATGTATAGAAGTTTCTTGGCTTTTGATGTAACGTGGTGAATATGCTCTGACCAGGAAAGATGATCGTTGACTACAACGCCCAGATCAGTGTGGCTGGAAACTGCTTCGATGTTGTGGTCAGAGATCTTGTATGTAAATCGCGGATTTGTCTTCCCGAGGTGAAGGACACAACACTTAGTTAGATTTAAGGGTAAAAGCCAACTGACTGACCATTGACAAACAATATCAAGATCTCGTTGAAGCATAGCAGAATTTACGACAGTATTGTAAATCTTGGTGTCGTCGGCATAAGCTGAACATGTGGAGGAAATCAATGCGAGCAGGTCACTTGTATACAGAAGGAACAGCACTGGCCCCAAGACAGAGCCTTGAGGAACTCCACTTGCTACATGATGAAGGTGAGACTGGCTATCACTGACGCGCACAGAGAAAGTCCTCCCGGTGAGAAAAGCCTTAATCCACAGTAACAACTCGCCTCTTATTCCCATACATTCCAACTTAAACAGAAGCCTTCTATGTGGTACGCGATCGAAAGCCCTAGAAAAATCTAAGTAGATTATATCAACTGAGTCCAATCGTTGAGAGGGTGGAGAAGGTTGGTCATTATTGATCGACCAGGGAGAAATCATACACATTTTAAAACAAAGCGGATGTGTCTACCATTATTCACAAATACGAAATGTTTGAATTTGTTTAGAAGAAAAAACGTAACCCATCTTTTTTTGGTAAAGGTAAACTAGTGTATTTTGCTATAAAAAATTTTTTTACGTGTAGTCTCATTTTGTAGGTCTCATAAATACCTAAAAATGATATATGAAGAGTTTTTTCGTTCCTGTCAACACTTTCGATTGAATCCCAAAAGCACGTTTTCTCATTCCATGTTTTAAATACCTTGCAGCAATAAAACCAGACTTTACATTTCACAAACCAGGGATATTTTCGTCTAATATGATTCTAGGCTATTTCTTGGTCGATAACCAACGAAATTACTTTCAGGTCGACAGCATTTTATCAGCCTTCCACGGCAGCCTAAGCACGCTTTCCTTCTCCGAGGATTTAGAAGACGGGGAAGATAGCTCCCCTGTCGTCTCTCAGCTGATAGGCACCCCTGTTAGCTCACAAAAAACTAGCAAGGCAAAGCAAAACATCCCAATATGGGAACATCGTCTGCTCATCACATTGTCAAACTGCATGTTCACCAAAAGCACCATTCTAGACACGATTCTGGCAAAATTCAAAGAATCCGGCTTCCCTTCCGTGGACGGCTGCGTCAACAACGCCAAGACAAAATTAGAGAATCTGGAGCGTACAATCCTGGACAGATATCTGGAACAAAAAAGTGACCCGCTGGTAGGCACCATCGAACCGTCGATGTACTTAGGCCGTTTCGACTGGGATGTGACAGTGTCTCCGACAGATATCCGTCCGTACGCCAAAGAATGTATCAACAATCTCATCAACGTGCACGCTGAAGTCATCGGCGTTTCCAGCGCGTTACTGGACAACGTCCTGACACGCATAGTAGAAACTGTCGCGGAGGAACTGTACAGAGTGATGTCGTGCGTGCAGAAATTTAGCAGACAGGGCGCGCAACAGGCGAGAGCGGATATACAAGCGCTGCAGGAGTTTTTCAAAGATTACACTTCGGACGCGGCCAAGGGACATTTTGCGGAAGCGTTGGACGTCGTACCGAAATTGGAGAATTCCGAGAAGGCGTTGGTGGAGGATGTGCTGAGGCAGTGCAAAGCGAGGATGAAGATACAGCTGATGTGTTTAAGGAAAACGTAAAAACGGTAAAGTTTTTCTGGCGTTTGGGAGTGCTTAGGCATTCGAGATAACAGCGTGAAACAAAGTTATATCCAATGCGAAGGTTACGTTATATGGAGTTCTGGTGCTATGAAGAAGCGTAATTGGCTGCCGATAATATACAGGGTGTCCCAGAAGTCGACGTCAAGCCGAAACCGGGTGATAGGCAAAGTCATAACAGCTATCAGAAAAATATTTAAAAAAATTTTATGTATGTGTTTTGAAAATTATAGGTCTTTGAAAAAAATATAGAAATTTCACACCCTACGACAGTCTGTCAACTCCTGTTACTACAAATATTAACTTTTTTTGGATTTTATTTTCACAATGATGCATCTTCAAACGGGTGTCTCAACCTTACTGACAACTTTTCTCGTTCAGGAAAAATTGCCACTTATTTCCCAACCAAGTATTCCAAAGTAAAAGTTTGCTCAACTTTAACTGGCTGTACTAGAAAAAAATGTACTACGAGAGTTTGGCAAGTAACCTTAAAAGTTGGCGCATTTAATAAGGATTCCAAAATGGTATAACACTTAGAAGATTATTCGTTAACTTATGCACAATTGTTATTTGAAGAAAGACTGATGAAAATTTTTCAAAATTTCCTAATTAAACAGCGATTATGAAAACGCACAAGGACCCTTAAGGATAACTGTTTGCACAACAGTGGGCGTCAAAATGCTGCTGATGATGATTTACCTTTACAGCAAATGCTCAAACTGTTTTCCTTCAGCCGCAATACACGCTCGACATCATCTTAAAAAAGATCGGGTTATTAAACGAGCGAATCCACGGTTATTAACAAACTCAGCTGCTTCCAATAGTATTTGCCGTAGCTCAGCTACATTTTGAATCGGCTTGAAATACACTTTTTCTTTTACAGTTCCCCGGTAAAAAAAACCTAACGGATTCAAATCTGGTGACCGGGCTGGCCACGGTATTGTACCAGACCGCCCTATCCATCTGCCTGGAAAGTTTTGATCGAGATACTCTCTCACTGAGAGTGCATAGTGCGCTGGGCAGCCATCATGCTGAAACCACATGTCCCTGTAAATACTCAGTGGCACGTCCACCAATAAATTTTCTAAATGATTTTGCAAAAAAACTGAATAAACCTCAGCAGTCAAAGTCTCTGAGAACTCAAACGGACCGATTATTTTACTATTTAAAATTCCTGTCCAATGGTTTATCTTGAAGCGATATTGAGATTTATCTTCTTTCATCAAATGTGGGTTTGCTACGTGCCACTCGTGTAAGTTATGCAGGTTCATGTACCCATCTTTCTTAAATGTGGTCTCATCTGACCGTAAAATTTTTTCAAAGAACCGTGGATCTTCCCTGTGTCTTTCTAACATTGTGCGACAAAAAGCAACTCGGGGCTCATAATCCCGGGGCAGAAGAGCTTGAACACGCTGTACGTGGTATGGATCCTTTAGATTTTTTTACTGGGGAACTGTAAAAGAAAAAGTGTATTTCAAGCCGATTCAAAATGTAGCTGAGCTACGGCAAAGACTATTGGAAGCAGCTGAGTTTGTTAATAACCGTGGATTCGCTCGTTTAATAACCCGATCTTTTTTAAGAAGATGTCGAGCGTGTATTGCGGCTGAAGGAAAACAGTTTGAGCATTTGCTGTAAAGGTAAATCATCATCAGCAGCATTTTGACGCCCATTGTTGTGCAACAGTTATCCTTAAGGGTCCTTGTGCGTTTTCATAATCGCTGTTTAATTAGGAAATTTTGAAAAATTTTCATCAATTTTTTTTCAAATAAAAATTGTGCATAAGTTAACGAGTAATCTTCTAAGTGTTATACCATTTTGGAATCGTTATTAAATGCGCCAACTTTTAAGGTTACTTGCCAAACCCTCGTAGTACATTTTTTTCCAGTACAGCCAGTTAAAGTTGAGCAAAGTTTTACTTTGGAATACTTGGTTGGGAAATAAGTGGCAATTTTTCCTGAACGAGAAAAGTTGGCAGTAAGGTTGAGACACCAGTTTGAAGATGCATTATTCATCATTACATTGTTAAAATAAAATCCAAAAAAAGTTAATATTTGTAGTAACACGAGTTGACAGACTGCCGTAGGGTGTGAAATTTCTATATCTTTTTCAAAGACCTATAATTTTCAAAACACACACATAAAATTTTTTTAAATATTTTTCTGATAGCTGTTATGACTTTGCCTATCACCCGGTTTCGACTTGACGTCGACTTCTGGGACACCCTGTATGAGGTTTGTCCCGGAAAATACGTATAAAAGTGGAATAATAACTTTATTTATTCGACTTTTTTTTGTTATCGGTTACCCTGCTTACTTCCACTCCATGCCTTCAGATTTCAGCTCCACATCGATTCGTAGAACCACGACCCGCTTCCCTCTGCTTCCGACCAATCCTCACAGCAAGCAACCCTCGTTGATGCTTTCTGTTCTGGGGTCAAGAGCTGCGGAAAGATTTTCGCGCACAATTTTTTCATTTCAAGTTGTTCTGTCAGAATTTCGTGCACGATTGTTTTGAGGATTGACAGTTCCTCGGCTAACATTCTAACTCTCAATCGACGCCCCGAATTCGTTCAACATTTCCCTTAGAGCTCGACGTGGAGGGGCATCCTGAGCGTTGGCCATCTTTCACGTCATCTCGACCTTCCCGAATCCTTTTCAACCACTTGTTGACGGTTGCTTCCTTCAGAGAATTATCTACGTAAACTTTTTTCAAAAATCTCACGACGATTCTTGCTTAGCTTTGCAAGAAACTTGATTTTGAGGGGATTGCATAGAGCGACGCCCTGAATTTTTTATAAGTATTTTACGGACAAACCTCGTATATCACTTGGAACTGGGCTTTTCTGGTGTTTCATAGAATGTATAGAAGATATACCTATTTAATTTGATAATTTATTGTCTATGTATATTATGCACTAAATTATAATTCCATTTATTTTTATATTTACGTTAGAATAAAAAAATATATATGAGAAATGTTTTACTATACGTACCTCTTGCCACTAACCGCGTTAGCCTTTCGGGAAACAGCAATTGAGGAGGTTCCTCTTCTATCAAATGTCTATAGCTCTCCAACATACTGTATATAGCAGTTTCTCTGATATCCATCGAACATACCTTGAAAATGTAAATACGAGGGTGGTTTCAAAAATAAGGTTCGCACATTTTTCGGGCACAAGCAATTTTTTATTTGAAAGAGCGAAATCACCATTGGAAACGTTTATCTTTGAGCTATTTTTTCCACATAGTCGCCATTTTTTCCTACGCGCTCAATCTTCGCCACAACAGCCTCCCGCTTCGTTGCTAATCGTGGATTTCTGTGCGGCTGTTAGAAAACTCTGGGCATATTAACTGCATATGTAAGTGTTCCCATATACTTCACTCAACTGGCGATGAATTTCTATGGGTTTCAAGATTTTTGCGTGCAGAAATCGGATAGCCGCACGAATTTCGCACCTGGTGGTGACGACGATGAAAACCTCTATTACGCATGACAGTTCGGGCCGGTACTGAGCGTCGCATATAGGCGCTTCTTGTTGGGATCGGTGGTGCGAGAGCCGACAAACACGACGGTGTTGCCAGATTTCGTCTATCATCACGCGCGGCAAAGATACAGCGTTGGAAATCTGCCTTTTGAGACAACCCTCGTATATTACTCAGGAAATTGGAAGCATACAGTATCAGGAAGGACAGCATCCATTCCCTGAAATCGTTTCTCCAGGTCAGATTTCAAACGGTCAAGGTTGCTGTGGTAACATCAGCAAAAAATAGGGTGAAGTATGATGCACCTCATGGGTCAGTTTTAGGACCGATTCTCTTCCTGATATACAGGGTGACTTCGAAGTTGAGTCATTTATTTTAACAGTGAGTAGATCTGATCAAAAGAAATGTTTTTTTCCTTTACCATTTTTCTGGTAAAATTAAAGTGACAAAGTTGTAGCCCTTTGGAAGTTTGAGTACCGCCCTGTCTCAATAATAATATCATGTGCTCGTGTTTGACAACAACGGATATAATCCGCCTTATCGGTTCATCGCATCGGAAACAAAAAAGCGAAAGAATTTGGAACGATGTTTTTACAATTATTTTATTCAGTTCAGTTATACATACAGTCAGTGTCAGTCGGTAACGCGTGTGAATAGTGTCTGTTGCGTGGCTCAAACGAAATAAAAAATGGCACATGTTTATGCTGATCGGTTTCCCAATCGAGTGCAACCAACCCCTCGTGCCTTTGTTAATGTAGTACAACGGGCTCGTGAATCAGGTGACTTAAGACCTCACAGGGGACCTCACGATCAAATACAGGTCCGCACTGAAATACTTGTCGGGAGGATACTTTATAAAACAAGGTAAAAAATTTTTTTTAATTTTTTTTTATTTTTACACACATATTTTGGTTTATCTACAATCATTATCTGAAAATTAATGACTCAACTTCAAAGTCACCCTGTAAATAAATTATCTTCCACGTATGGATAGAAAGTTACAACGTTGGAAACCATATTTTTGAAACGACCCTCGTATACTATGGTAATGTTAAGGCGGATACACAGTATTGTCATATTACGTGAACATGAGCTGTCACGTAACTCACGTAACGCAATCTACATGACACGAGCATATTTTATGTTCCTGAGATGACTATAGTACATTTCTAAATACAGCAGACGCTCGATAACGTAAACACGGGATAATGAAAACTTGCGCTAATGTAAACACAAACTTCGTTCTATAGAGTCAAACGGAACGCGCGATAACGTAAACAATGTGTACGCTCGATAACGTAAACAACTCTCGGCGCACGGAAACAGCGCGACGGTAAAATGCTGAAGCCTCGATGATTTATGTCGGGCGTCGGGGAGTCCCCGATTTATGATGTAGAGTGTAGGGGATTCACCTCTGCGATAAAATACGACAAACTCGGTCAGTCGTATGATCGTTTAGGATACGTTTATACGTACGTATGTATTTCATTTTATTTATTTTACGACTATGGCATCCACATCCTATAAAAGAAAGTGTTTACAGATGAGTGAGAAAGTGAAAATCATAGACGAAGTTGCACTAGGTGCGGGAGTGACACAGTTAGCAAAAAAATATGGAGTATCGAAAGCAACAATCTGTAAAATTAAGCGTATGAAAACTCAAATTTTACAAAGAACGTGCAATACATTTGGAGGTCCGGGAAAAAGAAAAACTTTAAAACATGCGAAGGCACCTAAAATGGAAAATTCCCTGTATAAGTGGTTTTTAAAACAACGGGAAAACCATGTCCCAGTTAGTGGCGAAGTACTTAAACAGAGAGCGAGACTGTTAAATGAAAAACTGAAAATTTCGTAGCTAGTGATGGCTGGCTAGGACGATTCAAAACAAGATATGGAATTCGACTGCTGTCTATATCTAGTGAAAAATTATCAGCACAACCACAATTAGTGCAACCATTAAAAGAAAAATTGATGAAAACAATTACCGAGATAGATTTAAGAATGGAACAAATTTACAACGCAGATGAAAGTGGCCTTTATTGGAAAATGTTACCAGAGAAAACCTATGCTGCATCATTTGAAAAATCTGCCCCGGGAAGAAAACCGGAGAAACAACGAATAACGTTTCTAGCCTGCACTAATGCTAATGGTTCACACAAAATAAAGCCACTGGTAATTGGGAAAGAAAAAAATCCGCGTTCATTTAAAAATGATAATATCCCTGTTGGTTATGACTGTTCAAAAACCGCTTGGATGACTAGTATATTCCTGAAATGGTTCCACAGGTGCTTTGTCCCTCAGGTATGACAATCAATTATCACAAATGCTCTATTCATAATTTGAAGATGTGTTTTCAATTTGTAGGTAAAAGGTTTCCTAAAACAACAGAAGCTTCCAATAAAAGCGTTGTTACTATTGGATAATGCACGAAGTCATCCTCCCGAGCAACAACTGAGGAGCAGGGATGGGTCAATTTTCGTCATGTACATGCCGCCCAACGTAACACCGTTAATTCAACCGATGGACCAGAATATAATAAGACTCACCAAACTATACTATAGGAAGTTTCTACTTTCGTCTGTCTTATCAAAGAATCCTGAAAACTTATCTGAGGCTTTAAAAAAAGTAACATTACGAGAAGCTGTTTTAGATTTACATATGGCCTGGAATGAACTTAACCAGCAAACTATTCAAAAATGTTGGAACAATCTATTTTGTACCAATAATGAAGATGATGAAGAAGACGATGTCCCCTTAAGCGTAATTAGAGAACGTTTGCGATCCAATAATGATAATGTTATTAGTGTGTCATTGGATGTTGTTGATTTATTGAAAACAGTGAATCCCAACATTGTTTGTACTCCTGCTGATATTAATTTATGGAACGAAGATAAGCATAAGAATGATGCTGATAAGGAGGAGGATATGGACAGTGAGGATGATGAGAACGATCCCATTGAAGTCAGAAGTGTAGTGACTGACGCGCAAGCTATACAAGTTTTTAACCAAGCTTTAGATTGGGCTGAAAGAAAAGAAGTTTCATACATGGATATTTTAGTTCTTCGTAAATTACGGGCGCAGGCATTGGAAGACAATGCTATGCGCAAATTTACGCAGACAAAAATTGTTAATTATTTTTCTTCTAATTAAAAAAATACTTATCGCTGTTAGAATATTTGTTTATTTTGTTATAAATAGTATGTATTAAACGTTTCTTTTAATAAATCAAATATTATATAAATCACGTTCGCTAATGTAAACATTTCGATAATGTGATCCACACTTGGATTAAATTAGTTTACATTATCGAGCGTCTGCTGTAAATAGGATAATTACGTAAAAAACTATATAATTTCACAAAAAAACCGACAAAATATCAACTTGCTAACCAGATCGCTCCTAGTGTGCAAGTAGTTCAAAACAAATCAAAATTGACTATGACGAAACCAAGAACTATGTTATTCCACCTGCGTGACAAATGCTCGGCCTAAGTATCTGTAAAGTTTATCCATTAAAACAATTCTACTAACCATATGCTGCCTGAATTGACACCCGCCACCTTCATCCAGCACCTTGAACCTGTATGCCCTTTCGCCACAACAGGGATACCTAGAACCAGATTATAAGTTAATTTTAAAGATGAAGCTTCAAGTCATCAACACCTGGAAGATAAAAGGAATCAAAAAGTTAGCTAATATCTCTACGAACGATCAATATTTCAGAAAGAATTACTTGAATTTAGCAAACTAGGTATGTCATGATATAAAGTATACTTGTAATTTGAAGATGCTTAAAAGAAAACTAAAGGAACACTTAAGGGACAGTGAACATTCTTAGAGACGCAAGTTTTATTTTTCTAAATGCATGCTATGTAATAGTAGTAGTATTTTAAAAAATATAACTGTAGCAAACAAGCCAAATAAAACTTAAACAAAAAACATTTGCACCTATTCCCGTATGGTTTGAGTCGTATTCCTAATTCAAATACCACCCCGTAAAACAGAAACGAACATCACCTTCCGACGGGCAACGGAGGTTTCTGACACCCAGCATCCGTGGCAAAAAACTGGGGCGGGTCAGGATGATGACGACACCAAGCGTGACGGGTACATGGGAAAGGCTGGCGACAGGCGGCGCAAAACAAGAAATGGGCGGAGCCCCACAGCCGCCAATAAACGCGACGCCACGACTTTAGGGCGGAGCGTAAAGTGACGATGTGGTTGCTCAGAGACCATCTGAGATCCCTGAAACATAAAGAAAACGTTTTAGTATACCGAAATTAGTCATGATACGAGGTTTGTTCCAGCTTTGAGTCTTATTTATGTAATGTGGAATCGGAGTTGATGTGACACCTCATTTTGAAGCTGCTTATCAGTAATAGTTAACCGTAGAATATGAATTCATCCAATTCCACTGAAGATCCTTCTGCGATGTTTTTTGTGAGGTCATCTTTTTTCAGAATGTTACACTGACAGGCAGAACTAATCATCAAAACGCTATACAGGGTGTCCGCAAAGTTGAGGTTTTCCTTTACACGACGTGTAGATCTTGAAAACAAGCAATTTTTCTTAGTACCATATACACCAATGTCTTAAGGGAACCGAGATAAAGGGCTCTGAATATCTGAATACCGTCCTGTAGCCGCGACATCCCCGACTGGTACTAGGACACTAGCTCAACCCGTCGACAGAACTGGGTCGGGGTCAGTGTGTCAGGTCAGTATGCAACCTTCAACCGACGGTTACGGTCACGCGTGTAGAGGTAATCGCGTAGACGAGAATCCCTCAACAAGCACTAGAGAAGTGCAAGTATCAAAAACCAAAGTGTGGCAAACGCTGCGTGAAGAGGGGCTGTATCCGTTTCACGTCCAACGTGTACAAGCCCTTCAACCTGACGATTTTCCAGCAAGAGTGCGGTTTTGTGAGTGGTGGTTGCATCAACATGACAATAATCCGGACTTTTTGAAGTGCATATTGGTGACAGACGAATCTACGTTCACGCGTAATGGGGTGAATAACTTTCGCAACACTCATGTTTGGTCAGTCGGGCACATTTTCAACAAACATTTTCGGTGAATGTTTGGGCTGGCATGGTGAACGGTATGCTCATTGGACCATTTATTCTCCCAAATCGATTGGACGGGATGCAATACCTAGACTATTTACGCAACATTTTACCTTCCTTGTTTGCCTGCGTCTGCTCGGTAGCGCATCAGCTGATTTTATTTTCTGTTGGAGCGGTATGATTTCGGGCAGAGACGTACTTAGCCCTTCTGGTCAACTGGAGAGTGAGTACTTTTTCCTTTATTTTTTTTTTATTTGGTCGCCCTCGTTTTACTACACCTCACCTTTGTTATTTCAAGGGTAGTTGTTTCTGAAAAGGAAAACCCCAACTTTGCGGACACCCTGTATTGTTCTGCATTCATGTTCTTCTATTGTGAATTGTGACTAAGGTACTCGTAGAAGTAGAACAACTTACATCACATGCAAACTTATAATTGATCCGTCTGGTTGCAATCTCATGCATGATGGTATGCATGGAATATTTGGCGCCACATGAGGAGTCATAAGCAAGTGGCATTTCTCACATCTGAAAAAGTTTACACAAGCTTTTATTTAAGTTGAGCTGTTGGTATGTATGCATTTTACAAATATGAACCAGTTAACCTTAAACAATGGAGCTGAAATTTTGTACACACATTTGATTTGCGCGACAACAAAGAATTAATTAACTGTCGCCATTTTGAATCCAATATGGCGGATACTACAAAATGGCGATTCATCATTTATACAGTAACCCCCATGATATGGGTATCAAATGAAAGGGCTTGATGAGAGGAATATACTGAACAAAGTGACGTCATTCTAAATCGAATATGGCAGCCGCTGCAAAATGGCGATTTACATATTTCATCGTGACCCCTACGACATGGATATCATTTAAATGGGCTTGAGAGAGAAACGTAATAAGCAAAGTGACGTCATCCTAGATCCAATATCACGTCATTCAAAATTCGATATGGCGATATATATCAACGGAAATTTTATAAAAAAATTAACTAAGATGATTTATGGAGTTCTATTAATAAAATAGGTGAGAGTAATATAGAGAAAGATAAAAAGTAAAACCAAAATTACGCTTTTAAAAACAAGCTTTTATTTAGCTGTTCGTAAAACAAGCTGAGAATTTAAAAATATTGGAAATATTCAAACGATAACGAAGCTTCTTCATCTCAAGTTTTCAAATAAATGCTCGTTACGTTTTGTACAGCAGGATGGAAAAAGGTTCATTATACGAACAGCTAAATAAAATCTTATTTTCAAAAACGTGTTTTTCTATTTTATTTATTTTTAGATAGGACTCTTTTAAATTTATGAATACATTATGGATACATACTTGAAAAGACTTGCTAGAGAACACCAATGTCCCCTAACACTCTCAGCGTCCGGTTCACCTAATGACATGATGAGCTTTGTGAACAGTCGCGATTGTATTTTGTCTTTTCGGTCCTTGATAGCCTCCACTTCAGTATTGGTGTACATTGCAGCTAATCTGAAAGTACGCTGTGAGTTTAGCAGAAGACGGTCACTATTCATTATTTGTCAACTTTTATCTGCTATCTATTCCGTCTTCAATACCCCATGGGTACACGGGGCCCATGTCTAGTGCCTCGCCTTGATAGGAGTCCGCAAATTTCCAACAATTAAGGAAAATTTAAAAAAAAAAATTTGTGAACCCGCTCTCCATTGTCTCCCAACAGTAAAGTATGACGCTGGATTTGGAAATAAATATATTGCATAGTAGTAGCGATTATCTCATGACGTCGAGTGATGCAGCAGTGGGTGGATGCGTGTTGCTGGGTAGGCGGTGTTGCCAGAATATGCGTAATATTTGTTAATAGCAAAAACGCCTTTCAGTGATATTAAAGATGCGTTGCTTGCATCCCTCCACCCTCCCTCACAACCCCCAATTTTTTTCTGAAAATGAGCAAAATTCTCTGAAACGCCAAAAAACGAAGCTGGAGTAAATTTTTCATGTTTTGACCGATCTTCAAGACCTACAAAGCTTTTCCGTCCTTGGCGTATGTATGCATCTGATTTAACATCCAAAAAAGCATATTTATCTCTATTTGAGAATTATCGCGATTTCAATGCTTCCTCGTCAATTAACGTCTGAAGTAAAATAAATAGATTTGGATTCGTTTCATTTGCTAATAAACGTTTATCAAATCTGTTTCTGACCGATGGAGAAATATTTTTGGACATTTAGTGTCACCAAAGAAGGTAAGCCTATGAGTTTATTCCGAAATACCTCGTCAGAACAGAATCATTCAAACAGGACAAGTTGGTACTGGTCCTGAGGATCTCATTCATATGTTCATGGCAAAATAAAAGACAATCATTCAATAACGGATCCATTTGTAGGAATGCGGCCGATACCAGAATCGGTATGACGCACTGAGGGTCCAATTTAGGCCAATCTTCCTCTAACAGAGATTCTTTTTTCACCCACTGCATGAGCCATTCGAATATGGCTATGTCGCAGTGAACCGATATGTCCATATCCTCCAAGCGTTGACCTACAAGGGAAAACAATACAATTAGTATGGATTACGCACAAAAATGAAGAATGGTATTTGCAGGATGAGGTGCTTATACCCTATTTCAGAATTACGTGTCCTATACCGCACGGGGATCATGTAAAACACCTATGAAACGTCAAAAAAACCTATAAGATGTCAACTTGCAGACTAGGTAGTTTTTAGGGCGCAAACAGTCATTCCACGTTTGCTCACTAGGATCGTTGTGAACGTCCATCTATGGAGGAATCACTCAACTAAACTGCGCATTATTGGTTGCATAGTTTTGTGAGTCTGAGTGATCCGGGTCTGTAGTTTGTATCTCTGAGAAGAAAGTTGGTTGAGTAGCAAGATCGCATCTGGATGATTATGTGTATTGGTCTGCATGTGTATAAAATCAGTGATATTTGCTGTGTGAGAAAATGATTTCTAATTATGACGGGTTATTTATATGTTGTGCTTTCTGAAGAGAGGTTATGTTCAAAGTTATAAATTACGAAAAACTGAGGAGAATTACGGGAAATCGTCACCGCGCCCGCGTTGTGTGTAATTATTGTTAGCATGTATATGGCTTGTAATTCGACAGTGTACAATGATTATAATTATTTCTTATCTCTCTCATTTCTGAAATTCAGCAAATTTGTATATGTAATTTCCAGAATGGATAAATGACTAGTCTTTGAACATGAAAGAGGGGAGATAATTGCGATATAGACGGTGTCCATTTTAATATCCCCACACTAGAAAGAAAGTAGGGTTTCGAGGGGGGCTTACTAATGACATTGACTATGACCGTCAAGGTTATTTCAATGTCAAGTGAATCTTTTTAAATGGACTCCCTTTTTCACAGCTGAATTGAAGAGTGGCAAATTGTACCTATGTCCGAGCATGCCTTCAAAGCTACTTCAAGGTCAAATCAAGACATCGAAAAGAATTGGCTCTAGCAAAATGGTCGACAGCATATTTGTGGAATCACCTAAGGGTGACCTGGACCATGACAATCAAGGTCAAGTTAACATTTACAAAGGAAACCTCTCATTTGTGTACTGGAAATGAAAAAAATGAAATTTTACTTTCTAAAGGGGCCTTGACCTCTGAGTCAAGGTCGTGTCAAGTTTCATTGTTATTTGAGGTCAATACCACATTTGGTCGCGAAATTTCCTGCTTTTTCCATTATAATATGAGATTATAATGACAGTTTTTCTTTGGAAATTTTGACTTGCCCTTGAAAGTCAAGGTCCTCGCCAAGGTCGCCTTTGGGTGATTCCCACAAACCTCACAACTAAGCTGTCGAACATTTTTGTTAAAACAAATTGCTTTCAACGTTTGATTTCAGCTTGAAAAGGCCTTGAAGACAATGGTCAAGGTGATGTGTGGACGTAAGATCTACTACGATGTGAAAAATTTGAAATTTCTTCACTTTATCTTGAATGTCCCAATCAAGATCATTGTCAACTTTTCATTGGCTCTTTTTTCTATAATGCGCAATTTTCGAAATATTTGTGTGGGGAGATGAAAATGGGACACCGTGTATAATGTGACGACAGTAGTTTAAAATATCACGATGAGAATACCTAGTGTCACCTCTGCAAAGTATCCCATTTTTTCGACAAGTAGTTTCTGGTTGCACACAAATGTTTTCTTCATATTCTTCACCTCATCGCATACATGTATCTCCACCTCGGAGCTAGAATATTTTATAATTGAGGATTTGAGCGTAAAACTTGGAAATCTGGTATACTTACTCAGTTTTAATGACACTCAACTTACAACTGGAGTCTCCAGACGACTTTTTAGACAGTACCTTTTCACTTGAAGACTGTGAGCTTGACTGAACCGAGAGCTTCTCTAAAAATACAGGTGGTGAAAACTTGAATGATGTCCCGCAATTTATATACCATTTAATTTAACTGATAGATTCTTCTTGATGTTGGCAGCATTTTGTACGAGGTATGGTAAAACAGAGTCCAGAAGTCCTTCAGACAAAACCTCACTCAATTTGTTTTTCAGTGAGTCCGCCTCTGACAAGTTACCAACGGAAGCGCTATTACTATTAGTGCAGCTCGTACCACTTTTCTTACTACGTGTTTCTGAAATGATTTTGGACGATCAGCGATCAGCATTCACTGTAATCCATAACATCCAATGAATTTAGATTAGGTAGAAGGAGGAAGCCTACGATTTGTCTCCAAAATCTCAGTCTATTGTCAGGATCAAAGTTCATACAAGTGAACCTGACATAAGTTAATTTTTTGACAGTTCTTTCATTAAATTCGTATTTTCAATGTTCTTTCTTAAAAGTGCGAGTGTTTGCAGATAAAATGTTCCTCAACGCCCTAACTTAAACCCCGCTACTGCTGAAATATCGGCGAAACGGTTAATTTGACAGCTGTCAAAATTTGACATTATACAGACATTTTTCAATTAGTATGTGCACAAATTTTTTCTTCGTGATGCTGAGAGACTGGACATATATTCACATCCGTATTCATACCCAATTTCAAAATGTGTACGCTCAAGATAAAACCATTATTTGGGCGTAGAGAATAAACTAAAGCATGTTTTCAACATGAATTTTAATTCAAGGAACTGATGTAACATGTTGGCAACGCCGCAGCAATGTCGTCAAGCCGTCAAACATATTTTGGTTTCCCTGTATACAGCGTGTCCCAGATTCGCTTCTCTATACAGAGATCTCGGCTCCTGTTACACCTACAGCAAAGGTTAAATGAGGAAAGTCTTAGAGGAAACTTAGTGCATTCGATAGCCGCCTTCAGATTTACGATCTATCAATTGGTTTTGGAAATATCGGCGATAAACAGAAAATGTCGAATTTTTTTTTGCCCGTAAATCCGAAACGGTTAATTTGACAGCTGTCAAAATGCGATATTATACGGACATTTTTTTAAGGCGGATAAGATAACGTGTAAGACATGTCTCAATCGTCTTTTGTTTTCCCGCAACCTGCCCCAACTTTCATTTTTCTAATGGCCGCCATATTGGATTTTTCGATTTTTCAAAAGAGCGTAATATTTCCAGCCTAGTGTTGAGGCACAAGTGTATAAAAGATTGGAGTATCATCAAAATATCATCACACGTAATGCTATGTATATACTAAGTGACAGTAAAATTTTGTATAAGTACTTAATGAAGCATAATAAGTAAATGATAAAAATTTCAAAATGATTGCACTGCTTTAAAGCCCTTTGACCTTTAATAATGTGTGGATGCACCCTGATGTGCTACGCATTTCCTAACGCGCCTAGGCATGCTTCTGATCAGGTGGTCAATGTCCTCCTGTGGTATCTTATTCCAGGCAACCACCAACTCCTCTCGAAGTGCTTCTAGAGTCTGAGGAGGACGTTGCAAATTGAGCAATCTCCTTCTTATCATATCCCACACGTGCTCAATTGGGGATAAGTCGGGAGATCTTGGTGGCCATGGTAAGAATGTGACATCATTATGTTGAAAGAAGTCTATTGTGACTCTTGCAACATGTGGTCGGGCATTATCTTGTTGGAAAGTTGGATCTGCCAGGGTGTCAAGATAGGGTAAAAGATGGGGTTCTAGAACTTCGTGAATATAACGCTGTGCGTTCATGTTACCTCTGATGAAGATTAAAGGTGACCTGGAACCATAAGCTATAGCACCTCAAACCATAACTCCAACAGTGTGATGAACATGTCTTTCAACAAAAAACTGTGGATTCCTCCTGTCACCACGTCGCCTTCTAACCCTGGCACGACCATCGTGCATGCCTAAACAAAAATCGAGACTTGTCACTAAAGACAATACTGTTCCATTCCTGATCCCAGAGTGACCGTTGTCTGCACCACTCAAGGCGATTACGTCGGTGTTCTCGAGTTAAAGGGAGGACCCAGTGTGGCCGGTATGAAAACAAGCCAAAACTTCTCATTCGTCGGTAAACACTTAGCATGTCAATAGGTCTTCCGTGTTCTGCAAACAATTCATTTGCAATGGACCTGGTAGTGGAGAAACGGTCCCTTAAGGCCAATAATCTTAGGCGGCGATCTTCACGGTCTGTTGGTCTACGGCGGCGTCCAGTGCCCCTTGTTCTTTGCGTACGGCCTTCTCGAAGCCATGCCTGACAACACCTAAACACAGTGTCTACACTTCTTTGCACTCTAACTGCAATTGCCCGAAAAGAAAGTCCAGCTTCCCGAAGTCCCACTATACGGCCCCTATCAAACTCACTAAGTTGACGAAATCGTACAGGTCTCGGTACTCTAGGCATCGTAACCGATCGTAAAGGATGTCAAGAACCAAAATCCGCCAACGTTGATTCTTTACTGCGGCTGAAATATTCATTTTTAGAGCGTTAGTGAATTAAAAAAAAGCAGTATAAAAACCGGAATGTCCAACTGATAAGGCTGAAAATTTCTCCACTTGTTATTTACAGTAAGATAAATACATTCACCAACTTTTATTAAAATAAAACCATTTAAACTGGGTGTTCGGATTTATATGTCACTTAGTATATATATAAAAAATCGTAGTTTATAATTTTTTCTAAAAAAAAATCGTATTTTTTTGCAACAGTGAATAGAGGTATAAAAGATTTCTACCTCAAAGTAAAAATCGACCGTCAGAACGACTTTTTCTAGTGCTCTTATCAGCAGAAATAATTAGTTATATAGAAGCGGCTAATTTGAAACCGATACGATGATAGTATAAAATATACTCGTAGCTGCAAGATCCAAATAAATGAGAAACATACAAGACATACTAACTCGACCAATACAAATCGAAATCTGCACACTTCTCTCGCAAAACAGAAAAAACTCGTTGGAACGCTCTTATCAGTAAGCAGAAATAGTCCCACAAAAAATCTCCGACGCTGATTGGTCAACCAATACAATTATCGTTTGAGGAATATTCTACGTCTGCTATAGGCGTATGGCATCTAGGCGGGTCTCACGAGTTTTTTTCTATCTCTCACAGGATATTATTGGTTATCTAGAATTCCATTTGCTTGCTATCATGTAGGAAACGTTGGGATACGATTTTCAAAATACGTTGGCAGTTGAGATTTTGGTACTTGTCGCGACACTTGATTATCGATTAGTATGTGCACAAATTTTTTCTTCCAGGGGGCCATGATTTATTTGTCAGAAACCAACATTAATGAGTAAGGAATAAAAAGCACATAAGCGCCTTGAATTTTCAATAGAACATTAAGGTTAATATCGACTTCTCAACAAGTCAAATGATTTGGGACAAATTCCCAGTGAGGAACAACAAGAAGACAAAAAGAAGAGGACACGAAGGAAGAGAATCTTTTGAAACAGGAAGCAATTAGGCATTGTTAAATTCATTCGACAAACATAGATCCTGGAATATTATTACTAATAAGAGAGTGTCACTGAGGAACTGATTAGATAGAATTTATTTTAATACACACATCACGTTTAAACTAGTGAAAAATTCACCTTTTGCATCTTCCTGCAACAGAGTATCAGACGTTTGACAACAGATACTATTTATTCTTAACAGCTCTTGGTTCTCCTTACTTTTCAACCAGTCAACTGCGTCTTTCATGCCACCAGACATCAATATTCCATCGCCGCCACTCTCATTATCTTGTAGCTGCAGCAACAAATTTTAAAATGGCATCAAGTAGGTTGACTCTACTTCCCACGCAGTTATGTCTTCAATTGGATTATATTTTCATATATTTATATTCGGTTTATTTTCAAATATGACGCCATATAGTCGAAATCACGAAAGATGACGACTACGTCATCGTTTTAGTCTGTAGTAAAGACAAACGACAAAGATTTGTGAATATCTTTAATCAAGTTCCAGATATGTTAGACAGAGACAAACAGAATTTTATTGTCTAAAAAAACTGTATTGCTAATATGCAGGTATCCGACAAAGATAGACGATGTTTTCCTGTTGCATGATCGATCATATTTGAAAGATGAGTAGTTAGGTTATTTTAAAGCAGGTTAGGTTGTTTTCGAATGATACTTTGGTCTTTGGTGTTTCTATCTTAAGGTATTCTAATCATAACTGGTTTTTTTCAAAACTCCGCACTAAGATTATTATTACTCAAAAACCATGAAATAAAATCAAAATAAAAATAATCAGTGAAATCACAATATACATAATATACATTTGTTATCATCATTCCTGACATCATGATTTTATCATCGACGTACGTCCATTGATTACTTCAGTACAATTTATGGTATGACGTAAAAGTCATCTTTCCTGATTCCGACTTTATATATGAATTATGGTTAAACAAATCGTTCAAAGCAATTACAGTTGTGAGATATAAAAGTCGACCTACTTAACTCGTATTTTTAGCAGACTGAACAGCACATTCATATGATTACATTAGTCTAGAATAGCCTGATGCAGTAGCTGTCAAAACGAAATTGCGACAACATTCAAGTGAACATGATGACGCCAAAATGACGTCATAATTCGGTCACTTTCGGTCGGAAACATCATTGACTAAAGGTGACGTCTTTATTGACGCCATTATATGAGAAGGCGTACTTTAAAAGGCTGTCATTTTGTAGACTTTTTAGGTAAGTCGGTAATGAAAAATCAACACCTACCTATAAAGAAAATACAGACTTAATGAACAGTCTATATTTATAGTGCTTGAATGTCATACCTGATAAGCTGTTTTCAGGTAATTCAAAAACTCCTTCACTGAGATGTGAGAACTTTCATTTTTCTTCTTGACCAAAGCCTTGGTCTCGTTCCCTTTTTCATCAGCTGTATCAATCCCGATTTTCATCTCGGCTTCCATTTTTGTAATCGCCAGCACGAGATCATACGTATCCAGTAAATAAAAGGTATTGATCAAACTTCCAATTTTCTTATGATCCAATTTTAGCGCCGAACTGAACTCACAACAAACACGTAACGCTTTTTCAATCAAATGCCCTCATATTTTTGGAAATTTCATAAAAATGTCGACGGAAATCAAAAGTGACACTTGACCCAAATATTCAAATTACCATTTGAACTACTACATGTACATGCCACGACTAGTGCCCTCTGGTGCATTTTAAAAGAACTATAGACTGAAATAGACGTGAAGTGGTTTTAAGGGTACCTACATTTTATAGGCTAAATAAAAATATAAAAAAAATGGATCCAAAATAGTCAGAGCAGAGCATGCTGTTAAAGATCATCTCAGGTAGCTGAAGCTTATCAAAAATGCTTGCATTTAGAGTTTCGTGATCCTCATTATATGGGGTTGGCCAAAACGGACGCAGGAAAGTAAACGCATATTAAAACAAGAAAGATTGATATTCAAATCAAGTTGGGTACTTTATTTTGAAGGTTCATTTATACCATTTATGTATGAAAAATAATATCGCTCAAATGTTCACCACGACTGGATTTACAGACGTCCACGCGATGGTCGAAATTTTCAATGACATTTTGCAACGTGGTCGGTTCTATGGCATTTATCTCGGCAGTGATGTTGTTTTTGAGTTCTTGGAGGGTGGCTGGTTTGTTGACGTAGACTTTGCTTTTCAAATATCCCCATAAAAAGAAGTCCAAGGGAGTCAAATCGCACGATCTTGGTGGCCATGGCACATTTCCTCTGCGCGAAATCACGCGATCACCGAAGAAAGACTGCAATAGATGGATATTGACGTTGGTTGTGTGGCATGTTGCACCGTCTTGTTGGAAATAAACATCGTCCATATCCATTCCTTCAAGTTGCGGTAAAAAAATAGTCCTCTATCATGATGTGATATCGCTCAGAATTGACGGTAACGGCGTCCCCGGCCGCATTGTCGAAAAAGTAAGGTCCGATGATGCCTTTTGACCACAATGCACACCACACAGTCACTTTTTGAGAATGCATCGGCTGCTCTTGATACTCACGGGGATTTTCGTTCGCCCAGATGCGGCAGTTTTGCTTGTTTACCGTCCCATTCAAAGTGAAATGCGCTTCGTCGCTGAACATGATTTTTGGTGAAAAATTGGCATCAATTTGGCGGTGTTCAAGGAGCCAATCTGAGAACGTTCGGCGCGAAAAATGGTCGGCCCGACGCAGCTCTTGCGTCAATATTGGATCTTGTAGGCGTGTACATTCAAATCCTTGTGGAGAATGCGGAGCAAACTGGTTCTCGAAATGCCCAATTCTTGGGATCGACGCGTTGTTGATTGTTTCGGATCGTCTCTCACACTCTCCTTCACAACAGCAATATTTTCCGGTGTGCGAACGCTCCTTGGCCGGCCAGAGCCCGGCAGATTTGCCACCGAACCTGTTGCCTCGAATTTACGCACCAGACGACCGATGGTTGTTTCGTTTGGGCGGTTGTTGCGACCGAAATGTTCACGAAGCGCGCGAAACGTGTTTTTTATTTTTGCACCATTTTTGTAGTGCTCTTGAATAACTTTAATGCGGTCTTCAATCGAATACGACTCCATAGCGATCAATGGTAAACATTCAACTAACAAAATGACATGTCGGTGACAGAAAACAAAGATTGCGTCTATGTCAAATTGACGTTTACTTTCCTGCGTCCCTATTGGACAACCCTTTATATATGCAAAATTGCATTTGAGCTCCAATTTAAGAGGAATGGTCAAATATAAACAGCCACAGGATCCCAGCATGTTTCACAGATCCTATGTTAAATTGTAATGACCACAATGCTCGTTATTTTGTGGATTATTCACAGGTATACGCATCTTGGAGGCATAAAAACATAGTGAATGTGTTTTTGTACTTTTATTTTCAATTAATCACAATAAATCTAATACCTAGACTCAGAAAACCACCAAAACAAACCTAATACTTTGATGGCATCGTTTCGGACCTAGCTACAGAATATCTTATACCTATACGCAGTACATAAGTAGAATATATGTTAAATCACCATGTTAAAAACCCAAACGTCATTTATACATTTTCAAAATATCACTAAAATCAATACCATAGAAAAGCAACAAACTTATCAAATATAACTTTTATATGTCTTGTGTACTGTTACATTAAAATGATTTAAATCATATCAATTGTGTTCCTTACAGATCAGCACCATAAACATTTTCATCAGAGTATGCTATGTAGAGGAAGAAATCTTCTTCGTGATATTCCTGAAATAGAAAACAAATCATACTTCGAAAAACAAACGTATCTGAAAAATATGTGCTTATTTAGTATCGGAGGAAAATAGTGAAGTGATTTGTAAAAAAAATAGAATAGTATTACATTGTTGTTCACAAATTGGATAAATGGGGTAGACAGTCAATAGTAATTTATGTGTTTTTTAAGGTAAAAAAACCAAAGCCAAAATTATAGGTCAGGTATGTGATAGGGAATTTTTCATTAATTTAAGATGGAAACAGCTGTCTTGCAAGTGATTAGATAAGAAAAATTAACGAATTCTAGTATCAGTAAATTTTTTGTTATAGTCAAAATCATGAAAGATGACTGTTACGTCATATCATAAATTGTACTGAAGTAATCAATGGATGTACGTCGTTGATAAAATCACGATGTTATGAATTTATAATATGATTTTGAAAAGTTAGGTTATTTCACTGATTATTTTTATTTTATTTCATGGTTTTAAGTGGTACCTTAGTAATAATTGTAGTGAGGAGTTTTTGTTTTGAAAAGAAAAAAGTTATGAGTGGAATACGCCTTGCGAGATTAACACCAAAGACTAAAGTACCATTCAAAATCAATCTAACCTGCTTTAACATAACCTAACTATTCATCTTTCAAATGTGATCGATCATAAACATGAAAACATCGTCTATCTTTGTCGGATACATGCAAATTAGCAATACAGTTTGTTTAGACGATAAGATTCTGTTTGTCTCTGTCTAGCATATTTGAAAGTTCATTAAAAGTATTCACAAATCGCTGTCGTTTGTCTTTACTGCAGACTAAAATAATGACGCAATCGTCATCTTTCGTGATTTTTACTATATTTGAGTACTCATAGAACTTGCCGAATATTTCAAAATATCAATGACTAATCGTAGCAGTATCATTGGTGTTTGTGATTGAAATACTTGTGTTTTTGTATATGTGCCAATTTCAGTTTTGTAAAAATAAGCTGAGCTTGTAAACATGAAAATTACACAACAAATAAAATTGTGGATACAATATTAAGAAAAGACCTGGTGATTTATGTGCAGTTAAACAATAAGATCATACATCAAATTATCATTCAATAGTAAGCATATGGTACATATTTGGAGCTAAAGAGCAACACATAGTTTTATTTGGTAAATTAATATGAAATTTATAGTTATTTCAATTTCTTATCCTTAAGATTCTCACTCTAGTGATTAATACGACTGAAACTAAGATAATTTCATCATATCAGTGTGTTGTTCAAAATATATTAAAGTGACACTTCTGTTGTGTACATTAATGTGGTATGAATATCTGATTTCAGTATTAAAAAAATATTTGGAGCCAATAACCCATCCACAATCTATTGCATCCATAATTATATAGGGTATAATAATATAGGGTGTTATTAACCTGTAGAGTATAATCATAGAATACATTTGAGTTGAAATAAACACAAAGTGCTGAATGTGATGAAAAATATCATCTTTTTTATGGATATTAAATACCACTATTAATCTGACAGGTCCTTTATACCCTAGGACATACAGTCATGGACAAAAGTATATAGACAAATATGAATATTTACCTAAATACCTTTAGAAAACGAATTCATACTTCATTGCTCCATAAACAAATGCGTTATTAGTAGAAAAACTAAATTCTTTGTTTTTACATTATCTGCAATGAACACAATACAAGTCTGAATATAAGCACTTTTATATGAGAGTCAAAAATATGTAGACAAATTCTTTTCAACATTAGTTTAGTACAGTTTCGTGTCCGAAGAGGATTATTTTGTGTTCATCAAGTATTGTGGAATAAGTTGAGTGATTTTAAGACCATACCGCGTGGTCCAGAAATTTCTTTCGATGTGAAAACTAAGATGATTGAGTTATACAAAGATGGTCAACGTAAAGTCGACATTGCCAAAAATTTGAAGCTGAAGCGTAAAGCAGTTTTGGCAATATTGAACAAATATAAACAAAAAGGTATCTTGGAAACCTCTAAGAGAAGTGGTCGGCCTAGGAAACTAAATGCTAGATCAGTTAGATTAATAAAAGTAATTTCGTCCAAGGATCCGTTCAAAACCCCAAGACAAACAAAAGCCGAAATCGAGACAAAAGGAATTGTCAGTGTTTCTACAAAAACTATAAGTAGAAGATTAAATGATTTGAAGTTATATGTACGTCGTTCGAGTAAGAAGCCGCTAATCTCGAGGAAAAACCGTAAGGACCGAATACAATTTGCACGGTTCCATCTTGATTGGAGCATCTGTGACTGGAAGAGTGTATCTTTCAGTGACGAATCCAAGTTCAATATGTTTTGATCAGATGGTGTTCATTACGTTAGACGCCCTAGTGGACAAAGATTGAACCCCAACTACACTTTGCCCACTGTCAAACATGGAGGCGGGTCTGTTATGGTTTGGGGGTGCTTTTCGGGGTTTGGGATGGGACCTTTACATAGAATAGATGGCATTATGGATAAGTTTGTATACACAGACATACTAAAGCATGTCATGTTACCCTCTATGGAAGACAATATGCCCTTAAGATCAATCTTCCAGCATGATAATGATGCACGCTTCAAATCTCGCAAATAAATTCTTTCTGGATGAAAAAATACCAGTTCTCAAATGGCTTTCACAGTCTCCCAATATATACCCCCTTGAAAATCTATGGGAATACAGTGAAAGCTCCCATAAGCGGACACTCACGGTTCCGTAACTTTTGTCCGCTTATGGGAGGTGTCCGTTTAAAAGAGAGTATGTAAGTATAGAGTATAAATAACGGGGTATATAATCATGAGGAAATGAGGTATTATAATCATGAGAAAAATGAAACAGAAACTCGCCACATTTTTAAAGTATGTATTTAAGCTATATATCTATATAATATATGTACATATACACATACAAAAACATAAATGCTTCAATACATGGTACGAGAATTTAAAAAAAAACATTATTCTTTAGCTTGTTGAAAAAAGTTTAAAATGTTTGTCTGACGAAATTTCACCATCTTTTGCTGAAGGAGACAATTTTCGTAAAAACTTTCTAAATTTTTCAAATGTTGAAATGCAGTGAAATCATCTTTAGCAAATTTTTTCAATATAGAAATATGATTTAGAGCTTCCCCATATGAATTTATCGTTTTTGAACCGCTTAGTGAGTCCACCAGTTCCACTTCTTCTTCTTCTGAGTCGTTTGGACTACCATATTCAAGTTGGCCTGGGCTTTCTACATCCAAATTCGAAAAGTTGCCAATGGCATTTTCTTCTGTTGTTATGTTATTGTCTATGGCCAGGAAATCATCTACTTTCTGGGGATCTGCTACTCCTAAATGTTTGGCATGTTACAGTAACTGAGCAAGTGTCGCTAAGGGCAGATCGTCTTCAGCATCGCAATAATTTTGCTCAGCAAATTCTGAGCTACATTCACTTTTTCTGAATCCAGCTTTGCCAAAACAGTTTTTAATTGTAGAGGAATTTACTTTATTCCATGCTGTTTTTATAAAATACAAAGCTTCTAACACATTGATAGACTTTGTAAGCTCAGATAAGCTTTGACCATCGTCAATTTTTGTTAAAATATGTTTTAAAATCAAGTGCCGATAATAAAATTTAAAGTTCTGTATGACACCTTGATCCATGGGCTGACAAACAGAAGTTGTGTTTGGCGGTAAAAATATAATTTTCACATTTTTCATTTTCATATCACGAGGATGAGAGCATGCATTGTCTAAAAATAAAAAAACTTGCCTTTTTTGGATTCTCATTTTCCGGTCGAATTCGACTAACCACTCAGACATGATTTCTCGGGTCATCCATGCCTTTTTGTTGGATTTCCAAGTCGCTGGTAGATCCTTAATAGCAACGTTTTTTAAAGCACGGGGACGAGCCGCTTTCCCGATCACAATCAAATCGCATTTTTCACCGGCCATATTTGCACAGAATAAAATGGTTAGTCTATCTTTAGACAACTTTCCACCCACACATGTTTCTCCTTTAAAGGACAGAGTTTTGTCGGGCAATGCGCGAAAAAAAAGTCCACTCTCATCTGCGTTGTACACATCTTCTGGTTTGTAGCCAAGCAACACGGACGGAAGTTTCTCCAAAAATTGTGACACATCAACTTGATCTACTGCAGCAGCTTCGCCAGATATGCATTTGAAACTCACACTATGTCTCTCGCGCCACTTTTGCAGCCACCCGTCGGACGCACTGAAATTATTATAGCCCAAAGTAGTGGCGATTTCTTTAGCTTTCATTTTCACTAACGGCCCTGAGATTGGAATGTTCTGACTTCTAGCTTTCACAAACCACTCAAAACATGTTTTGTCTATAGCAAAACCTTCCTTTTTTAAAAAATCTTTCTTTTGATTTATATTAGTTCCTGATTGCCATTTACTCCTGATATCTTCCTTATTTTTGGCAATTTCAGCTGCTTGCGTTTTCCCAATATTAAACCTCTTTGCCAAATGACGAACTGAAACACTTTCTCTGTCTAATACGTTAACAACTTCCATCTTTTCCTTTAACGAGAGCATCCTTTTTTTTGGTGCCATTTTACAGTTACAATAATAAAATAAGTAACTCAATCAACTACGAATTTGCCTGAACTGAAGACAAGCCACAAGATTACATACAGGCTACCCAACGAAATGCGTAAACGGGGAATCACCTAATATAAATCGGGGAATTACCGAATTTTATGTATGTAGATATGTGCATTGCAATAAGCGGAACTAAAAAATCGTATTAGAGTTTCGCGTCCGCTTATGGGAGATTTTTTGATCACATACAGGAAAATCTAGTGTCCGCGTCCGTTTATAAGAGCGTCCGTTTATCGGATTGCATTTAACATTGAAAATTGATGGCTGGATCCAGGAACTTTGTCCGGTTAAAAGAGATGTCCGCTTATAGGAGCTGTCCGCAAGGAGAGCTTTCACTGTACTTAGATAAGCAAATACGAGATAATAATTATTCAAACAAGGATGAACTTTTTGCTGCTTTAGAGCAAAAGTGGAGACAGACTGATGAATCTTATATCAAGAAACTTCTACAATCTATGCCGAGACGATGCCGGGTGGTGATTAATAATAATAGTTATGCTAGAAAATATTAACACAAACATGGTTGGATTTCTATAATTCAATGAACTTTGCTTCTATTCTCTATAATTGTTTTGCTTTGTCTATACAGTTTTGTCCTTCATAGTTCCTGTTTTTTTCAATTAGGTAATTTTTTATTGAAAGGAGTCTAATGAATTTATTTATGTATAAGTGAGTATTATGCTATAACGAGTTATGTATACAGGTTGGTGTATTAAGAAAACAAGTTAAAAAAGAAATACAGCACAATATTAGTTTGTCTATATACTTTTGTCCATTACTGTATGTTGATATGCAATGGCCACAACTTTGATAAAAAACACAATAGAGAAAGATGTTGTATGTTATATTGGTGATGCAACTAGTCATTCCCATAAGTCAATGTTATTATAATACATTTTATATATATGATTTAACATATTTCTAAACAACAAATTTGAAATTACTTGAATTGTACAAGCCTATTGGGAACAAAATTTTTACAATATGTATATTTCAAAATATGAAAATGATTATCATATTCTGCCTTATCACTTATTACCCCACCACGAAATATTGGTATCTAAAAATAGCATTTCTGCTCTAGCAGAAAATAAACAAAGCAACAAATTATGATGTTCATAGTTATGAATGAAATGTATATAGATCCCAAAAAAAATAATTGATGCATACATGCCTAGCAACTAGGCCACTTTCAATCCTTTTTGTGGACGCTGTGCAAGTATTGATTACATGATTTACCTGGTAAAGTGATCCCATGGTAGCAGACGTTGGAGGAATGACATTATTTACAAAGAAAAATAGCGCGTCTTCTGGCCTAAGGTGGATCCTCTTCCTGATGAGAAAATAGAATTGGCCTACAGTCAGATCGGATGGTACAAGATATTTTTTCTTGTCTAGATCCCCAATTCTCGCCTTGGGCGCCTTCTCCACAATCACCTGGGAGAAATTTTAAATGTATTACTTTCCGATCCTCATTTTGCAATGTTTGGATTTTCTATTTTCTTTGTAAACAGATGACCTTCGTCCGCCATTATTACGACGTAAATAAAACAATGGCTATCACCCGATGAACGTCATTTTACGAAAGGAAAATCAGTTACGAAGCTTTGCTACAGACATGTCAGTATAAAATTTCATTATCCGGCCGATAGATTTATCTTAATATCATATCCTAGCAGAAAATCAAATCTGTTCTTTGTTCAGAAGGCTCACAAAATTCGATGTACTTACAGGTACCCTGTCCGCGTATTTCCTCCTGATCTTTTCACCTTCTGACTTTCTCTTCTCAAAGGGATGTTCCTCCTTATACTGGAACTTCATTTTATGTTCAAAAACACCGACAATTTACAACGGAGAACTTTACGAAAGCTTCAACAGACGTGTCTAAAAATGGCCTTTTGCTTCTGTCTCGAAGCAAAACAATCGATTTCTGACTAGTTACGCAAACATCAATACACTGTCCTCGAAAGTATGAATATCATTCAAAAAATAGAAAATGAGTGGATTTTTTCAAATCTCAGCGTCAACTGTGTTGAATTTGAACGAACACAGCTAAAGATAGAATTTATTTTTGTCCGGTAATACTTTTGATTAAAGTGTATGACTATGTTTTGATACCTTAGTATTTATTTGGGTTAATCCTGCGATTTCATTGGTCGAGGCTGTCAGGTCCTTTGCGCGGGCTGGTTTAAATTCAACAACATTGCGGTCTGCCCACCACATTGAACCTTTAAATGTTTTTCATCGCAGATAAAATTTAGATAGAAATATATGTTTTTGACTTTAATTCCATTGATGAGGTCATATCAAGTTCAAAATCAGTCATGGATGTTCCAAAGTCCAAGCTAACGTATAATGTTGGTATTATTGGTTGCCTGAACGTATTATGAATAGTTGCCTAAACGTATACGAGGGAAGACTGATTTTAGCGTACATATACGAGGGTATTCGCAGAAGTACCCGGGCTGACCTAGAGATAGCGACAGTTGTTTGAAAATATCATTGTATTAGAAAGTGTGCAACATATAAAGCATATGTGTCAATTGGTCAAAGTTATGTGGTACAATACTTTTATTTCAAAGGCCTCAGCCCAACCAATATAAAAGCTGAACTGGATTCTACTCTGGGTGAGTCCGCTGCTTCGTTTACAACAGTGGTCGACCAAATGAGGTGACGACTCCAGAAATGGTGAAGAAAATTCACAAAGCGGTACTGAATGATCGTCGACTGAAAGTGCGCGAGCTAACAGACATAGTAGGCATTTCAAAAAGTGCGGTTCATCATGAAAATTTGGACATGAGAAAGCTGTGTGCAAGATGGGTGCCGCGATTGCTCACAATCGAGCAACAACAGTGTCGTGAAGATGTTTCAATTGAGTGTTTAGCGAAGTTTCACAGCAACAAAGCAGAATTTTTGCGTCGTTTCATAACCATGGATGAAACATGGGTCCATCACTACACACCCGAGACAAAAGAACAATCAAAACAATGGACTCAAAAGGGACAACCGGCTCCATAGAAAGCGAAGACCGTTTCATCTGCGGGCAAGGTTATGGCGTCGGTTTTTTGGGATGCGCGTGGGATAATTTTCATTGACTATCTTGAGAAAAGTAAAACTATCAACGGCGAGTAAAATGCAACTAATTGCAACGTTTGAGCGATGAAATAAGCAAAAACGGCCGCATTTGGTTAAGAAGGAAGTGTTGTTTCGTCAAGACAATGCACCAGCTCGGAAATCCTTGCAATGGCCAAAATTAACGAACTAAAGTTTGAATTGCTACCTCATGCACCCTATTCACCAGATTTAGCTCCCTCGGATTATTTTCTGTTTCCAAAAGTGGCTCAATGGTCAAAGATTTTCCAACGATGAAGAATTGATGTCGGCTATTTTAAGGAACAATACAGTTCTTATTATAAAAAGGGTATCGAACTTATTGAACATCGCTTGGAAAAGTGTATAGGGCTCAAAGGAGATTATGTCGAAAAAACAAATACATTTTTTTACAAAAATTTTCCGCTTTCTTCGTTGGGTCGGGTACTTCTGAGACCACCCTCGTACAAAATATCGTAAATATAAGTAATTACGCACAGCATTCACAGCAACACTGTTGCATGAAAGAGTGGTCACATTCGCAACACAACAACAAGTGGCATCAAGTAAGTTGACTCTGCACTTACCACACAATGCCGTTATCACTCAATAGTGATTAAGTTCAGCACAAACCAGATCCTCTGAGAGAAAAATCAGTAAAACGGGTCGATACAATTAGTCCAGACATTCATACCCTGTCCTACCTTTCAAGGTCATCTGAAAAGTTGAAAAACGATGTTTTTATGCTCTCTCGTTTTTGGCCCTTTTCTCTGCCGTCACTGGACCGATTTTCAAAAACTGCAAAGCTTTTGCGTCCTTAGCATAGTAGTAGTATTTTAGCATAATCCGAACTTTTTGTGTTTGGCAATTTTTGCTGTATCGCTAAAAATAAAGTGGTGGGGGATATTCAAAGGTTTCCGTAAAAAACACCCTGTATTTTCGAAAATTCTTGACTCCAAATGTTATAAAATTTAAGTTTTGTTGGTTTCACACATGGTCGCTATAAAGCTTTTTTCGATCTTCCGACAAATGGTTGATTTTCTCAAAAAAATTAAATGTATTGGCAAGTATTTTTTTTTATGAAAAAGTAGCTAAATGTTGTCTAAAGAAGCTCGTGAAAACCGCATCTCCATATTTTGTTCCTAACCTAAAATATAGGCAAAAGCAAATTTTATACGGAAATCCTTGAATTTTTATATTTTAAAACCGATTTTTCTTCAGAATAATAAAGTCACAACCGAATCCGCAAAACCCGAACCCAGAAAATTTCAGAGCTATTATCACCGATAGTTCTATATGGAGGTGCATTTGACAAATATTGTATTCCACAGATAAATGAAGGGTATCAATGGTATAAATATGTATAAATGAAACCCACAGATTCTAGATACGATTTATTTTTTCCAAGTTTCATAGGAATATCAACAGCAGAATTTTCCGGAAAACAGTCACTTAAATTAAACATTCATTATAAAAAGTAAGCATCTAACATTTCTTAAGCATACGTTACAGAATAATAACTTAGGAATCGGTTCGCTTAACCGGACTTCACAGTAAAAATTAACCCTTATTTTTAAATATGTATATGTTTTTAATTTCCAATTTTTTCGATTTCATCCGAATCTTCTGCATCCAAGTAATGGATTTTTTTGTTGAAGTGCTTCTCGATAGTCTTGCAGACGTTCATAGCCTCCTCGGAGTCGACCAGATTTATCGCGATTCCAACTTTGCCAAATCTTCCAGTACGTCCGATTCTGGAACAAGCAATATCAAAATCAGCGCATTTTTTAAGCAACAACATCCTCCTTTTCAAGTTATTAGGGGAATATCTAAGTAGACTGTTTGATCATCCCATTCTTCTGAATATGTTTGATATCTTGTGAATCGCCCTGTATAATACCACTATCTACTAGTAGTACTGTACTATAATTTATTTATTGTATTTATATATTTTTGATGTTAATTTTTGTTAAGTGCTATAATACATACCTATGCAAGTACGTTTCGCAATCCGCCTTTCCACTAGTATCCACAGGCAGATCGAAGTTAACTACGATGGTAACCTGATCCACGTCGATTCCTCTCGCTAGTACGTTTGTAGTAATGAGAACCTTCTCACGGCCTTCTCTGAACCGATCAAGTACGCTAATCCGTTGCTCGACAGTCAAATCTCCCGAAAGAACGGCGACGGCATGACCGTCTTTTGTCATCCGTTCTGCCAACCAAGCTGCAGTTCGGCGGGTGTGACAGAAGATTATCGCTTGGCCTACGCCGACAGTCCCATATATGTTTGTCACGGCACTGTATTTCTCTTGGTGGTTTGAACATCTGAAAATGATACAATGACCAGTCCGATCTTCCTTTGATGTGTTTGTAGCGTTTCGTTTTTTGTATGCAAAAGAAATTTTCTAAATGAAAGAGCTTTCAGCAAGTACAGAATGAATCTGTGGCATACAAAATATGGCTCTGTCTACCAGGCATTGACGGATCCGGCTGTGCCGATATGGGGAATTTTTAGATGTTACTCAATAATCGGCTGTCATTCTACTGTGACGGATACCCGTGAAATAGGGTATATACAGGGTTTGTCCGGAAAGTAATAGGACTCATTTCTTCCGCCATGACTGTACTTCGGGGCGTGCGCGAACCGAATTGTAACGATTGGCTCAATAAATTTTTTTAAATCGACTCAGTCCTACTACTTTCCGGGCAAACCCTGTATGTCGTCATTTTTGAAGACAGGTTATGTTCAAAGTAATAAATTACGATTTTTCCAGGTTTTTTTTGTGTTTTCAAAAACTTTGAGGAGAATTGCGGGATATCACCACCGACATCATTCACTAAACGACCTTCTCCCAATAATCTTATACAATTTTTTCATTCTTTTTAGGTATGTAGTTAGGATGAAACCTGAGAAACGTCCTATTTGCAGTAAGTTAAAAATTTGAGTTAGAGCCAACTGTCGAAAAATTTGAGATATCCCTTTTTTTGGATACTAAAAAGATCAAAAAGCTGCATAGAAAAAATTTCAAGGTTAAAAATTGAGAAGCTGACATAGCCCCAAACTTGACATGCTTTGCTCACCCTGTATAAGCAGATAATTAAATTAAATATACCGGTCAAACTCTGTGCATGTTCTCAAAGAGTTGGTCAAGAACTTTCCGAATACTACAACTCGATATCTCTTTTCGTTCCAAAAACATTTGAATTTGGGTAAAATCTTTCAAGCAACTGTCCACCAGTTTAGTTGATACTATTTTTTAACATCACTTACAAAAGCTGTGAATATGTGTAAAGTAAAGATCTCTCTTACCTAACATAATATTGTTTAATGTTATCCAAGCTCTCTTCCTCTCTCTTCAGTCTGACAATAATAGGATTCTTGACAATGTGTTCTGCAAACTCCATAACTTCTTGGCCATAAGTAGCCGAGAAGAACATCATTTGACAACTAGTGCTAAGATTCTTATGTATCTTAATGCATTGATCTTGATGGCCTTGCTGGGCTATCATCACGTCAGCTTCATCTAACACGAACACCTTTATTTTCTTGAGATCAAAAACTCTAAACTTCATGCTCCAATCTAACACTTTGCCTGGGGTGCCAATGATAATGTGCTCTGTGAGTTTCGTACCTATAGGGACCTCTTCACCTCTAACAGCAAACTTCATCTCGATTTCTGGACAGAATTTTGCCATATGAGCTGCCACTTCGCCTGTTTGAACTGCTAGTTCATATGTAGGTGATAGGCAGAGCACTTGAGGATAATTTTGAGTTACATCAACTCTGCTGAGCATTGCTAGGACAAATGCGGCGGTTTTTCCTGTGCCAGACTGACTTTGCGCTATCAAATTTTGTGGTGGATCTGCAAGTAATGTCGGCAAAGCGGTTTCTTGTATTTTTGAGGGTGCATTGAACCCCATTCCATAAACACCTTTCAGAAGATTGGGTGCGAGATTCAAAGCTTCAAACGATTTGATGGAGTACAGCGGAGATTTGGGATCTTTCCTTTGTACTTCAATGCTGTTTTTGTTTTCTACAAGCCCTTTACGAATTATTTTAGCCAGCAAACTAGCTTCGGCCGGGCTGAATTGTTCCGGTGCGTTTTCATCGTTTTCTTTGACTTTTTCTTTCTTTTCTTCCTCGCTACTGCTGATCTCTACAGTGTTGAGCTATAAGATGGATATTCTCAATAGGTTGGCTCAACAACTTAAAAACTAGTCCTCACCTTATTTGTAATATTTTGCTCTGTTTCTGCGACGTATTTTGCCCAATCCACTTTCTGAGACATCTTAGAAAAGGAGTTCAGTCCAGAACTTGAAAATTTACTAGAACTACAATTCCGGAAATCGGAGAGTAAAAAATTGAAATGTAAGGTTACAGTAGTTGTCAAAACAGAGCAAACAGTGCTGCCAACACTCGGGGACTTCCAGAAACAAAACATTCCCAACATTCTACAGGGTGTGCGAGAAATAGACGTTGATATAGGGTGATCGTTAAAAAAATATAAATAAAAGTTTCTATGAACATGGGTCCTGAATGCAGAGTTTTCAAGATACGGGTGATAATCAAAAAAAAATGCCCCGAGTAACGATAACATAGCCACGCAAGACAACTATTTAAATATACTCTACTAGGCTCTAGAAGACTATCCGGAGCGAAATTATTCTCGAAATGGTCGCACAACAAAAAAAAAATGCAAATGAAGATTGGAAAACTGTCGCTTTGACATTCTAAATGACTCCGTCGTTACCCCACCATAGACATACGTTTTGACAGTTGACCTTGTTATTTTTGTCACCTGGATTGTGGTTAGTCGGATCTTTCTACATATGAATCAAATTCAAGCGGATAACCAAATGAAAATGGTATTTACCATTTTGGATTGGTATTTACCGATCCGTCCAAGCGAGTGTGGTTATCAGTTTGGTTATAAGATCCGTGACGTCATGAATCAGCTGTTATATGTCATAGTTATCATCGCAAAATTGTGATATTTACTCAACTCAGGAGTAGTTTTATATTTCTGGTTATTATTTGACATGTGACAAGTTAGAATTTTACCGGGTATTGGATATTTTTATTGTACTTATTATTTATAATCATTACTGTTGTTGGGGACACTTTAAATCTAGTTCCTACGCTTAACAAAGTATCCTGTATAGCCACAAGAATATTAAAATATCGCCATATAAACTCACTGGATGATGTCCACCTGTATATGGTTTTGTTAATATCTTTTCTTCATCGCTTTTTCATCATTTCTGCTAAATCAATAAATATTTTCTTTGACATGCAGAAAAGTTTACGGAGCTGTGACCGCGTAGACATTCCCCTGCGCCGACGCTTGCCGAGAGACTGAAGCGTGTAAGTGCGGTACCTCGCTGCGGCGATGAAGTACGGCCGGGTAGTACAGCCACGCCCCTTTCCACCTCCCACTCCGCGCGCCTGCTGTCGGTCAACGTAAACATCGAGATACAGCACTAACACGCTTCAGTCTGTCGGTAACCATCGGCGCACCTGTGCTGTATCTGGCTGCGGCGATACGGTACGGCCGGGTAGTACAGCCACGCCCCTTTCCAGCTCCTACTCTGCGCGTCTGCTACCGGCCAACTTAAACAACGAGTCACTTCGGGAGCAGGCGCACGGAGTGGGAGTTGGAAAGGGGCATGGCTGTACTACCCGGCCGTTCCGTGTCGCCGCAGCGAGGTACAGCACACGTCTCTCGGCAACCGTCGGCGCGGCGGAGTGTCTACGCATTCACAGCTCCGTGCAGAGCTCTACTTGTTTTCGCTTCGTTTTTCAGTGGTGGTGTTCACTATAGGGCTCTCGATTGTCTCTCAGTGTTGTGAAGTGGGTGTCAAGTTTCTCCAAAGTGGAAATCAGGTCTGCTTCCAACTCGTCTGAGGAAAACAGGATATCTGTGCAGCGAACTAGGTAAGCCTTGCATACTCATCTACTTGTGTGTTAGGGTGGACATCCTATGTTTTTTAAATAAATTGCGCACATTGCATACCCCCGTTTTTATTTTTGTCTGACATTATTTTAAGAAATATATAATAATATATATCATCAACTTTTATATGATCCAAAAAAAGTACTACTGTATATAATAGCATCTTTTTTTACTACTTCAACGATGTTTCAGGTTTGTTTTTTTAATTATAACCAAACGCGTTTTTTTCTATTGCTTGATGTCAGATGTGATTACTGAATTAAACCTAGTCTGATCCTTATCTTGATCACCCTGCAATGCATTATTATACAAATAAATTTACAGAAACGTGCACTATTCTAACGTTCATGTGAGTATTCTTATGTACTTTCGTTCATTTCTGAAAAATATAAAAACAAAGCAAACCCTCGAACAAAAAACTATTTTTAGTCCAAGTAATTGGTGATAGTGCTCAATTAGGGATAAGTCGGGAGATCTTGATGGCCATGGTAACAATGTGACATCATTATGTTGAAAGAAGTCTATTGTGACTCTTGCAACATGTGGTCGGGCATTATCTTGTTGGAAAGCCAAAACTTCGTCGATAAACACTTCGCATGCCAATAGGTCTTCCGTGTCCTGCAAACCATTCATTAGCAATGGACCTGGTAGTGGAGAAACGGTCCCTTAAGGCCAATAATCTTAGGCGGCGATCTTCACGGTCTGTTGTTCTTCGGCGGCGTCCAGTGGCACTTGCTCTTTGCGTACGGCCTTCTCGAAGCCATGCCTGACAACACCTAACCACAGTGTCTACACTTCTTTGCACTCTAGGCATCGTAAAGGATGTCAAGAACCAAAATCCGCCAACGTTGATTCTTTACTGCGGCTGAAGTATTCATTTTTAGAGCGTTAGTGAATTAAAAAAAAGCAGTATAAAAACCGGAATGTCCAACTGATAAGGCTGAAAATTTTTTCACTTGTTATTTACAGTAAGATAAATACATTCACCAACTTTTTATTAAAATAAAACCATTTAAACTGGGTGCTTCTCTGTTTTACCGATATGCCAACTGACCTTGCTCCTTCCAAGATGCCGCCTCGCAATAGGCTTGCCAGACTTCGACCGCTTGCTCTCACTCATTCTGTATCAGACGTAGTATCTCAGTGATTAGGGCTTTGCGGCTGTTCCAGTATAATTCATAAAATATCATTTTTGAATATTGTCAAATCGATAGCGGCACCCTGGACTATAACGCAATCGTCCTATTTTCTTTGTTCTGTGCGTTTTTCTTTTATGGGTTGGCAACATCGTTTTGACATAATGTCTGACATTTGAGAGGTTAAGGGGGGCTTACGGGGGTGTTTTCATGTGTCAAAACATAAATATTTTTTTGGAGAATCATGAATAAAACTACAAAATGTACATTAAATGCTTGTTTTATATTATGTATCCTTAGTATAGGTAATTGTGGTAGGTAATTTCAGATGTTCGCTATTATACTCGTCTTGTTTTCAGGATATGGAGAAAGAACTAAAGATAAAATGTATGAAAGAATCACAGGGGCTAGAGGGTGTTATAGACGATTGAATGCTACACACCAGATTGGTTGTTCCTGTAAGATTGCAGCCAGTATTTGTATATTCTGTTTGCTGATTTAATTTCTTTCAGCGGAGCGAGATGGGTCAACAGGTGTAATTTTCTATGCAGAAACAACAGAAAAACTAGATTTTATACTACACAACGGTACTGCTCCACCGTACATTCCTGTAATGCCTGTGAAAATACTAACTGCAGACGTAATTAGGAAACTCATAGACAGTGGAATAGTTTCAGGTTTAGTTGTCCATGCGAATAATGATACTTTAGATTACTTTACACATGATTACCAGTGTCCAAATCCACTATCTAGTCTAGATGGGACCTGTAAGAGGGAATCCCTTTGGAACCCTCATGGTACAGCACTTTTATTTACTGATATACCGTTCCCGATATTTTATTTAGAAGAAGAGGAGGAAGTATGGAAAATCAGAGATTGTTTCAAAAAATTCAATGATTTTGATTATGACGCTCAAGCAGACAGGCCTTTATGCTCTTTGGAGCTAAAGTCTTTTATGTATGCAACTACTGACACACCTACTTGCAAGAGGTAAGCAGAATTTTATTAAGTTTAAGAGATACTTTGCATTTATTACGGTTATCGAAACTCTTTCTGAGATAATTGCATTTCAACAGTTTGTTCAGAGTGGAATAAATTGATATTTGATAATATCTCAGGCAGATTAAAATTCAATTGTGTTTAATTTTTTACTTGAATATTATGACTCTGACATGACTTTAAGTAAAAAATAAGATTAGATAAGAATTGGAATTTTTCTGTCAAAAAAGTTATAGCAAGGTTATAGAGTGTAACTATTGTGTAAAAAGCATCCGTTGCCATTTATTAGTTATTATCTTTTTCATAAGTATCCACTATGGTAGAATAGCAGCTGATTATCTAGTAATATTCCCCATATTGACAAATGACACAACATTCTGACGGATCCGTCAACGCCAGGTAGAAAGAGCCCTATTTTATTTTGGTTTTTCATATGCTACAGATTCATTTTATTCTTGCTAACAGCCATTTTATTTAAAAAAGTTCATTTGTATACAAAAAAAAAACGCTACAAGCTAAATTTATTCATTATTGCCAAGATTACAGACTAATACAAATATGTCATTTACTGATCAGCTGGTCACCTCAGTAGACGTCAAAATGCGATGATACTCGTGAAATAGGGTACAAACTGTGTTAAATATAATGCAATATAAACATATTCCTCATCCTCAAAATGCACACAATTCCCAATTTTCATGTTTCTATCATAAAAACTAGTTAAGTTAATGAGAGAAAAAATGAAATGAAAATAATCTGCAACACCCTGTTCTCATTATTTTTATTAACGAATTTTAAATTTTCTCCAAACAATCATTACCTGCTGCGTCAGAGGTCTTTTCATTACTCGATACATACAAATTAGTAGTTTTTCCAAATTTGATGTTTCAATAATAAAATTGCCCAGTATCACCCTCATATTTTTTAGCAAAGATCTAACTGTATTTTAGGCGTTCGAGTATTATGACAAATTTGAACCCAGTGAAGTTTTGCGATCCGTTAGGTGACAGCAACATTTGGTCAAGCCTGTATCCACTTGTAGAAGGCTCCAGAAATGAAACAGTGCCTCTCAGAAATCATAAATACATCGTTATATCGGCTCGAATGGACACAACGTCGATGTTCGAAAAAACTGCTGGCGGAAATAGCCCTGTAACGGGAATAGTGACACTGCTCACACTAGCGAAATATCTTAAAGGAATTTTGACACAGGATGACATAAATAGAGGTATAACTTTAAGCTGATTGATTCTCTAAAAGTTTTGATTAAGCTATACTGAGTGACATATAAATCCGAACACCCAGTTTAAATGGTTTTATTTTAATAAAAGTTGGTGAATGTATTTATCTTACTGTAAATAACAAGTGAAAAAATTTTCAGCCTTATCAGTTGGACATTCCGGTTTTTATACTGCCTTTTTTTAATTCACTAACGCTCTGAAAATGAATATTTCAGCCGCAGTAAAGAATCAACGTTGGCGGATTTTGGTTATTGACATCCTTTACGATCGGTTACGATGCCTAGAGTACGGAGACCTGTACGATTTCGTCAACTTAGTGAGTTTGATAGGGGCCGTATAGTGGGACTTCGGGAAGCTGGACTTTCTTTTCGGGCAATTGCAGTTAGAGTGCAAAGAAGTGTAGACACTGTGGTTAGGTGTTGTCAGGCATGGCTTCGAGAAGGCCGTACGCAAAGAGCAAGGGGCACTGGACGCCGCCGTAGAACAACAGACCGTGAAGACCGCCGCCTAAGATTATTGGCCTTAAGGGACCGTTTCTCCACTACCAGGTCCATTGCAAATGAATGGTTTGCAGAACACGGAAGACCTATTGGCATGCGAAGTGTTTACCGACGAATGAGAAGTTTTGGCTTGTTTTCATACCGGCCACACTGGGTCCTCCCTTTAACTCGAGAACACCGACGTAATCGCCTTGAGTGGTGCAGACAACGGTCACTCTGGGATCAGGAATGGAACAGTATTGTCTTTAGTGACGAGTTTCGATTTTGTTTAGGCATGCACGATGGTCGTGCCAGGGTTAGAAGGCGACGTGGTGAAAGGAGGAATCCACAGTTTTTTGTTGAAAGACATGTTCATCACACTGTTGGAGTTATGGTTTGGGGTGCTATAGCTTATGGTTCCAGGTCACCTTTAATCTTCATCAGAGGTAACATGAACGCGCAGCGTTATATCCACGAAGTTCTAGAACCCCATCTTTTACCCTATCTTGACACCCTGGCAGATCCAACTTTCCAACAAGATAATGCCCGACCACACGTTGCAAGAGTCACAATAGACTTCTTTCAACATAATGATGTCACATTGTTACCATGGCCACCAAGATCTCCCGACTTATCCCAAATTGAGCACGTGTGGGATATGATGGGTAGGAGATTGCTCAATTTGCAACGTCCTCCTCAGACTCTAGAAGCACTTCGAGAGGAGTTGGTGGTTGCCTGGAATGAGATACCACAGGAGGACATTGACCACCTGATCAGAAGCATGCCTAGGCGCGTTGGAGAATGCGTAGCACATCAGGGTGCATCCACACATTATTAAAGGTCAAAGGGCTTTAAAGCAGTGCAATCATTTTGACATTTTTATCATTTACTTATTATGCTTCATTAAGTACTTATACAAAATTTTATTAAAATAAAACCATTTAAACTGGGTGTTCGGATTTATATGTCACTTAGTAAACGTCTGACAATGCAATTTTTACACAGCAATATACTATACGACTTTCATGAACAAAAAAAAAATGAACAAAATCGAGACTTCCACCGTTGATAGTATCTGGCGGCAAATTATGGCCAAAGAGGATGTATACCAAGAGAGAACGAAGAGTTTGCCTGTCGTCCTCATTTACTTTGATCGTTTAAATTGGAGTGGTACTGTGTTTATCCACTTCATAACAAATACAGAGCCATCTGTGAGCAAATCATCAAACCGAGAGCAGAAGGCTGAGGAAGCAGTGTCGCCAAATTGTCAGAAAACATTTACTTATAATATGCGGAATGAAGTAACAATTCCAAAATATGATGCGCTATTACACCATATAAGGGTTGTTTCTTTAGAAACGCTATATCAGGGCTGTAAGGGGGATGGGCAACAACTTCCAAGTCAAATCGCTCGATTAAGTTTTTTGTGTCTGTGAATGAAAAATATGTTTGATAGACTGCAAACGGATGATAAATATCCCCACCATAATTAAACGTAAATATGAACAAACTAAACAATGCTGCAAGTGTCTATGACTTATTCATCTCTCGCCAAATAACAACAAATGGTTGAACGTAATTTGTCTTCTCTTGATATAATTCCTCTTTGGTGAGTACCCCAAATGTGTTCAGCCTCGGGCTCCACTCCACACTACCTTAATTTTTCTTTTCAGCAAAGTTAAACATTTTGTTCATACTGTTCAATGGCGAAACGTATGACTACATAGGTTCACAAAGATTGTTGTACGACATGCTAAATGGTTATTTTCCCGTGAAGGGACTGCACGAAACCAACGATATTCTGCCAATCATTCGACCAGATGATATCAAGTTGTTTATAGAACTGAGCCAGCTAGGCAACAACATGGACAAACTTTATGTACATTATTTGCAAAATAGCACACAGGTAGGTTGTCAGTGGATAATGTGAAGGTTTGTATAATAATCTGAGAGAGATAACTTGAACTACTTGGCAAGGTGAAGGCTAATTCAGATACGGGAAGAATCGGTGCAAAATAACATTACATTATGCCGAGACGGTTTTCGTGACAGAGGAGAAAAACTATTTATTGACAGTTTTTAAACTTGTTTCATTTTATTTTTCCGGCGTTTATTAATTTCTTGGTCACCACGTGCTATCTCTTGTTGTTTATGACGATAATCTTTTGGACTGCTTTATTCTCTTTATAAAACACATTTGTTGTAGATTTATTTAGCGTTTAAGCAACAATGTTACACAGTATATCACATAGTATATATTTTATGTCTTCAAGTCTACATATTTTTATAAAAAATTTCACTTCTTTGAATACTGTTTTTCCATGAAATATTTTCAATTTCCTTTTGAACATTTTCAAACTGGCACATTTCTTGATATACAGGGTGTCCCAGAAGTCGACGTCAAGCCGAAACCGGGTGATAGGCAAAGTCATAACAGCTATCAGAAAAATATTTAAAAAAATTTTATGTATGTGTTTTGAAAATTATAGGTCTTTGAAAAAAATATAGAAATTTCACACCCTACGGCAGTCTGTCAACTCCTGTTACTACAAATATTAACTTTTTTTGGATTTTATTTTTACAATGTAATGATGAATAATGCACCTTCAAACTGGTGTCTCAACCTTACTGCCAACTTTTCTCGTTCAGGAAAAATTGCCACTTATTTCCCAACCAAGTATTCCAAAGTAAAACTTTGCTCAACTTTAACTGGCTGTACTGGAAAAAAAATGTACAACGAGAGTTTGGCAAGTAACCTTAAAAGTTGGCGCATTTAATAAGGATTCCAATATGGTATAACACTTAGAAGATTACTCGTTAACTTATGCACAATTTTTATTTGAAGAAAAACTGATGAAAATTTTTCAAAATTTACTAATTAAACAGCGATTATGAAAACGCACAAGGACCCTTAAGGATAACTGTTTGCACAACAGTGGGCGTCAAAATGCTGCTGATGATGATCCATACCACATACAGCGTGTTCAACCTCTCCTGCCCCGGGATTATGAGCCCCGAGTTGCTTTTTGTCGCACAATGTTAGAAAGACACAGGAAAGATCCACAGTTCTTTGAAAAAATTTTATGGTCGGATGAGACCACATTTAAGAAAGATGGGTACATGAACCTGCATAACTTACACGAGTGGCACGTAGCAAACCCACATTTGATGAGAGAAGATAAATCTCAATATCGCTTCAAGATAAACCATTGGACAGGAATTTTAAATGGTAAAATAATCGGTCCGTTTGAGTTCCCAGAGACTTTGACTGCTGAAGTTTATTTGGATTTTTTGAAAAATCATGTACAAAATTTATTGGTGGACGTGCCACTGAGTATTTACAGGGACATGTGGTTTCAGCATGATGGCTGCCCAGCGCACTATGCACTCTCAGTGAGAGAGTATCTCGATCAAAACTTTCCAGGCAGACGGATAAGGCACCGATCCGCCAGCCCGATCACCTGATTTGAATCCTTTAGATTTTTTTACTGGGGAACTGTAAAAGAAAAAGTGTATTTCAAGCCGATTCAAAATGTAGCTGAGCTACGGCAAAGACTATTGGAAGCAGCTGAGTTTGTTAATAACCGTGGATTCGCTCGTTTAATAACCCGATCTTTTTTAAAAAGATGTCGAGCGTGTATTGCGGCTGAAGGAAAACAGTTTGAGCATTTGCTGTAAAGGTAAATCATCAACAGCAGCATTTTGACGCCCACTGTTGTGCAAACAGTTATCTTAAGGGTCCTTGTGCGTTTTCATAATCGCTGTTTAATTAGGAAATTTTGAAAAATTTTCATCGGTTTTTTTTAAAATAAAAATTGTGCATAAGTTAACGAGTAATCTTCTAAGTGTTATACCATTTTGGAATCGTTATTAAATGCGCCAACTTTTAAGGTTACTTGCCAAATTCTCGTAGTACATTTTTTTCCAGTACAGCCAGTTAAAGTTGAGCAAAGTTTTACTTTGGAATACTTGGTTGGGAAATAAGTGGCAATTTTTCCTGAACGAGAAAAGTTGGCGGTAAGGTTGGGACACCAGTTTGAAGATGCATTATTCATCATTACATTGTAAAAATAAAATCCAAAAAAAGTTAATATTTGTAGTAACAGGAGTTGACAGACTGCCGTAGGGTGTGAAATTTCTATATCTTTTTCAAAGGCCTATAATTTTCAAAACACATACATAAAATTTTTTTAAATATTTTTCTGATAGCTGTTATGACTTTGCCTATCACCCGGTTTCGGCTTGACGTCGACTTCTGGGACACCCTGTAATTATTTAAGTTATTAAATTCGTACAATCCTTTCTGAAATACTGATGTGTTTTTTGTATTGCTACTGCAGTTTTGTAAATGGAAGTCTGTACTTTTTCTAGGAGAATAACTATGGTACTCATTGAACCCCCTGGATTTTTCTTTGTTGGGCGCTTTTAAAAAACACAACAAATTTCGCGGAAATACGTTTTTCTTTATCAAAAAGGTGCGGCACTTGTCTCCGTCAGAATGGTGGTCTTTTTGAAAAATTATTGAAATAAAGCTTTGATTACCAAATTTTTTTACGAATACAAATCACTCGAGGAAAAAACACAAGAGTAATTATTTGTGAAGTGAAGGTGAAATTTGGAAAATAGCGCGTTTCGAAAAAAAAAACAGTGGCGTACGATTTTTATTCGGAAAAATAATCCCACTAATCCCCTGTATCTCCGCCACTGGTGCACGTTAATTTTAGGTAAAGACTTTTGAATGTGGGTAATACTTAAATAATCCACATACCAAATTTTAGTTCATTCGGTTTTGAAGATATTAAAAAAAACCGTTTTTTGTTTTTAAACACCCCGTATCGTTTTAATGGAACTCTCGAGGAAATAAATTTACATATTCCTGTATATGATGTTTCATTTTTGGTCACGACTTGTATATATTAATGTATCATCAGCAAGTATTTGAATTTTGCATCAGGAATATCGTTAATAAATAAAATAAATGGTAATGGACCTAATTTGCTACCCTGTGGCACACCTACCGAAATGTTATGTTTTTAATGCTTGATGGTGTATCGCCAATTTTAGTTCTTTGACTTCTATTGATTAAATAATTTTGTAATATAGTAATGCAACTTCGTTAACAATTCCTGCTTGAAACTTCATACAAATTTGTACTGTACGCAGCGGCGAAATAAATATCGGAATACTTTTAATTTATTTTCCTTTTTGTAGATTGACAGCTTTTACTCAAAACTACGTAACTACTCGGAAAAAATAAAAGACGTACCCAGCAGTATGCCGCCGGCATCATTGCACACATTCATGAAGAAGTTACCGTCATTTCCAGGTTTAGTAATATCGGATCACGAAACCAGCTACACGAACCACTTCTATAACTCCATTTTCGATGACGCAGTCAATATCGGATTCACGTATGATCCTAACGCAACCGAACAGAATAGTTTACAATATTTCATCGCGAACGTATCGGAAGTCATAGGGAACAGTGTCTATGAGACGATAACCGGGAAACACTATTCAGGAAAATATACAGCGGACGTTGTTTTGGTAAACGAGCTGTTCCAGTGCTATCTGGAAGATCCAAACTGCAAAGTACATAGAGCTACTCAGAAAGGGGTAAGTTTGTTTGTTGAAGATTTATTTAGCATTAATGATACAATGCCAGTTTTGTATAATCCATTTTCTGTAATTTTACATTCTTAACTATTAAAATTACATCACTATACATTTTGAGTATTCGTAAAGTGATTTTTTAATTTTACCTTAAACATTTTTAAATTCTAATACTCCCTTTTGAACTATATTTTTGCTAGGTATGCTACTATTGCAGATGAAAATCTATACCGCCTCTAGTTTCGTATTTATGATATTGACTATTTAATTTTGAGAAGTTTTCTAAATGTGGTGGTAATAAATGATTTTTTATTTTGAATATGAAAATGAGAACTAAATAACATATGAAATTTTTTACATACAACCACTGTAGTTCTTCTAACATAGGCTTAATCCTAGCATATTTGTTTTTATTTAAAATGATTCTCATAGCTTTATTTTATATAAAAATGGAGAATTATAGTGTTATTCAAATTTTTGTTTGGAGTACATGCTAAGATTATGGGAAACTCTATAGAAGTAATTTATCTATTTTGATATTATTGAAATAATGTATTCATAATGCTCGTTAAACAGTGGCTTACTATCCACATATACAGGGTGACAGGAAAATAGATGCAAAGGCGGTGGGGGGAGATAGTACAAGCCAATCTGAGTCGATTTTACTATAGGAAATTAGCCTTTTTCGAATTATACTGATTTTTAGGATTTTATAAAATTAACGTCCTTTATACGTTAACCAAGACATAAAACTTGGGTGTTTTATTTGATTTTTTTTTGGTTTTACAATAAAAATATTCTAAAATACGAAAATTGATACTCAAATGCACGTTACTGATGTTATCTCATGCAGTAAGCTTCAAAATAGTTCGATTTTTGTTAAAAAAATCTTCGTTCATCTCAAAAGCTTCAGTTTACTAGAAAAAGTCCATACAAATTTTCGCACAAAATAATTAGGAAACATCTACGTTTCATTACCTTTCAGATGAGGTATAAAAATCACAAATCGATTAAGAATTCGCAAAAATATGACTATTATAAGAGGAGAAAGGAAAAAGCAATACAAATACTACACTTACAAAATCATACCTTAATACAGGATAATTTATTTGAAACTACATTTTTAATTTTTATAATATATTTTCAATATGGCGCCCTCTATTTCTTCTTATGACAGCTGATTTTACTACCGCCGAATTCCTAAGAGAGGCTTGAATTTCTTGGGCTGCATGTATTATCGTGTTTCTGAGGTCTTCTATTGTGGGTACAGGATTTTGATCATGGTATACTAAAGTTTTCATGCGACCCCACACAAAAAAGTCCATAGGTGTGAGATCGGGACTGCGTGCTGGCCATGCGATTGGTCCGCCTCTACCGATCCATCGATTCGGAAACTGCTCAGTTAACCAATTTCTAACACTTAGTCTGAAATGTGCTGGGCGCCCATCATGCTGAAAAATCATTCTGTGTCTTGTGTGTAGCGGCACGTCTTCAGTTATTTATAATGCCCATCCAGACATTCAGACAAAATCGCCTTTGAGATCCTTTTGGTCTGCTTATATGAGGATTCCCCACTGCACGTTCACGCCAATAGTGAGCGTTATAGTAGTTTGTTATGCCGTCTTTATCAAACTTTGATTCGTCGGTCCATAGAATTCTTCTTAAATAATTGCTATCTTCAACATCAGCGTTTAAAATAAAACGACAAAATTGCATGCGCCTCATGGGATCTCCTTCCTCTATGACGTGCACAGGTGTGTAGTGGTAAATCTTACTTATCACACTATTCCGATGTTCGCGGCTCTATCTGTTTCTTTCACTCATATCTTTGTCATTTCTAAACCGGTTCGTGACTTTGATACCTCATTTGAAAGGTAATGAAACGTAGATCTTTTAAAATTCTTTTGCACGAAAAATTTGTAGGTGATTGCTTCTAGTAAATTGAGTTTTTGAGATGAACGAAGATTTTTTTTTACAAAAACTGAACTATTTTGAAGCTTACTGCATGAGATAACGTCAATAATGTACATTTGAGTATCAATTTTCGAATTTTAGAATATTTTTATTGTAAAACAAAAAAAAAAAACAAATGAAACCCAATTTTCAAGTTTTATGACTTGGTCAACATATAAAGGACGTTAATTTTATAGAATCTTAAAAATTAGAAAACCGCTAATTTTCGGACAGTAGTTCCTATAATAAAATCGACTCAGATTGGCTTGTACTATCTCCCCCCACCGAAATATCCGTCACCCTGTATACCCAGGAATTTAAATAATTCAACTATTTAAATTTTTTCATCATTAATCATTAGCCAAATTGGTATTTCACCTAAATAGTGACGTACACGAATCTGCTAATATATTGATTTCCATTCAGAAACTTCCAAAAGTGCCGTTAAGCCTCTACGTTGGTGTAGACCATGTGGCAAATTATGCCACCACTTTAACGTCGTTAACCTTGGGTTGGTTGACAGCAGATGATGCAGGCGAATCCAACATCAACTGTACGAATAATCCCAGAAACTACGTAGGTTTTTTGCCGATATTGGTTTGATACGTTTTAAAAGGTGATTTTCATTTTCAGGCATTCAAGTATTACAACATGTCGAAAAGCATTCAGGAACTGAATGTTACAAGATGCTATAAAATTACTATGAACACTACGGACGCTATAAGTCCAGCTTTCATCATACCAGGTGAGAACTGATTAATTATCTGTGCTTTTTCACAGGAAAAAAATAGATACCCGAATACCTATTGTACAAGCATACGTAATTTTTGGAGACAACAGCTGTCAAGTTTTGCCGCGGGTAAACTCAAAAAAACTGCCGAAGGAGCTGCCATGCAATTTTTCCATCTAGTAACCATTTGTAATTCAAAATTGCGCGTTTATGATCGGTAGAAATTAAGACGAGTGAAATAGTCATAGAAAAATAAAAACGAGCTTCTTAACAATCTTTTGAACGGTGTATCCCTTTATCATTTTGTAGATTACAACTGGACTTCCGGACAATACAGCACCTGGACGGAATCCACGTGGACGGAAATGAACGTGAGGATATTTCTCAAACCGTCATCGGCCCACGAGAAAATGACTATAGCAATAGGATCGTTATCTGTGATCTTCTCGTTCATATTCGTTTATTTCGTAAAGTCAAGATCTCACATTCTTTTCACGCCACCGCTGCCAACCGAGGCTCCAACGGACTGTTAGTGACTTTTTTCGGTGGCGAGGTTGGTAGTAGATTTTTCAAAAAGTATTTCCTAGCCGTTTGTAGATAACCCTTTATTAATTTATTCGTTAGATGTAAAAATATAAGTATTTTTTATCTGATACGATGTGAAATGATGATGATAAGTCGGTGAATGGAATTGGTTTGAGATTTTAATAGTATCAAGGTTCGAATTCAAAAAGTTACTGCTTTAGACATTTTTTTTTTTTTTAAGTTGAGAGGCGTTATATTATTTAGACTTATTGCATCCTTTTTAAAAGAAACGATATTTAAACTAAATACATGGTGGTCCGTAGTGGATGCTCAAAATGAAGTCCTGGATTAAACTCGTGAAAATAAGGCGGGGTCACGTTCCCCCTGGATTCGCCCTTGATTGAGAATTTTGCGCCCCTCATGTGGTTTATTTTAGCAGCAAGATAAGTTTCAAATGACACATTAAACACGATTATATTATATTTTCCAGCATAGTATTGTTCTTGACTATAAATGAATGTGGTGCTTTTTTAGTAAAAATGGTACTCTAGGCTGGCTAGGCATCCCACTGTGTTATGGTAGTTTCCGCTTGCTCTCCGGTTCTTAGAATTGAATAATAAACTGCTGATGCATGAAGGTGTTAGGTATGTCGTGGTATGTCACTCTCCGGTCTTCGTCAAGCGTCAAGTTCTTAGCCTACAAAAGAGGAACGGAAATTTTGTAAAAGTAGTGATTTATTTCTCAAAATAGTCTCCTTTTAACTCGATACATAGCGATGCTCCAATTTATTTAGCCAGATAAGTGCAAGATGTGTAAATAGGGTCAACGGTGGCCTAGTCGCCAGGTTTTGTCTTCCCAGCACTACGAGGGTGGTCCCAGAAGTACCCGACCCAACGAAGAAAACAAATGTATTTATTTTTCAACATAATCTCCTTTGGGCTCTATACACTTTTCCCAGCGATGTTCAATAGGTTCGATACCCTTTTTATAATAAGAACTGCCTTGCTCCTCAAAATAGCCATTAACTGCCGACATCACTTCTTCATCGTTGGAAAATCTTTGACCACTGAGCCATTTTTTCAAGTTTGGAAACAGAAAATAATCCGAGGGGGCTAAATCTGGTGAATAGGGTGCATGAGGTAGCAATTCAAACTTTAATTCGTTGATTTTGGCCATTGCAATAACGGATTTGTGAGCTGATGCATTGTTTTGATGAAATAACACTTCCTTCTTAACCAAATGCGGCCGTTTTTGCTTGATTTCATCGCTCAAACGTTGCAATAAGTTCGCATAATACTCGCCGTTGATAGTTTTACCTTTTTCAAGATAGTCAATGAAAATCATCCCACGCGCATCCCAAAAAACCGACGCCAAAATCTTGCCTGCAGATGAAACGGTCTTCGCCTTCTTTGGAGCCGGTTGTTCTTTTTGAGTCCATTGCTTTGATTGTTCTTGAGTCTCGGGTATGAAGTGATGGAGCCATGTTTCATCCATGGTTATGAAACGACGCAAGAGTTCTGCTTTGTTGCTGTGAAACTTCGCTAAACACTCAATCGAAACATCTTCACGAAACTGTTTTTGCTCGATTATGAGCAATCGCGGCACCCGTCTTGCACACAGCTTTCTCATGTCAAAATTTTCAGATAATATGCGATGAACCGCACTTTTTGAAATGCCTACTATGTCTGCTAGCTCGCGCACTTTCGGTCGATGATCATTCAGTACCGCTTTGTGAATTTTCTTCACCATTTCTGGAGTCGTCACCTCATTTGATCGAAAACTGCGATGCTCGTCTTGGCAGCTCATACTGCCTCGTTTTAACTCTGCTACCCAATACTTTACTGTTGTAAACGAAGGAGCAGACTCACCCAGAGTAGAATCCAGTTCTGCTTTTATATTGGTTGGGCTGAGGACTTTGAAATAAAAGTATTGTACCACATAACGATTACCAATTTTCTCCATTTTCGCAAATTCACTGAAAACGTTCAGTACTGATGGCTGCCAAACAAATACTTCAAACTTGACACATATGCTTTACAGTTTGTATACTTTCTAATACAATATTTTGCAAACAACTATCGCCATCTCTAGGTCAGGCCGGGTACTTCTGGGACCACCCCCGTATCTACTACTACATGATTTCCAGTGTTTATGTCGATATAGCAAAAAAGACTTGAGATATGTGTAGTATGAATTACATTTCACCACAAGATACATACTGAAATTTTACTAAGGCATATTTGTCTAAATGCAAGAGTTTGAAATATGATTTTTTATGCATCCATTACAGACTACTCAGTATACAGCTTATACACTACTTTTTTTTTACTAAACAAGTGATTAATTGATGAAAACGATCTCTTGATAACAGTTGCAAACTTATTGAACAAAAATTATACATATAGGCATTTTTAATAAGACTGTTTTAAAATAAATGATGAACAGACATTTGACTTTTATTCAACGAAAAATAACAAAAAAATGTTCGAAGTCCCATTTCCTTATGCGTCGTATATCTAACAAGTTAAGAAAGTTACGGGCGAGAAGTACTGAATGATAAGATTTGGATCTTGCGACCAACATCTTGGATCCCATAGCAGAAGATCAAGGCCCACAGAACCTACTTACAAAACCCCACTATAGAGAACAGACAAGCCGACGTCGAGTCCAGAAACAAATATAACGAAGCAGTTCGCAATGCCAAAATCCAGCATGATATAAAAGTTAGGCACAGGGTAATGCCGCAACGCAATGGCAGTCGGTCTTTCTGGACGCTGGCCAAGCAGATTGAAAAGAACTTCTCACACAGTAGCCTTCTACCACTTACGTGTCAGGATGGAACTATTGTATTCGACTCAAAGGCCAAGGCGGAAGTGCTAGCCAAGATCTTTGCTGCCAACTCCACCATGGACGTCCCCACCAACGCCCAAGTGCCGTCAATTCAAAGGGTTCCCCACACTATGCGGGAGGTAACATTCAGGCATAAGACCGTAAGACGAGTGCTCTTGTCGCTCGACATCAACAAAGCTTCTGGTCCGGACTTGGTTCCTGCCATTGTACTGAAGAGATGTGCAGCTGAGCTTGCTCCAGTTCTTTCGCGTCTCTTCCAGATATCTTATGAATCCGGCACCTTCCCAGAAAACTGGAAATTTGCTCATGTACAGCCCATCCCAAAAAAAGGATCTAAAACCGACCCTTACAACTACAGGCCTATAGCTCTGCTTTCTGTTGTAAGTAAAGTGATGGAGAGGTGCATAAATCGCGAGCTTCTGGACTACCTCGAACGTCACAGCTTGATTAGCGACAGGCAGTACGGCTTCCGGCACCAACGATCCACAGGGGACCTCCTAGCTTACGTCACGCAACTGTGGAGTAAACTCATCCAGTCTCATGGTGAGGGTCATGTCGTTGCTCTTGACATCACGAAAGCGTTCGATTAGCTGTGGCACGCTGCCCTCTTGAGCAAACTTCCATCGTACGGCCTCCCAGAAAAGCTTTGCAGATGGGTGGCTGACTTTATCTCTGGCCGCAAGATATCCGTCGTAATTGACGGATTCTCCTCTTCATCCCACAACGTCAACGCGGGTGTTCCCCAGGGATCGGTCTTGGCTCCAACACTGTTTCTCTTACATATCAACGACCTCCTTTCCTGCACGATCAACCCAATCCATAGCTTCGCTGATGACAGCACACTACATGCAGGAATTCAGAGTGACAAGCCGATTTCTGCCGCTGAGCTGGAAAAAAGAAGACTAGCGACGACTTCTTCTCTGACAAGAGACCTGGAGGCTATCACTGCTTGGGGACGCAACAATCTTGTACAGTTCAATGCTTCCAAAACACAGTACTGTACTTTGACGAACAAAAAGCGTCCTAGGGCTCATACAGTTTCGATGGACGGTCGAGTTCTACCAAAGAGCCATTCATTTCGGCTGGTCGGAGTCCAGATCACCGAGGACCTGATCTGGCACGAACACATCTCTTCAATAGCTGCAGCTGCTGGGAAAAAGCTAGGCTATTTGTTTAGGGCTAAGAAGTACTTTTCTCCGCATGACCTTCTCACTCTATACAAGGCCCAGATAAGGCCTAGCCTCGAGTATTGCTCACACATTTGGGGTGCTGCCGCCCCGACTACATTGTCCATGCTCGATGCTGTCCAGAGGAGGGTGGTCCGACTGATCGATGACTCTTCTCTAACAGACAGTCTCGGGACTCTTTCGCACCGGCGGGCCGTCGGCGATCTAGCTCTTTTCTATCGCTACACCAACGGGCTTTGCTCCTCAGAGCTCTCTTCCACGATGCCGCCGCGCGATGTGCCTGCCAGACAGACCCGCCTGACTTCGGCGTCCCATCCTAACCGTGTCAAACTTCGTACATCCAGAACTGGTCGATACGACCGCTCCTTTGTCCCGAGGGTGTCTAGATTGTGGAACAAACTACGGGAGGAAGCTTTTCCCAGTTCTACTAACCTTAGGCAGTTCAAAAATCGTATTAACAAAATTTCTTTGGGATCATCATAGCAGCCGCGGTGTTCCGGCACTTAGGCTTCTGCCTGCGCGGCTGTTTCGATATAAAAAAAAAAAATCGTAATATTTTAATATTTATTTCTCCTAGCTCTTGAAATGGTTAACGCACCATATTTAAGGACCTCCAGGTGTTGGTACAACAAAATCTGGATTGTCAGTCTTGCACTCCTCATCCCAGTCGACTGGAATTATTTCCTGAGTCAGATATTTCACCTTGCTTAGTGGACAGAAGCTGGAACACCCAGGAATTGTTAGTTTGAATGGTGGCAGTTTCGTGGAATTTCTTAGATATACCTGAAAACACGTAAAATCAACTGACTCGGCTTTTTAGCCACTGATTCCATCAGGGGTATCATGTAAAAAATCTATAAACCGCCAAAAAAAAAAACCTTATAAGGTGTCAACTTGCAGACTAGGTAGTTTTTAGGGCGCAAACAGTCATTCCACGTTTGCTCACTAGGATCGTTATGAACGTCCATCTATGGAGGAATCGCTCAACTAAACTACGCATTATTGGTTGCATAGTTTTGTGAGGCTGAGTGATCCGGGTCTGTAGTTTTTATCTCTGAGAAGAAAGTTGGTTGAATAGCAGATCGCATCTGGATGATTGTGTGTATTGGTCTGCTTGTGTATAAAATCAGTGATATTTGCTGTGTGGAAAAATCATTACTGGATATGCCAAATATGACGGATTATATATATGTTGTGCTCTCTGAAGAGAGGTTATAAATTACGAAAAACTGATGAGAATTACGGGAAATCATCACCGCGCCCGCGCTGGGTGTAATTACTGTTAGCATGTATATGGCTTGTAATATAATTATTTCTTATCTCTCTCATTTTTGAAATTCAGCAAATTTGTATATGTAATTTCCAGAATGGATAAGAAAAAGTGGATGCGCAACTAATGTCTAGCTTTGAATCTCAATTAAGTGTATTTGAGAAAAGAACCCAATGTAATTATTATCAACACATACAACTTACAGCTTAGACCTCCAGTAATGCCATCTCAGAAGCAGATTTTACATCACATCAAAGCCAAAGATTGATAACAAGCCTCATGCCGTTTAGGCAACACGCACAACTAAGACCCGTATCGTCAGTCGTCCCTACAATTGTAGGGCGCGTTTATGGCCTCCTAGATTGTCATACTCCTTTCTCTCCTTCAAAAATTTCTAGATTACACTTGTCCCGTGTCAGCGTCAGCGCTCTCCTATTGTGAAGATATGTTTTCTTTTTAAATTGTAGGAAATTTCAGGCTGATAAAACATGATATAACTCAAAAGCAAGCACAATTAGATGCAAATAGATGTTTGTGACATAACCTCAAAATAGAGCGCTGACACGGAGAAGTAGAAAACTATGACAACCAAGGAGGCCATAAAGGCGCCCTACAATTGTAGGGACGACTGACGATACGGACCTAAGTCCTAAGTTAACATCTTGTAGAATAACCTACATAATTTAAAAAAAAAACGTGCCCCCGTTTGTGACTTTCCTGGTATATTTATATGTATAGTGAAATGATTAAATGTATTCTGAAGGTCATGAAGATTGATGCATTTTCAAAACAGATTCGCGAATTTGAAATTCGGTTTTTCTAACCTCTGGACCTTATCACTGCAAGAGGTAACATTATTACTCATATCTGAAATTATTCTGTTTGCCTACCTCTATTCCATATTCGCCAGAGTGTTTATCCTTCGATAGTTCGAACAATATAGTGATTCCGTAACCAGGAAATTGAATATCCCATATTTTCAAGGCTCTCATTATATTGACAATAGTAGAATCATGCCCGCCGTATAAATACGCCCTCATGTCTTTTATTTCCAGAGTATCGGTTGCTTTGGATTCCCAATCGGACAACAGCTTCTTTACAAACACACCTGTAAAATGCACCAGGGATCCGTTGACAAAAATTCGTACAAATATTCCAATGAATAGTCAATTGTAATTTCAATAACAGCCATATGTTTCAACGTCGAGCAATTTTAAATATTGCTTATGAATACGTTTGTCGGGTCATCTTTTGAAACAACGGTGATACTTTTTGTATTTTCTCACCATTTCAAAAATAACACCACTGCACCAAGTCATTACCTCGACCCCGACAGGTGGGAATAGGTAAATAAATGCTTGTAAACAAGTTAAATTACCTCCCCTCAGTCTGTTCATTTTATCACTGTACGTGTTCAGGATGTAGCTTTCCAAAGTTGGTTGGTATAATTGATCGGGGTAGTAATTTTTGGTCCACTCGGGTAAAGTAAGGTTGAAGCCTTTCTAAAAATGTACTCGGTAAGATTGTTGAAATACCAGTATCTCTACCGTCAATACCTCTGCTATAAGCGTGGTGTAAACATCTTGGACGTCTTCAAAATTGCTTATATTCATGCCAGTGATTTCCGTGAGTTCCTCGAACAGTGTTTCGTATTTTTTCATCTTATTCTTTATTTCTTCTGACTCCATCACCTTTAGCTTTTCTATGTGGTACTGCGGGCATGGTTTCCTCACTAGAAGTAACTGTAAAAAAGTTGAAAACCACCTTTCTTAACTAAGTTAAGTGAAATCACAAATTAACGAGCTAATTATTCTATTGACGAAAGGTTAAACAGCTGAAAACGAAAACTACAGACTATCACAGACATCTTTGTATTGATCTGTAAAGTTGGCAATAATGAATCGGGTGTAAATCTGGGAAAACTCAGGACCATATTCAGAACTGTTCTCACATCTAGATTCTTTTAATAACTGGAAATTTTAACAATAAAATACAAGAAGTACACATATAATGTTCATTAGAAAATTATTATAGTTTATCTGGGATGCGTACAACCTTCATTCCGAATCAATTAATAAGTGTAAAAATTTGTACCCTGTGAACTAGGGGATAAAATATAGCCTACGTGGTATCCAAGACTATGATCTATCTCCGTACCAAATTTCATCCATTTCAGCAATTTTGGCGTGAACTGATGACGGCAGGAACTGCATAGTCAACCTACTTGACGCCCTTTTTTTACACAAGCCTTGACTTACTGAATCTTGTTCCAAAGGCTCCGCATTTACGGGCACTGGTTGCCATGCCAACGGGCCCCATCGTTGATCGCCCACAGGCGGCCATAATCCTGCGTTCACCATTTGCATGCTGGCCTTAGTTCTGTCCACCCCTGTAGATTGTGTGTAGTACATGTGCGGTGAATAGAGGGTTCCCAAAAATTTGCCGTAGCGATTGCGGAGAAACTGGCCGATTTCGTAGAGTTGAAGTTTTCCTTCCTATGCAAAAAGACGTATGCTAGTTTTTGTTGTTGTTGAAGATTTATTTAGCATTAATGCTACAATGTCAATTTTGTATAATGATTCAGTTACATATTTTTCTTCAATCCGTTTTCTGTAATTTTACAATCTTGTCTATTAAAATTAAAATTAAGTCACGATGTATTTTGAGTATTCATAAAGTGATTTTTTAATTTCACCTTAAACATTTTTAAATGCGAACTTTGTTTAATATCATTATTCAATTTATTAAGTTCAAATACTCCCTTTTGAAATATAGATTTACTAGTTATGCTACTATTACAATCTCTATTGCCTCTAGTTTCGCAGTTATGATAAAGACTATTCAATTTTGTGATGTTCTCTAAATGTGGTGGTACTAGATGATTTTTTAATTTGAATATGAAAACGAGAACTAAATAATATATGAAATGTTTCACATCCAACCACTGCAGTTCTTCTAACATTGACTTAATCCTAGTATATATTTGTTTTTATTTAAAATGATTCTCATAGCTTTATTTTGTTGAATTTGTAATTTTGAAAATATGTTTTCGTTTGGTGTAAACAAGATGGTTGAACAATACAAAAAGTAGGGAAGAATTATAGTGTTATATACAATTATTTTGGAATACATACTAAGATTATGGGAAACTCTATAGAAGTAATTTGTCTTTTTCGATATTTTTGAAATAATGTATTCATAATGTTCGTGAAACAGTAGCTTACAATCCACATATATACCAAGATATTTAAATGACTCGACTCCTTCAATTTTTTCATCATTAATCATGAGCCTAATTGTATTGCCACCTAAATGTTTCCCTATTGACATACATTTTGTTTTATTACTCTTTAATTTAAGTTTATTGACATTTAACCAATTCATAGTTTTTTAATATCACTATTTAACAATTCTAAAGCAGTGTCCAAATGCTTATGTGCTAGATATACAGGGTGACTTTGAAGTTGAGTCATTAATTTTCAGATAATGATTGTAGAAGGAAGATAAACCAAAATATGTGTGTAAAAATAAAAAAAAAAATTAAAAAAAGTTTTTACCTTGTTTTATAAAGTATCCTCCCGACAAGTATTTCAGTGCGGACCTGTATTTGATCGTGAGGTCCCCTGTGAGGTCTTAAGTCACCTGATTCACGAGCCCGTTGTACTACATTAACAAAGGCACGAGGGGTTGGTTGCACTCGATTGGGAAACCGATCCGCATAAACATGTGCCATTTTTTATTTCGTTTGAGCCACGCAACAGACACTATTCACACGCTTTACCGACTGACACTGACTGTATGTATAACTGAACTGAATAAAATAATTGTAAAAACATCGTTCCAAATTCTTTCGCTTTTTTGTTGCGATGAACCGATAAGGCGGATTATATCCGTTGTTGCCAAACACGAGCACATGATATTATTATTGAGACAGGGCGGTACTCAAACTTCCAAAGGGCTATAACTTTGTTACTTTAATTTTACCAGAAAAATGGTAAAGGAAAAAAACATTTCTATTGATCAGATCTACTCACTGTTAAAATAAATGACTCAACTTCGAAGTCACCCTGTATAAGAGTCTCAGATATTTGAAATAATTGAATTTTGCAGTGTTCTAAAATGTCAGAGATATCATTTATACAAATAATAAATAGTCACGGCCCTAATTTACACCCCTGTGGCACCCCTACCGACATATTTTGAACACTTGACATAATATATTATTGATTTTAGATTTTTGTGGGAATAATTGCAAATTTGTTCCATTTTTTTATTCTCAGTACTAATTGTATACTTTCCACCAATACTTTTAAATGTCGCTTTTGTTTATCTTTCGCTTGCCTTTTTTTATTCGCTTGAGTTTTGACTGGTAAAACTATCTTGAGGCGTAAATAGATGACAAATGGCTACCGATTGAATTGACTGAAATTTTAGTCTATATGTGCATAACAATCTGATCAAAAACCTTTAAGGATGAATGATCCTGATAGGCTTTGTAACCAAAAGAAAAACAATTTACGAAAGACACCAAAATTATTTTATGATCTTTTTTGCCATAGATTAGAGACTTTTACTCAAAATGATACTGAATCGAAAAGTGTTGCTAAAAACAGGTCAACTTCAATTAGATGCGGCAAAGGAGCGTTAAAGTAGCTATTAATCGTCTTGCAATCGTCTTTCGTAGGCTCTTTTTTTTCTGGATTTGACGGGGAGCCAAACGTGATAGAAAACAAAATGTTAAATTAAATGTTCATCTTATTGGGTTTGACAGTAACCTAACCTATTGCAGAAGCCTGTGCGAACATTTTCCGGTAAAGCAATTTGGCAACGCGGCAGATTGCACGACCATTGCTAGGCAACGCGGTGATGACCTTCGCTGTTCAGCCGGCTTCTATCTCTTTCTAACATGTGTTCATACGCGCTTCTCTCTCGTGCACATTGAGTTCAAACAGTCAGACAAATTTGGTTTTCCCAGTATACAGGGTGTCCGCAAAGTTGGGGTTTTCCTTTTCAGAAACAACTACCCTTGAAATAACAAAGGTAATGTGTAGCGAAACGAGGGCGACCAAGTAAAAAAAAATAAAGGAAAAAGTACTCACTCTCCAGTTGACGAGAAGGGCTAAGTACGTCTCTGCCTGAAATCGAAAGTTATTCACCCCATTACGCGTGAACGTAGATTCGTCTGTCACCAATATGCACTTCAAAAAGTCCGGATTATTGTCATGTTGATGCAACAACCACTCACAAAACCGCACTCTTGCTGGAAAATCGTCAGGTTGAAGGGCTTGTACACGTTGGACGTTTGCCACACTTTAGTTTTTGATACTTGCACTTCTCTAGCCACGTATCTGCATACACTCGCGACGATTCTGTAGCATTTTGAAGACATTCGCCATAACTTAACAACATATCAACGAGTTCATTATTGGTGTATGAGTGTGCCATTATTATTTTTATTTTTTTTTGTAACGCAATCGATTATACGGGTTCGTTACCTCTATACGCGTGACCCTTTACTGTCGGTTGAAGGTTGCATACTGACCTGACACACTGACCCCGATCCCCGACCCAGTTCTGTCGTCGGGTTCAGCTAGTAGCCGGTACCAGTCTGGGATATCACGGCGGGTCGCGGCTGCAGGACGGTATTCAGATATTTTTGATGTTGCAGATCCCTTTATCTCGGTTCCCTTAAGACATTGGTGGTGGTACTAAGAAAAATTGCTTATGTTTTCAAGATCTACACGTCGTGTAAAGGAAAACCCCAACTTTGCGAACACCCGTATTGTACTTACATTGGTGAGCTGGCCCCATCCAACAGGGTAAAATGTTTCGTTTTCGTAGGGATCATTAGGGTAAGTACTGGCTGGGGTTCTGGCACCATGACGCATTACCTGAAATGTGTGTATTTTGTCATTAGCGACGCACCGAGTACTCGATTCTTTGCGTACTCGACCAGTTTTACCGAGAACCCGATTTTGCCGAGTATTATGTTCTTCAAAGAGAATAAGGCATCATAAAAAATACGAGGGTTGTTTCAAAAATATAGTTCCTAACGTTGCAACTTTGCAAAAATACATAGAAAAATAGCGACTATGTAGAAAAATAGCTTAAAGAACAACGTTTAAAAAGATAAATTTATTTTTTCAAATAAAAATTCCTTGTGCGTGAACCCTATTTTTGAGGCAACCCTCGTACTCGTAGCTAAGGTTACAGCAAGCTTTGCCGGATCAATGAACCGATTTGGATGATTCTTTTATTAAATGTCGACCGTCTTCTTCAGTAAGCTAGTGTAATCACGATATTTGTATTTTTTAATGCACAAATTGTTTTTTCGTAAAGAATTCGTAATTTGAGACCACGTTGTGATATTGCCTTTTTGGACTTTTTATTTGCTTTTATATCTTTCATTTGAACACTAAAAAAACGACAAATGAAATTGAACAAAATGTAGCAAAAGTTGAAAAGGAATCCGAATAACTGTTATCCGTAACCTTGGCAAAGAAAACCTTGACTGATACCTAATGATAATTCTGTCCTTAGCAAATCTGAGATCCAGCAGTTTTGTGATTGTTTTGTAGCCTGCTGCTCAGATTCCTACGACGATTGTTTCAAAGATAAGGTTCCCACATTTTTTAAGGCACAAGGAACTTTTTATTTGAAAAAACGAATTCACCATTGGAAACGTTAATCTTTAAACTATTTTCGCCGTAATCGCAATTTTTTTAACGTGAAATCCACGTTTGCTGTCTCGCCTCAAGGAAAGATACAGCCTTGAAAACCCTATTTTCGAGAGAACCCTCGTATACGATTTAAATACTTCACTGACGGCCTTGATCTAACAAATTATTTTTTAGCTTTCAGTACATCACCTGCATCGTTATTGTTTCTTCGCAATGATACCGTTCGTCTTAGTTTTTGACTTATTGTATTGCTTTCAATTAGGAGCATAAACAGTTTACCTTAGACTACTTACAATATGGATTAGCTGTAGAGTCTTGCCATCTCCGGATCTGGATGAATTTTCAGGGAAAGCAAACATACAGACAGCTAAAAGTACAATCCCCGCGATTGCTAACATCGCAACCAATACTAGACTGATATAATCTGCTAGCTGCAAGTTTTCATTAAAATAAATTTAAAAGATCGATATTAACAATCGATAATTGTAGGCATGTTTCTGTTGTAATTACTGTAATCACTGATTAACATATCAATTCTGTAATCTAGTCAGTTATTATGAGTACCGATGAACGTTGTTCAGAACCTGCTTTTATTTTTTATATCATCTTCACATCTCCATCGAGAAGTCAGGCTTGAAACCACTCACTGAAATTTTGGTAAATATCAGTCGTACAATGTGTTATCTTTTTTTTCACAATCCTGAATACCTGTACGCGTATTGTGTTAATGATATGCATCGTTTATTTTCATAAGAGCGATAAGCAACGTTTTGCAGTTTTATACAGGGTGCGGCAGAGAGGATGTGGACGGTTTTAAAAAAATCATAAAATAGTTAATTCTTACTCGAAAACAAATTTATTGATGGAATCAGGTTCACAAGGAAATAGCATTTGAGACAGTCAAGTGTGGAAAATCACATCAGGCATGTGGTGGCCGAAATCGTTGATGCAGTGCTGGAGGCGTGCTTGGAAGTTCGCGTAGACTCTCTCCAACATCGCTCTCCCAACTTGGGCGACTTCCACGCGAATTTCGCCCTTCAATCCGTCCAGAGTTCGGGGCTTCTTCGCGTATACGCTAGCCTTGAGGTGTCCCAATAAGAAAAAGTCGCATATGGATAAATCTGGGGACCGAGGAGGCCAATGAACATCACGACCATTACCGTCTTCGAAGAAGTGTTTTTAACTACACTACGATTCCAAGTGATCATAGACTGGTGAATTGATGCATAATTTGTACCGTGTTTTTTTTGTGTTTTTCAACCTTCAGTTACATTTCTATCAGAAGCTGCATACGTTGCAAAAGTTAATTGAAAAATATTTTTATTTCTGCAGGGTCATATACAGGTATACTAAATGACAGAAAATTAACACCGACTAGGAGTACTGTAATTTTGAGCATACTTTCACGTTTCCGTTTTAAGTCTACTGATAAATAGGAAGTGATTAAAATATCCCACCTTAATGTCAATAATGTGTTGAAGCTTAGTCTATAGTGTATTTACACCCAAGATAGAATGGATGCGTGATTGCCAAAAGCAAGGACGGCGTACAGGGCCGCATTCAGGGTTACCTCCGAATGATGGGCTACCACCAACGTGTTGTAAAACAAAGATGACAGTATTTAACAGAAACTTAACAAATTACTCAAATACACTTAACAACAACAACAGCAACAACCAAGCAAGGTGAATACGAAAACACGAGCACGCAGTGATACACGCGACGGACGGTGGCCTGAGTGCAACTCTGCCTGCCCTGCCCCTGTCCCGCGCTTTATTCCGCCAGGCGACCGCTTGAAATTTAATGGCGAAATGACCAATAAGAGGCGTTGTCCCCACCTGTTACGCGCTAACTGTTATTATTTACATCTCATCTTGAATTTGGATTCAGTTTAGATGGCAATAGATTTAACGCTCTCGAACGTGAACTCGAATCTCCTCAGTGAGGCAGCAATCGCTCGCGCATAGCCGTGTAGCTCTGGTTGCCTATACGTTGACGTTTCCGGACACTTGTTGACTGTTCTGGTAGATGTCCGAGGGATACAATAACTACGTGGTGATCCAAACATATATTCATTTAAATGGGAGATTCTACATTTTATTGCAGTTTCGGATAGGCCCTTTCAAATTAAGTAATTTGATGTAACGTTCTGTAGAGTTTTAAAAAAACGCTTACCTGAGAACGATTCATTTTACGCCACTCACTGCTTTTGACTGCGCTATAAGCAACAAGCGTAAAATACATATTTATTTCCTTTGTTAAATTAAGATATATAATTATCTCCATAGCCTTTATTATTTTACAATAGGCAAATGTTACAAAATTAGCGTCAATTGTATAATACATTTTTGCTTCTAGTCAGAGTTACACAAGGTGTAGTACATGTGCTATTTATTTTGTTCCGTTGAATTATTATAAATCAGAACTGATTTCTTGCATTAGGTCAGCGATCGCGTTTATTAAAACTATAAGTTTTGGAGCAAGCGGGTTTGATGATCACCAAATTACTCAGATCACTTGAGACCGATTGAACAATTGTACATTTGTCGTTTAAACTTCGTTCAACTGAACTGTAGTTTAAGCTTCACTTTAAGGGATTTTTCAGTTGGGTGTATACTTTATCTGAAGTCACTTGAAATAGCATAAAAACCTTTGGTCGGCGCGTCCTTTGTAATTTCATGACGTATCATAGGCGTGCGGTCATTTATTTAGAACGATAATAATAATGTTTTTATATCACAATAAATGGATTTTACTATCTTCTTATTTTTTTGATTTGGGATAAAAAATACTTATATTGGGAGTTTAATTTATGTTGACTGAAAGTTAAGAAATGGAAAAATTACAGAATTCCAACGTTTGACATAGGCAAATATTTACATAGCAGGTAGGTATATAAAAAGGTATATAAAGACTTACATTATAGGTATTTATATATCATCCTCGCCTTCGGAGCTGTCGCTAGAGTCATCTTGTAGAGGAATTACAACGGGATTTACAGGAGGCAAAACACAATATTCATTTTCTTTTTCAATAATATGCCTAGAACACTGCTTCCATAGGTCTGTGGCAGCAATATGAGATACTGCATCTCTTATTGTGGCCAATAGCGATTCCCTTAATTGAGGGGTCTGATTATGTTTTCTTACTTTTTTTTTAAAGCAGCCCAGACCAACTCAATCGGGTTAAAAATGCAGTAATAGGGAGGTAGACGTAATACTTCATGGCCATTTTGCTGAAGCAGATTGTCAACAACATACTGTTTTTCAAATTTTTGTCTTTTAATAAGATCCAATGATATGGCTTTGGTTGATTTTTGTGGTATTTCCATTCCCTTATCCTTCAAAAAATCAATAATGTGCCTGTATTCGAAATTTTGTTTTTCTGTCCGGAATGGTATGGCACATTGTCCATAATAATCACTGAATTTGGGGAAATGTTTGGTATTAACTGCTGCTCTATCCACTTTTCAAATAAGTCAGAGGTCATGTCCTCATGATAGTCGGCACATGATTCTTTGATATTTTTGGCAGATAACAGCAAGGCCTTAGGTATAAATCCATTTTCACTGCCAGCATGGAGAATAATGATTCGTTTTCCACGGTTGCATGGTGCATTTAAAATGCACTTGTTGCTGTCGTCAACCCAGCCGTACTGCACAACATCATGGGTATCATACCACGTTTCATCCAGGTAAATCAGATTTCTTTTCTGCTCTCTATAGATTTTAACTTTGTGCAAAAATTCTTGGCGCAATTCAACGATTCGAGACGACTCCATAATCACCATTCTTTTATCTAATTTTTTGTATTGAAAACCACACAGTTTGACAATACAGTGCAGTGAGTCTAAGCATTTGTAATTATAAAAATCTTCAGGATAATCTTTTAATTTATCCCGTATCATTTCCAACGTGGGCACCAAATTTTCTTTATAAAATCCGTATATTATACGACGAATATCTTCCTGAAAATCCACGTCTATTCTTTTTAATTTTTGCCCTATGCGCTTTCTGTGGAAGGAATGGTTGACTACATCTCCCCTTTTATAAGCCGATAAATGGTAGACCGACTGATTTTTGTCAGGATACAAATTCTGTTTAAAATTTGATTTTGCGAGGAATCTGGATTTTCGTTTTTCAGACAATCATACATATTTAGGATTACTCTTTGGGTCTGTTCCTCTAAATCTTTATGAAAGAATTCTGCCTGCACAGGTTCATCAACCATCTCCTCGTAGTTTGGAGCATTTTTCCAAGGTCTCCAAAGAGCCATATTTAGGACACACAAGAACAATCAACACAAAAATTAAATCAACAAGTAAACTGAGTATTCAAAAGTCAAAAACACACAAACTAATAAAATCTATGAAAAAACACGGACAGACTAAAGAAAACACGTTTATTCACCGCTACACGGCACTGGCTAAACTGTTTCAATTTTCAGTAGCCACCTGCACTTGTTCGGAGCTCTGAAATACACGCTTTCTCATTGGCTATGTCCACACATAGGCGTGCTTTACTCCACGTGGACCGGTGAAACTGCCTTTGATCTTATACGGGGGATATTTGCTGCGAAATTTGGCGATTTTTGCAGCAACAGAGCGTGTTAAATATAGATATATAAAACGCACCCGGTATTTCACAGTGTTTCAAGTGACTTCAGATAAAGTATAAGAAGCTCAACTGTCACAGGTTTGTATTTTTTTCTTAGAAAATGTTACCATACATTGGAAATGCTAGTGACAATACATTTCAGCATTTTCAAATCTTAGAAAATGTCTTTTTCCAATATTCAAAGATGGTACAACCATATAGTTTTGTACAAGTTAGCCAATACTCAGGTTTAACTTAAAGGGTTTTGATAAAGCCTTCTAGACAAAAGTATACACAAAAAAAAAACGTTTTTCTGAAGGAACAATTTGAAAATATCCATATTCATGTGAATCAGTATAATAGTCATGTCACTTGGAAGTTTAAGTGCTCTCTCTTGTTGCCAGCGGTTTGAGAAATGCATACTTTCCTATGTCCAGAAAGGCGGGCACTTCGCTGTACGTCGTGCTGCGCAGACGACGCTATCAAAGACACGCCTTCGACACCGCACCATTCCCGTGCAAATTCGGCTTATGAGCGCGTACCCTTTCATGGCTGTCTATTACCAATTGTACTCTTTCCTTGCGCTTCAGTGCATCCAGCTTATAGTCGTTCGAGTCCTATACAAATATTGATTCCATCATTCATCATCACTGCATACAAAATCGGTCGACAATGAAGTGAAATATCCTGGAGCTATACCCTATTTCACGAGTATCCATCACGCTTTGACGTCTACTGAGGTGAACAGCTGATCAGCAAGTGGCATTTTTGAGTTAGTCTGCAACGTTCGCAATAATGGAACGGCTATAAATCTAGTAAAGCTTGTTTGTGGCGGTTTGTTTTTTGCATGCAAATGAACTTTTCTAAATAAGACCTGTTAGCAAGTACAAAATGAATCTGTAGCGTACAAAAAAGTAAAACAAAATTCGGCTCTGTCTACCAGGCGTCGACGGATCGGTCCGAATTATGTGTCCTGTGCCGAGATGGGGAATTTTGAGATAAATCAGCTGTCATTCTATGGATGGATAGTCGTGAAATAGGGTATATGTTTGCGGTAAGGTAGTAGTAGTAGTAGTAGTAGTAGAAAGATTTATTTAGCACATTTGGCTACATAAACAGAATAATTGTAAACAACTTAGAACTAGTAAATTCAAGCCATATGGTGTATGATGTAAATGCTGGGCAACCTATAATTGTAGATTTAACAAGTAATTTCTCAATTTTACTTTAAATTTTGTCAAAGTTTTCTGGTCTTTTATCTCCGAGTATAATTTATTATATTCAATCAACCCTTGATGGAATACAGATTTGTAGCATATGTTATACTTTTTGGTCATTAAATGGAAGTCATCTTTATTTCTGGTATTATGTAAATGATGGTCGACATTTGATGATGTTAAATTAGTTAGACTTGATGGAAATATATTATTTTTTACTTTATAAATGAATATCATTCAAGATATTTGATGCAATTTTTTACATTGAGCCATTTTAATTTGCTAAGCATTTGCCTAATTGGAGTATATTTATCTTTATTTAGTATTATTCTCATGCACTTATTTTGTAAAATTTGCAGCCTTTCAAAAATGGAATTATTTGCTAAATATAGAATAGTCGAACAGTACAAGAAATTTGGAAGAATGATGGTATTATAGATAATTTTTCTGCTATATGAACTCAGACATCCAGAAACTCTCGATAAATATCCCACTTTACTACTAATCTTATTTATAACTTTTTCATAATGAATATCAAAAATTAATCGAGAGTCAACAAAAACTCCCAGGTATTTAAAATTTTCTACGAATTCAATATCTTCACCATCAATATTCAGTTGAACATTTGTACATTGTTTTTTTCCGATTAACAAGGCTTTCGTTTTACTTGTATTTAATTTTAGTCTGTTAGATGCTAACCATTTTGAGACAAGCTTCAAGTCTTCATTTATATAAGAGATACCAGACTGAATATTTTTAGTACTTATATAAATCATTGTGTAAATAAATCTGAATTTTGCATTTTTTTACTATGGCAGGTAAATCATTTATGTATAAAATAAAAAGAAGTGGTCTCAGGATACTGCCCTGTGGAACACCCAAGATATTTTCAATTTTTGATGAAATAGTGTCATTAACTTTTGTAACTTGCATCCTTTTAGACAAATAATTTCTAAACCAATCTAAAACACTTCCTGTTATACCATATGCCTTCAATTTACCTAACAAAATATCTCTATCAATCGTTTCAAATGCCCTCTTCAAATCCAAAAATACTGCTATGACAACTTCTTCTGAGTCTATGGCTCTTCTCCAATTCTCAGTTACCAACTGGAAAGCTGTTTCTGTGGAATATTTTTTTCGAAAGCCTGCTTGCGCCTCCACTAAAATTTTGTTTTCTTCTATAAACTGCATTAATTGGTCACGCACTATGGACTCTAATAATTTTTCAATGTCTGGTAACACATTTACTGGCCTCATATCGCTGCATCTTTTAGAATTTTTTATTTTGGGAACTGGTGTTATTGTAGAGCATTTCAAATTTTCAGGAAAAGAACTGCTTCTCAGTGAACAATTGATCCAATTTAATACAGGATATCCCAAAATTTCGAAACAGTTTTTTAGCACGTTTTTAGTAGTGATTTCGGCACAGTTGTTATTTGATTTTAAACTGTTTACTTTTTTTCTTAGATAATTCAATGATACGCTGTGAAATTTTGAAAGTGTATGCAACATTTCCCCCTGGAAACTGATTTTCATATAGTCAGGTGCAGCATTGGCAGTACCCACAATATCAACAATACTTTCCACAAAATATTCATTTAGTTCGTTTGCAATCACCAAAGAATTTCTTTCGGTACCGTTTTCGAATTGAACTTGATTTACACAATCATGCGGCTTCGAATTGATCAGTCTTTTTAAAGTCTTCCACATCTTCACACTGTCGCACTTGTTATTATCGATTTGTTTATCGTAGAATTTCCTTTTTTCTTCTCTAATTACATATACACATTTATTCCTAAGAGTTTTATATACCTCCCAATCATCATTTGATTTTGTGAATATACATTTATTGTATTGTTTGTCTTTTAAATTTTAAGCTGCCTTAATATTCTTATTATACCAGGGTGTATTTTTTGTCGAGCAAATCACTTTTTTATCAGTTGCAAGATCTAAACAAGTTTTTATATTTCCTATTATGTTGTCATATATTTTTTCCATATTCTCACCAAAATTCCAATAGCAGCCAGAAAGTTCCCGTTCAAGTTTTTAGTACTTAATAGTATTTACGATTTTCTTAATTTTTGTATCAGAAAAATGCCCTACCAAGGGCAGCATTGTCCAACTGTGATCGCTAACTTTAGGTGTATGTACAGCTTTAATCCCTGCACATTCGAAATTTACAATAACAAGATCTAACAAAGTCTCTGATAATGATGTTATTCTGGTACTCTCTTCAATTTTTTGCATGAACCCATAGTTGTTTATGGTGTCTTTCAATTTTCTTGTTTTCATGCTTTTAGGTAGAACGTGTTATTAAATACATTGTGTGCGACTAATATAGTACAGTGCTGAATCTACTAAATGTTTTTCTGTCAGATGGCGTTAGACACCTCGGCTTTATACAGCTCAAATTCCTACTGGTCTTACAAGAAGCGCTACAAGCGTATTTCGCTAAAACCGGCAGGATTATTACGTAAAAAAAAACCAATGAAATGTCAACTTTTTGACTAGACAGCTAACAGTGTGCAAAATACTTATTTCCGCGCCTGCTACAAGTGAGCAGCTAGCTTCTGGTTGACATCTTGTAGGAAAACCCCTGTAATGTCATAAAAAGCCTACATAATGTCACTTTGTAAACTACGCAATACCACTGCCGCACGGTTATTATGTAAAAAACGTCAAAAAAGCTTATAAAATGTCATCTTGCAGACTAAGCAGTTTTTAGGGTGGAAACAGTCATTCTACGATTGCTCACTAGGATCGTTGTGAGCGTCCATCTATAAAGGAATGGCTGAACTACACGCATTGTTGGTTGCATATATTTTGTGAAGCCGAGTAGTATGTAGTTTTCATTACTGAGCAGAAAGTTGGTTGAATAGCAAGATCGCATCTGGATGAATAAGTGTATTGGTCGGCATGTGTGTAAAATCAGTGATATTTACTGTGTGAGAAAAACCATTACTGAATATGCTGCCAATTAAGAATATCTATTAGCTGCGGATACGTCATTAATAAGGCCGATATTGAAGGTAATCAATATATTTAGAATAACTGGAAAACAAACAATATAATAATCGCTTAACAATTATATATCTAAATCATCATCTGGATCCTCTTCATCCCAGTCGTCTTGCTCATCAAATTTATAGAAAATCTGGCCACCTTCTGTTGAACTGTTTTCATCCCTAAAACGTCAAATTCAGTTCAGCACTTCTATAATCAAATCCAAGCGAATAACCAAAATTTCTGTGTTATGTGCCGCGGTTATAATATGGTTCAAGATGACTCACGGGTTGATGACGTCAGTTACATGAATTGCTTGAACGCGTTGGTTTTAACCGCGGTTTTGTTGCAAGTTGCTTATTTTAGAAAAGCGCGTATATAATCTCTGATTATTTTTATTATCACTTAATAATCGGTGCTTTTTCGTCTACAACTGTATATGGAAAGTTTAAATAAGAAACCTTTCATAATATTCATGGGAGAAATGTTTTTTTCAGATTATTTTTTTAATGATGGAACCATGGCTTTGTAGCTATGATAACTTTCAAGTCTCTAAAATTTTCCGTATATCAAAGAAAACATTTATTGATTCAGCAGAAATGATGAAAAAAGAAATTAGCAAAGCCGTATACAGGTGGATATCATCTAGTGAGTTTATATGGCCATATTTTAATATTCTTGTGGTATATGGCTACATAGGATACTTTGTTAAGCATAGAAACTACATTTAAAGTGTCCCCAACAACCGTAATGAGTATAACTAATAAGGTGCTCCACTTTATGGTAAAACTGAAGTCAGCCTGTATCATTTTTCTCAAAAATGAAGCTGAAGTACAATAATAATATCCAATACCCGGCAAAATTCTAACTTGTCACATTTCAAATAATAACCAGAAATATAAAACTACTCTTGAGTTGGGTAAATACCACAATTTTGCGGTGATAACTATGACATATAACAGCTGATTCGTGTCGTCACGGATCTTATAACCAAACTGATAACTACACTCGCTTGAACGGATTGGTAAATACCAACCCAAAATGGTAAATACCATTTCCATTTGGTTATCCGCTTGAATTTGATTTATGAATCGTTGGCTGCGTTCTCTAGCGTTCAGTAGTGCTAGTGAACGCAGACAATATTGAAAGAAGACCTCGTACCAAGTCGTTATATCGGAATATGTACTCAAAATAGTGTATGCGAAAAAAAAAAAATAGTTGAATGATCAATGCAGAATAATCTTGTAGAAATGCGGCAAATTGTAAAAGGAATAAGATGGACGCAACAAGGTGAGTAACTATCCCACACATCGAAGTATCGCCATGGGCGCCCGCAAGGGTGGAACCAGAGGGCCGTGGCCCCCTGAGAATCTGGTTGGATGTTAAAATTGGCTTTGTATAACTTTTGGGGCAGATAAACTTCTGCTGTTCAAAAAGGTGTACGTTCACAAGTTGTCTTTTGTCGACAAACGCCCCCAACTAAGAAGTCAAATAAAATGGACGTGTTAGTCATTGATCATAAAAAAGTTTCAAAATTATTATAGCGTTTTGTGAAAAGTAATAATTTATTTGAACAGCTGACAAATTGTCTCTGAGCTTGAAGATAAATAGTTGATATTAAAACATACTTAGGTAAATAAGGCAAAACTAGTTGACTCCTGGATTCTTCTTCTTTATCAGTCAGGCTTATTTTAAACGTTGCTAAGTCGTCTGGATTTATCTCCGGCCTTGATGCATTTTCCAAAAGTTTCTTTGGATCGAGCTTCTCAATTTTCTTTGTTTCAAGCTTACCATTTTGGAAGTAATATTCTTCTATCTGAAAGAAATTTGTCATCTGAGTATAAAGTATTATTACCTTTAACAAAGTGTCAATAGGGGAGCCCTGAAACGTCAAATAACGTAGTTTGAGCAATTTTTATTTAATTTTATTATGACAAAATGTCACTTTAGTTTAAGTTTTTTGTACCTACGAATTGTATCTCAAATATACATTCTTTTTTCAGACATTTCTCAATAGAGAATGTAAAATTAAATATTTAGGAAAGGAGACACTTCAGTATTCATCTTTATAGGAACTTCCCGTGATATTTTTGAACGCAATGAATAGAAATATTGCCATCACAATGTCATACATTTTGTTAGTCAAACTAAGAATGGAGACTAACAAAATTCAAGGAATATAGGAAAATAAAATGTCTATTACCTGTTTCACAACTCTGCCACCAGATTTTTTGCATTGGTATTGTATTCTACCATGCTCCGATGAGAATTTCGGTTGAACTTTCATAGATAATGTACTCAGAAAATTGAAAAGTTCTACAGTTTTCCATTTTGAATCTAATAAATCCAGATGTAACAGTGCCACAATTTGTGCAACCCCTGAAAAGGAATACGAGGGAAATGTTTAATATCACGCTGATACAAGGGTTGTTTCAAAAATCAGTGTCCAACGTTGGCGCGCGTGCGAAATCTGGCAACATTGTCATGTTTGTCGGATCACGATTCGGGAACAGGCGGTTGAAATTTCTTAGGCTTCCGAAAAAGCTGAGATGGACAAACCAAAATTTAATACCTTCAGGCATTGATTAACATATTTCAGCTGAAGATACTAAACTGACATATGCACCAGAGAGGTGCCAACAAGGAATTGAAGATCGTATGGTAATCTATGAGAAAATCGCAAAACCAAACACTCTTTTCAAATTCAATGCTTTGTGTTATGCTACTGTCACACAGATGGCGCAGTGATCTTTCAGCTCCCTTTTTGGGCACTGGAGTATATGGTTGACTATGATTAGAATATTATAGTCAACGCTTTTGGTGGAAGGGTCAACAATACCTATCAAACCTGGTGGCCCAGTGTAGGTGAAGAGAAGAGGGAGAAAGAAAGGAAGAAACAAATATAAGAAGGAAAAGAATATGTACAGTCTGAGACATAGCTATTGTCTTTGTTTAATTTTTTGCGAGGTGTTCATGACGATCGTAGATCGTAGAAACATGAAACTGGAAAGCCGCGTTTTTCTGAGGATAGTTCTAGTTCATACACTATGTTCATTATTATTTTGTGTGCACTTTTGAAAATAAACATGGTGTTCTGTGCCCCACTGATACACTGTAGGTGACCAGCTGTGGATATTAAGAAATTGTCAAGCATAAAGTAGCACATGGTAGAATATTGTAAAAAAACAGGACTGAACCAAAGCTTTCTTAATTGCTACTGATGTATATAGAGTGCCAGCCTTTTTGATACAAATGTTTTATCTTGTGCTCTGCCACCTAATAGGGTTTTCTAAAGACAAAAAAGATTCTAAAATAGCCTCGCTAGATACTATCTTGGTGGTATTAGGGCATCCTATTCACTAGGTATTCATTGAGGATTTATGCAGGATCATCTTAAGATGAATATATTCAAAATCATCTTATTAATAGGATCAGGGAATCGTCCAAATAAGACTTGGAATGGTAATCATTGATACAAATACATTATTCCAATTTTAAAAATCTTGTATTCAACTTTCCACACCAAAGCACCACGGAACAGGAGTTGTAAAAGTAGATGATCCTAGACCCAATCTGATACAATATAAATGCCTTATACTTAAGATTATTTAAATCCTAAATGAACCTTATTCCCATTCCACATAAACATATATTCAACAGAAAACAATGATGTCTCACCAATTTCATTTTTCAGCATATTAAAAAGCCGGTAAGTTTCTGCCAAACCGTACTGGAATATGCAGTGTGCTAACGAGTCTACAAAAATAATGTCTCTCTTCTGCAAACCTTCAGCTATCTGGGTAATATTTATTCTGTTGTCAGTGTCCCAGTTTTGCGAGTTAATCTTCAAATTATGTACTGTAATCTTTGGGTTTTGTGGACAGTGTTTCTCATTGCCTTGCACTAAATAATAGTGGATTTTATTGTCAAAACGTTCCAAATTGTGTTGTAGGAGGTAGTCGAATATGGGCTTTCCGTTTTCTGTTAGCGTGTCTGTAACATTTGTAGAATTAATATGTTGATACAGAATAGATAAAATAAATTGTAACCTTGTATAATAATGAATTTCTGGTATGGCGGTTGGGTTAGATAGCTTTTAAGCATAATGTTCCAATTATTCACTGGTCTTTAGATAACCAAACTGTACAGGTTTACTTCTTTACCCTAAAAGTCTTTAGTCAACACATCGGACTCAAGTCCCTCGTGCTCGTAATAACATAAACATAACCTTACTCTGACTTTTAGTTTGTTTTGCTTGTCAGATGTTGTCACAGGTAGGTAGGCAACCAACATTACCCTCACACTATACAGGGAGAATACGACAAGTACTAACTACAGTGTATAAGGGGTGTAAAGGAACTGTAGATTTTTAAAAATATATGTACCTTTTAATCAATTATTTATAAATTGATTCCCTTATTCAAAAGTATGTTCAATTTATGAAGGATATATTTGTAGTAGGAATTATTCGTATATGATGTATGAGACGTTAGGTTATTATAAAAATTTAAGTCGAAATGATCATTTACACAAACAAAAAAAATGGCAACACTCCGCTCACATCCAGTAGAGCAAGATCAAATCGCATTTTTCTTATATTCGGCTGTGTTAGTTACCAAGGTGTAAATGAGATGTTGGGAGAGATACTAAATTGACCTATAATGAGTAATAATTATGATACCAACAATCTAAATAGCGACTGTATGAATCACTGGACAACAAATTTTAGTTTTTTAATTGTATCTTGTGGGAAAAGTGCACTTCTTTGTTAATTTTGGGGCGCTGAATCCAAAAATGACAATGAAATAAAAAAATTAGTTGCGGTTTAGAAAAAAAACTTTTTATTTTTAAGGATATATTAAAAAAAGTAACAAGATTCATATACTTATAAGAATCACTATATGCGCTGTCTTTTTGCTGTTCTTTTATGGATCGTTTCTGGAGCATCTCTAACAAGAGTCCAACAGTAGTCTGCAAGCATGGAAGGATTCCACTTTCCCTGGTACCTTTTTTCCATTGTTGAAATATCCTGATTAAAACGTTCGCCGTGCTCATCACTTACGGCTCCGCAATTGTCAGGAAAAAAGTCCAGGCGTGAGTGTAGGAAATGTATCTTAAGAGACATATTACAGCCCATCTTTTGATACGATGACAGCATATTTTTGACAAGGGTTTTATAGTTGTCAGCTTTTCTATTTCCCAAGAAATTAGTGACCACCAGACGGAAATCATTCCAAGCAGTTTTTTCAATACCTGTTAAAGTGTTTTCAAACTGTGTATCTTTCAAAATATTTCGAATCTGTGGCCCAACAAAAATACCTTCTTTAACCTTTGCCTCACTTAGTCTTGGAAATTTCTGACGCAGGTATTGAAAAGCTGACCCATCTCTATCTAATGCCTTGACAAAGTTTTTCATTAGGCCCAACTTGATATGCAGTGGTGGTAATAAATTTTTTTTCGAATCTACATTTTTTTGACGTGGCTCTAGGAATTGACGAACAGGCCAGTTTTGTCTGGTGTAATGAAGTGCCTTTGCCCGACTGTCCCATTCACACAGAAAACAGCAAAACTTTGCCATTGGTGCTCATCGTATTTTATGCATGTCAATAAGTACTTCATATTGTCATATGATTCTTTCCTGTGAACTGCATACCCTACAGGAAGAGATGGTAAAATATTTCCAATATGCAATAACACTGCCTTTCAACTCAATGTTGAACTGTCTATAAACAATCTCCATTCTTCTGGGTTATAGTTTATATTTAAAGCCGCCAGTAAGCCGTTAATGTTACTGCAGAAAACCAAGTTATTCTCCATATTGAAAAATGGTTCTAAGTCTTTGTGACGTTTACGAAAAACACATACCGAAACATCGTCTTCTAACAAGTTCCACTGCTGCAGTCTTGATCCAAGTAACTCTGCCTTACATTTTGGAAGTTCTAAATCTCTTACAAGATCATTTAATTCTGACTGTGTTATTTTGTGCGGTTGGTGGCATGACGATCTCGGTATAAAATCAGGATCTCTTGACGTTGATGGGATATCTTCTTCCTGACGAATCACTCGATCGCCATGATCTGATTCGCAAGTGTAGGATTCTGGGGGTTTTGGAATAGGATTTTCGTCACTGTGAGGCACAGGTCTCATCGCAGATGGTATGTTTGGGTAGTTAATAACCGATTTTTTTTCTTGGACATACCTGTGGCTTGTCCAACACAAGGTATCATGCAAAAATAACAATCATTAATATGATTTGTAGGCTCTCACCAAACCATTGGGACAGCAAAGCGCATAGACCGTTTTTTGCCATTTAACCAGCTCCTCAGACTTGAAGCACATGTATTACAGCAGATGTGGGGTGCCCACTGTTTGTCTTGATCACCTAGTTTACAACCGAAATAAAGCTGATATGCCTTTGTTATTAGTGGAGTACTAGACCGTCTCTGAGACGCAAAAGTCACATCACCACACACGTAACAAAACTGATCTGGATTGTTTACACACTTTCGAGACATCTTGCATGAACGCTGTCAGCCAACTGAGGAAAAAATGGCTAATATAAAACAATATAATGTACACGTATGTATAACGTAACACAATCATGCCGATTACATCATCTTTCCTTGCCGAATATAAAAATGTAGCACGTGCATTCTTGTGAATTACAGTATATTAACACTGTCACAGCAGGAACACATATAATTACCGTATCTCTAAAACTTGAACTAATATTGCAAAAATAAGTTACATTCCGGTTTTAGCACATTAAAAGTAGTAATATTTGTTGATTTTATTTAGGATATTTTTTTGCTGTTGATCAGTGTAATTAGTAAAATCATGACCAGGAAGAAATTGAGAATTTAAGCACTAAAGAACAGAAAACCGAGGCTATTCCTTGCAGGCTCAAGCACAGGACTGAGTACCTGCTGTTCCTGAACGATCCCCTTGGATCGAGAGGTGGTGATTAATTCAGTGGTGCCGTATTTAAAAGGGACACTTTTAGAATTTGTACAATCAGATCAACAAATTATTTTCTCCATATTATTTGATGAGCTATTCTGTCAATCAAACACCTACCGATTTGACAGGTGGGAGAGCTGGACAGTCGTTAACGTTAAAGTGAAAGCAAGCCGATTCTAGAGGAATACTCTACCAAACAAACCTAATTTGGCCGTAATTTACTTGATATTTTGAATTTCTATTATAGAATTTATTTCTTTTTAATACATCTCTAATCGCCCCCATATGGCGCTTCCTCTCTTCTCAGGATAAAGACTTTGTTGCGGGTTGCGTTGGTTCGGTCCACTCCCAGAAGTTTCGGCATCTTGTCTTTTGGTTGTTATATGATATGTACTTTAAAAAAAACCATGCTACTCATTTCCGTCGTTCTGTGTCTGTCCGCTAATCCTTGGCACTGGACACCGGTCGGATATGTATGAAACTTTCACACAAGGTTACTACGATACCAAGGACGCTTTATAGTTTTTGAAAATTGGTCCAGTGTCAGTGGCGGAAGGGCAACAAGGTCAAAAACGAGAAAAATAAAAATCGCTCAAACTTTTATTGACGCATCAGAAGCTCCTGGCCAATTTCGGAAAAACATTTTTGTAGCGGTTCAGGGAGTGGAGGAAACTTATTTAATTCTTTTAATATTATATTGATAATCATTTACGAACTGATGACAGCGTTGCGTGAGACGCGCTGGGTCAACTTGAAGTTTTTTTAGACATTTCTCAATTCAATTTTTCATTGCCAAAATAATTTAAATGACATCACGACTGATATGCATGACAGGATATCCTTAGGAAAGTAGTCGTTTGAACAAAACACATATTTAGTTTCTCCTCTGTATTCGCAATGAATGATTATTATTACATTACAAAGATTTTTTCCCATCAATTTAAATACCGCAAATTGTGAAAATAATAAATTCAATGACACATTATGTAGACTTTGTTATTCGTGATCAGTTTAAAAAAACTCCTGTATCTAATCGTAAACGTGTATATAAGCTAAAGCTTTATAAATTTTAAGTTTTACAATATTGCATTTTCAGTGCATAGCGATATTACCGTTATAGCATTTATCATTCGTAACGTACGTGTCGAATTAAGTGAAAACAATGAAGGCCTGTGATCGAACATTTATAGTTATCGTTGTTTCAAGTGTGATTGTTGGTGTAGCAGCTCGTGAAAAGGATGTGCTGAAATCTGTTGTTGTGGTAAGGTTCCATTGTTTGCCGTTATCTACATCTTTATAATAGACGACGCGAAAATAAAGCCGACCTGAACAAGTTTTCGCACTCGTTTTTTTTTCTCATAATCATGTCTGCTAGATACCCCTTGACATGAAGAGTTTGCTGGGCGGTAACCCGATTCGAATTTGTTTGAATATTTTTTGAACAAGTTACAAAAACTGTGTTTTTGGCGCTGCGAAATTTTGTAGTTTATCCTTAGGGGCCGTTCAAGTATTACGTAAGCAGATTTATTACAATTATATACCCCCCCATCCCCCTTGTTGATGTATGTTGATCCAGAATATCCAACGGCTTGCGGTTGTCCTGGCATATTGGAAGTGATTTTGATATCAGCATAAACAGATGGTATTAATTTATGACGCTCAGCGATTACCCAATCGTGATCAAGCAATTTGATTCTATATTCCATGTGCATTAGAAGATGTGCTTGCTTATTTGCCGTAGTTACGCCAATAGGGACTCGAGCTTTATCATATTCAGATATGAAAAATACTTGATCTGGTCCAAGTATGGATGCTATGTTCTCTAAATAATGGATTGATGTTTCAGCGAAATTGCTACCTATCTAAGTGGCTCTTGTGGTGATCAGTTTGAGACCGAATGAGCTTAACAGGGACTGTCGATACATGTCTTCGTCCCTCTGCAGAATTAGATTTTCTGGGAATCAAACGAAGATATGTCCCACTGCGGCTAATGTCAAATCCTATTTTACGTAATTCTTGTGTGGGTTCATCAAGAGTTTTTACGCTGCGAATTGATTTATTTCTGGATTTTCATGACAAATATCTTCTAACTTTCTTTTCATACCATCCCTGTGTTTCTTCTGGACAACTGCGTTTTGAACCTTCCTGTTTAAAGACTGTTTTGCTGTTTTTATTTCCTCGCGCAACTTAATGATCTGTTTATCAAGCTCAGCACGGCTTGGCATAGTATCTCTGGAAGAATACAAAGCATTCAGATTTTTATCGAGTAGAGCAATCTTACTTTTCATAGCTTCCTGAGAAGGTTTTGCTCTCTGTTTATCTGTATATTCATTAATTTCGCATTGCTGTTATGATTCATTACCGGGTTTTATTGTATCTTCTTCCTCTTTTTTAATATTTGAAGCTGACTGTATAATTTGTGTTTTTTCTGCAGGCTTACAGGTTGCCTAAAAATAAAAACTTTCTATGGCGTCTGCTAAAGATTCTCTTATTAAGCTACATAAATACAAAGTATGGCAATATATATGGTGAATACAAAACCCTATGGCTTTAAATCTAATATGTTTAAACGAGCAATTCGTTCCGGTCACAAAATACAGGGTGTTAGTTTTCTGTATATATATATATATATATAAAACCAACATCCTGTACTTCGTGACCAATTGACGGAATCAATCATAAGAAATAAATCCATAATATAATGAATATTACCTCTATACTTTGAGATAGGCCCGAATATTTTCTAGTCAGTAAAGAGAAACTTTTTGGCGATTTTCTAATATTTCTAGTACTCATAGGTACCTAAAATGATTTCGTCACTCACCTTAGAAAAACATTTAGTAGATTGGATTTATTCTTAGTCGCCGCTTGCAATTCTTCTTCGATTCTCTTAGATACAATAATATCTAGTTCCTTGTCGGATTTTGCTTGTAATTTGTAATTTCGCCACACTTCGTTAACTAACTTTTGTACATTTTGTACTTTCGTACTTGTATGAGATTTTTTAAAACTTTCAAACAATAATTTTTGGTATAACTTGGATTTGTCTATGTGAAACGACATCTTATTTAAACATTAAACGTTGGCTAATGGAATCAATGGTAACACAACTGTTAACTTGCTTTACTATACGTCTACCCGCTATAGTCTCCAAACGAAACAATACACTGATAGAGGAAATTTAGACAAGTGAACACCGCGGTAATTCCCCTACTCGGTTCTAAAGCGAGTAGGGGAATTTAGAATCATCTAATGCTACCTAAGTGTTTAATTTCGTTATTGTTTTTTATATTCTTACAGCTATTTCGACATGGTGATAAAACACCGACGACGTCATTTCCTAATGATCCATACTTCGACAAGAAATACTGGCCAATGGGATTTGGAGAGCTTTTAGATGTAAGCATTATTATAGTTTAATTTGAATAGGGTGGTAACAGTGAAAGAAGTTCGTTCAGATTCCCGTAACATTACAGACTTGTTAAACAGAATACTTAGCGAGATATATTTTTCTTGTATGTGTCAGTAATTTGGCGATTTACTTTCGTATTCACAAATATGTTAAAGGTGCAAGCAAAAATTCATTAGGTGAACATCCCAGGTAAAGTTTCAAGAAGAGACACTCTTAGAGATAGTGCAGCGCGACAATAACACTTTTATTACCATCATCTTATTGTTATTCCAGAAAGGCAAAATACGTCACTTTCGTGTCGGCCAATGGCTGCGCTCGACTTACGCGGATTTTCTTCCTTCGAAATATAACCGCAATGACGTGAGAGTTTTCAGCACTGACATCGATAGGACATTGATGTCAGCCCAGTGCAACTTGGCTGGACTGTATCCATCAAAAGGAATCACAGAAAATCGGAAGGAATCTGTCATACAAAGGTATGGATGCGGAAAATCGGAAAATAATAATTTTAGTCGCGAGTAATAACCGATTTTCTTGATACGAGGGATGTCTTTTAAGTTTTGCATATAGAAACATAAAGTGTATCTAACGAAGCTACAAAGTAATCGTAAACAGTGGTTGATTCGTGATCAACGCGTGATCGGTAGCCATGGCGCTCTGTCGGCCTCTTCCTGATTGGCTTGTAGCGACGAGCCTCCAGACAAAGTCGCACGGTTGCCACGCTCGGCGAGTTTTCGCCAGAGTGGTTGATCACATTCGCATGGATCACAAATCAATCTGTTGGTGCAATACGTGCAATAACTGTTGTAAAGGACATTATATAACAATAAATGGCATCACAAAGGTATATTCCAATTTGATCTGCAGCAAATTATGAACGGCATATACGGAGATGCGAAAACAAGCTCAAAAAGGTGAAGAAAATTTTTGTGCAATCTTTATAGTTAAATTTTTCCTAAGAGATAGCACCAGTGAGGGATTTTTTTTCTATTGTCTTATTTTTCACATTAATGCGATGTCGAGGTATGTGGCCCTATCGCAATTGAAAATAAGGTTTCGATAATCCTTCCATAAAGTTTCGATGAGTACATCTGAAATAACCATGAGATATTCTTCAGGGAAATACAAAAATCTCCTTTTGTGTTTTTTTGTGCAGATTTATCTATTAAAATCTTATCCGCAACCTATTTTCCGTGCACACACCTTTAACCGAATGTATGCCATATATGATATTACCGTTTCCAACTTTCACCAAGGTTAATAGGAACCATAACAGCTCCCTACCCTTCCCCCCTATAAGAATATCGATTTGTAGCCTCACATTTCAAGGTTAGACTTCTTGTAATGTTTCTGTTCAACATTCGGCGATTTCTGACAATTTTCCCAATAAAACATGATCATTGTGACATTAAGCCTGGCAACGCTGCATAGTAGAGGGAACTCTCAGCGTCACGTTGATGGTTCGTCACCACGCACAGGATTGTAATCAGTTACGGATACCCGTTTATGAGCGCGAACGTTTTATGCACGTCTTGACTTGATTTTGCTTGCGGAAATTTAATATTAGTCTAAAAGGCCTGACACAGATACAGCTGATGAAGTGGTTGAAATCAGCTTAACGCCACCCAGCAAAAGGGCTAAAAAGCTTCATCTTAGCGCAGGTGGAAAACAAATTATTCTAAATATCTACAAGAACCAGATGCAAGAGAATAGTGGATTGGCTATAGAAAATATCGTATGTAAGGTTACTGAAATTTCTGGAGTAGGTCGATCAAGTGTTTACAAAATCTTGAAGGAATATAGACAAAATCACTGTCTGAGCCAAAAACATATCCAGCGAGAAAAAAAATCATCGAAAAAATAGATGACTTTGACAAAAGTGCCATTAGAAGAAAAGTACATCACTTTTTCTTCAGGAATGAAATACCTACAATAGATAAAATATTGAAGCAAGTGAATGATGATGAGGACCTGCCAAATTTTAAAAGATCTACGTTCCATAAGCTGTTGAAAGAAGTAGATTTTCGATTTTTGAAAAGAGAAAGGAATAGTTTATTGATAGAAAATTAGGAAATTGTTATCTGGAGGAGAGAATACCTTAGAAAAATTAGGCAATTCCGCGCTGAAGGAAGAAAAATTTATTATTTAGACGAAACATGGGTGAACGCGGGGCATACGCAGGGAAAGGTTTGGGTAGACAGATCTGTGAGGTCCTCAAGGCAGGCTTTTTTAGATGGCCTTTCGACGGGATTGAAAAATCCTGCAGGTAAGTTTCGAAGTATATGAACTTTTTTGGATGCAGATAATTCATTTTCTGATCGAATCAATGATTTGGAAGCTCCGAACTCAGTTTTGCTATCTCATCCAAGTTTCTGAGTATTTCCTTCACCCAAAAACTAATCTAAGACCCTATCCTACACTAACCTAAAAAGAGTAAGTTGCTTAATTTCGTCATTTAGTGCGCTCGCTGAGAAGTAAAATAACTAATTACTTTCAGGCAAGGGAAAACGCCTGATCATTTGCCACATAGGTAGCGTAGATGGATTTGTTCCTGAAGCATTGTGGGCATTTGAATCCAAAAAAACTGGAGACTATCACGAAGAAATGGATGGTAACTCATTTGAAAATTGGTTCAAAAAAATTTTGCCGACACTTGATGATAACGCAATTATTGTGATGGATAATGCCCCGTACCACTCCAGAAAATTGGAAAAAATTCCAACAATGGCCACCAAAAAGGCAGACATTCAACAGTGGCTTGTCTCAAAGAAGATCGACTTCGACCAAACAATGGTCAAAGCTGAGCTGATAAATATAGTCAAGCGACATAAGTATAAATATGATTTAAAAATTGTTGACGAAATGGCCAAAAACCAAAATAAAACGATTCTCAGGCTGCCTCCCTATCACTGCGAACTGAATCCTATCGAGTTGATTTGGGCCGACATCAAGCAATACGTGGCGTCAAATAACAGCACTTTTATGTTTTCTGACCTTAAAAAACTGTTTGATGTTGCTGTCGATAGAATTACGCCAGCAAAATGGAGAACATGTATTGACCATGTCCAAGAGAAGGTTGAAACCAAAATGTGGGATATGGACAATATCATTGACACCCAAGTTGAACCCCTTATAATTGACATCAACAATTCTGATGATTCAAGCTCCTCGGAATACAGCATATAAATCGATTGATACCATTAAGACTGGCAGTTTAACGGGCTTTTTGGCAAGACAGGTAAGTTCATTATAGACTGCAATCAAAGTGTAAGTTTCTAGTTATTAATGTGGAAATTCCAAATTTATAATTACAAAAAATTAGGGTTAATTTAGGAGTTCCAAAGCATAATAGTGCCATTTTGACCTTCTTCCTATTTCTCATGTAAATTTTAATAGCAATCAAACTAACAAACTTTATGGAGTCTGTAATAAACTTTTGTACTACTACTACTACGTCTGTAGTTTCTATTTGCTCAAAAAAATTTGCTCTGCATTGTGAATAGAAGGTTGGTTTGTAAATATTATTTGGTATATATGTAAGTTAATAATAAAATATGAACAATTTCAATTGAGATGGTCCACAAGTTTTTTTCGTGTGCGTTTTAGTAACATTTTGCTGAAATGGTGAATACAGAATTTTTTGCACTGATTCCTAATGTCGAAATATGATTAGAAAGGCGTGGTATATTCCTGATAATTTACTATGCTTTTGATAGAATTTACAGCAACACATATGTTGTACGACATTTTTTGGTAGATCAGTCACAATAGCTTGATACGGCCCTGTAGCGTCTCCTACGGTTAAGTTCTTGATCACGTGCAATACGGGTGTATATGTTTGATTTTACTTTGTTTCTTCGATGGATACAGTTTAGTAGGCCGCGCGGATCGAACGTCAGTACTGAATCTTGGGTGTTCCAAGGTCATATGCAAAACTTAAAAGACATCCCTCGTAATTGTGTTCGATCAGTAAACAACTTGAGAGCTAGAAAAAATGGCCTTCTTTAAGGTTGATCGTGTTACACTATATTCGTTCTGTTCAATCAGATTGCAGGGACTGAACAACACCGATGAAACTAAAAAAATGCAGCCTGAGAAAGTAGCAAATCAGCCAGGGAAGACGAAAGTTGATTCAAAAGGCGAGCAGATAAAACATAAACAAACAAAAGGGACGGATCTTGATCAGAAAGTACAAATGGATCTCAAATTACTGGATGATCTGCCTTTCCAACCAGTTCCGATACACTCAGCTCCAGACGAAGTAAACGGAATGCTTAGGTCCATTGAAGGATGCCCAAACTATCGGAAGTTATACGATCAGTTGGCGAATGAAACGTTTTTCAAAAATGTCAGTGAGAGGTAAGACGTTTGGGATTAACAACTTTTCATTGTTAAAATATCATAGCGCATAGTGCAATATGAGAAGTGAAAATAGAATTACGGTAATGAAGGATCATTCCTCTCGATTTCACTGTTGCCTCCCAGGAAAGGTAAAGGAATCTTTAATCAATCTGATGAAGGTTTCATGATGAAATGTGAACTGTAGTAGTAATAAGTTCGTCTTTATTAAGTACATGCCCACTACTAAAAGAGAAAGAAACAAAAATAATTTGAACTTGTAAATATATAAAGCACGGAGTTGCAGGTATTATTTCTTCAGGAAATTCTCTTCGTGGTGAACCTAAAATTCTAGTCAGTAACTCCTCATCAACACGTAGAGAAATTTATTTTTTTTGTACCAATCTTCATCGATAACAATTGTACAACAGCTTCCCTCCTAGGCTCAGAGTAAAAAAGCATTGCATTGGACTTTGTATTTATGGCAAAATAGATCAAAGTAGCAAAGCAGCTGCGTATCATCGGCAAAGGATTGTATCTCTGAGTTGTTGGTATTTCGTGGCAAGTCAGCCAATATATGAAAAAAGTAGCGGCCCACGGACCGATCCTCGGGGTACACCGGGCGTAATTTTCTGAAAATTTGATGCTTCGTATGTGCTTGAAGAAACACATTAAGAACGATTTTCTGAAAATAACTATTACCTTTTTAATGGAAGCAACAGACTGTGGTTGACTCTATCGATATTTTATTTATGGTAATTCTTCCAAAATTATGAGCATTCCTTATTTGGTTCATATACATGTATTTTCGACTCTAATTTAATTTTGTCAAATTTTATCGTCCCAATCTCTAAGTATACTGTATTAAAAGCAATAAGTCACCTACAAGATTAATTTCCAGAAAATGCATTTCTAAAAACATCTGCAGGAGAAAGCTTATTACCAAAATCATACGCATTGCTTTACGCATTTTTAGTAATTTTCATTTCAAAAATATAAGGTAATGGAAAAATTAAAAGGTCAAACGATTTTTCCAAATTTTTAGTGATTTTCAGTGAAAAATAAATGGTCGTATCGAAAAATGAGATAAAGCTTGAACTGTTTTTTCATTTTAACCATGATTAGGACATGTTCGTTTGCCGAATGGTCTTAATACATTAATTTAAGATGCTTTTTTAAAAACCTCAATACGACCATTTTTCACTGAGATAGATTATTCTGAAAAATCTATAAGAATTTGGAAACATTTTTTGACTATTTAATTTTTTCCATTAAAATAATGCTATTTTTTTGATAATCGCAACCCGATATACTTTAATTCAAAATGCATTGTGCTTCTGTAAAGTGTCAAAATACTTACATAATTTTTAAGAGATTCCAAGCGAATGAAAATAATTGCTTCATTTTTATTAGTTTTCCAGTGGAGTCTTGAATAATTATTATAAAAAGATCGAAACTTATCCGAAATGGTAATTAAAGATTATGTTTAACAAAAATAAATTATATCCAACGGAAAATCTTATGATATATTATATTAATTTTATTTCTACAGTACAATCATATGTTTAATTAAGCATACAAATATATTTCAGTGTATAGATCATAATCATCAAACACGATCCAAAATCACATCAGGAAGCACACGCAGACTAAATAAGACCACAAGTCAACGATCATTTTAGTTTCTAAATCCAATATATATATATATAACTTGAGACGTGGTCATTGTCGTCTAGACCAGTTAGGTGAAAAACTAAAGCTTCCGCCTTTTGTTGGGCACTTCGACAAAATTCAAGCAAGGAGGGCTCTTTATACTTTTTTAATCTCTCTAGCTTTCAATGGTCTTTGCCATCATCATCCGGAGCTGTAATAACATTGAGAAAAATAGCAACAATTGTGCAAAATGATTTGAGATTATCTATTATCGTATGTGAGGATGTATACAGGGTGACTTTGAAGTTGAGTCATTAATTTTCAGATAATGATTGTAGAAGGAAGATAAACCAAAATATGTGTGTAAAAATAAAAAATAAAAATAAAAAAAAAATTTTACCTTGTTTTATAAAGTATCCTCCCGACAAGTATTTCAGTGCGGACCTGTATTTGATCGTGAGGTCCCCTGTGAGGTCTTAAGTTACCTGATTCACGAGCCCGTTGTACTACATTAACAAAGGCACGAGGGGTTGGTTGCACTCGATTGGGAAACCGATCCGCATAAACATGTGCCATTTTTTATTTCGTTTGAGCCACGCAACAGACACCACTATTCACACGCGTTACCGACTGACACTGACTGTATGTATACAACTGAATAAAATAATTGTAAAAACATCGTTCCAAATTCTTTCGCTTTTTTGTTTCCGATGCGATGAACTGATAAGGCGGATTATATCCGTTGTTGCCAAACACGAGCACATGATATTATTATTGAGACAGGGCGGTACTCAAACTTCCAAAGGGCTACAACTTTGTTACTTTAATTTTACCAGAAAAATGGTAAAGGAAAAAAACATTTCTTTTGATCAGATCTACTCACTGTTAAAATAAATGACTCAACTTCGAAGTCACCCTGTATATGTAATTTTTTTGTATTGTCGTTCAACTTGCACCGTAGTAATTGCTGCGGAGTGTTTTACCACCGAATCCGTACAAAGTGCGTCCTTGTCTCTTTAATGCATATGCGACGTCCATTGCGGTGACTGTCTTCCTTTTAGCGTGCTCGGTGTAAGTGACTGCATCCCTGATTACGTTTTCTAAGAAGACTTTAAGCACTCCTCGAGTTTCTTCGTAAATCAATCCGGATATACGTTTCACTCCTCCACGTCACGCCAATCTTCTTATGGCCGGTTTCGTAATTCCCTGGATGTTATCCCTTAAAACTTTACGATGCCTTTTCGCTCCTCCTTTTCCAATCCTTTACCACCTTTACCACGTCCAGTCATTTTTCAAGATTCTTTTTGCGGATTTTGCCCATTATTTTCCTACTTGTTGTTATATACCTTTCTCCGCATGATCATTTTCTCTTTATGGATTCTTTGGGCTTGAAGTACCACAGCAAGTGGCTATAACCGGCCGCGTGGTTGTGGTTAGACGTTTCCTTGAAAATTCGAGGTCGTATAGCCATTTTATACTACAATGTGTAGGTTGGCTCTTGTTGTGGCCTTCGTGTGTCGTTTTTCCCCTCCAACTTCGTTTCCTCAGGTTACACCCGTATCCGGATGTGTGGGCATGTGTATCTACTTTTGTAGTTTCATATGTGCATTCATTTCGGGCCTGATGAAGCCAACCAGCAGAAATACGTATCGCTCGGGTTACCTATCCTATTTTCTGCTCGAATCCACTTTCCTCCTTTTTGCGGATTTTGCCCATTATTTTCCTACTTGTTGTTATATACCTTTCTCCGCATGATCATATTCTCTTTATATATATATATACAGGGTGACTTTGAAGTTGAGTCATTAATTTTCAGATAATGATTGTAGAAGGAAGATAAACCAGAATATGTGTGTAAAAATAAAAAAAAATTAAAAAAAAATTTTTACCTTGTTTTATAAAGTATCCTCCCGACAAGTATTTCAGTGCGGACCTGTATTTGATCGTGAGGTCCCCTGTGAGGTCTTAAGTCACCTGATTCACGAGCCCGTTGTACTACATTAACAAAGGCACGAGGGGTTGGTTGCACTCGATTGGGAAACCCATCCGTATAAACATGTGCCATTTTTTATTTCGTTTGAGCCACGCAACAGACACTATTCACACGCTAACCGACAGACACTGAGTGTATGTATAACTGAACTGAATAAAATACTTAATTGCAAAAACGTTCCAAATTCTTTCGCTTTTTTGTTTCCGATGCGATGAACTGGTAAGGCGGATTATATCCGTTGTTGCCAAACACGAGTACATTGTATTATTATTGAGACAGGGTGGTACTCAAACTTCCAAAGGGCTATAACTTTGTTACTTTAATTTTACCAGAAAAATGGTAAAGGAAAAAACATTTCTTTTGATCAGATCTACTCACTGTTAAAATAAATGACTCAACTTCGAAGTCACCCTGTATATATAATATGATTCTACCAAATTTAAAACATACCCAAAACGAATTAAATTTAGACATAAAAAAATCAGTACGTCATATGACTAAATTATTGCTATCACTAACCAAAACATAAAATCTTTTGTATTTCAAAATACTTCAAGTTTGAGTTATTATCTCTCAGGCCGAAGCACAAGTTATTATTTACATTACATTTTGTATTTTAACCAATAAACATTATTATTATCATTAACAACTTCACGATTTTTGGCGTTTTTTGAGCATTCCAAAATATACTTTATAAGCATTTTAGTGTTGAAAAGGGCGTTTTGTTAGCAATGAAATGTCTGTATGGAAAAATAAGAAAATAGGTTAACGCTCATTTTTCGCTGATAAAAATAGATGCGAGACCTTTTTATTTTTATTTTCACCAAATAATTTGTCCCGTCACAATTTTCATGTATTAATTACGCTTCATTGTAGATTGTGAAATTCTGTAAAATAAATGTCCAATAGGGACGCAGGAAAGTAAACGTCAATTTGACATAGACGCCATCTTTGTTTTCTGTCACCGACATGTCATTTTGTTAGTTGAATATTTACCATTGATCGCTATGGAGTCGTATTCGATTGAAGACCGCATTAAAGTTATTCAAGAGCACTACAAAAATGGTGCAAAAATAAAAAACACGTTTCGCGCGCTTCGTGAACATTTCGGTCGCAACAACCGCCCAAACGAAACAACCATCGGTCGTCTGGTGCGTAAATTCGAGGCAACAGGTTCTGTGGCAAATCTGCCAGGCTCTGGCCGGCCAAGGAGCGTTCGCACACCGGAAAATATTGCTGTTGTGAAGGAGAGTGTGAGAGACGATCCGAAACAATCAACAACGCGTCGATCCCAAGAATTGGGCATTTCGAGAACCAGTTTGCTCCGCATTCTCCACAAGGATTTGAATGTACACGCCTACAAGATACAATTGACGCAAGAGCTGCGTCGGGCCGACCATTTTTCGCGCCGAACGTTCTCAGGTTGGCTCCTTGAACACCGCCAAATTGATGCCAATTTTTCATCAAAAATCATGTTCAGCGACGAAGCGCATTTCACTTTGAATGGGACGGTATACAAGCAAAACTGCCGCATCTGGGCGAACGAAAATCCCCGTGAGTATCAAGAGCAGCCGATGCATCCTCAAAAAGTGACTGTGTGGTGTGCATTGTGGTCAAAAGGCATCATCGGACCTTACTTTTTCGAAAATGCGGCCGTGGACGCCGTTACCGTCAATTCTGAGCGATATCACGTGATGATAGAGGACTATTTTTTGCCGCAACTTGAAGGAATGGATATGGACGATGTTTATTACCAACAAGACGGTGCAACATGCCACACAATCAACGTCAATATCCATCGATTGCAGTCCTTCTTCGGTGATCGCGTGATTTCGCGCAGAGGAAATGTGCCATGGCCACCAAGATCGTGCGATTTGACTCCCTTGGACTTCTTTTTATGGGGATATTTGAAAAGCAAAGTCTACGTCAACAAACCGGCCACCCTCCAAGAACTCAAAAACAACATCATTGCCGAGATAAATGCCTTAGAACCGACCATGTTGCAAAATGTCATTGAAAATTTCGACCATCGCGTGGACGTCTGTAAATCCAGTCGTGGTGAACATTTGAGCGATATTATTTTCCATTCATAAATGGTATAAATGAACCTTCAAAATAAAGTACCCAACTTGATTTGAATATCAATCTTTCTTGTTTTAATATGCGTTTACTTTCCTGCGTCCGTTTTGGACAACGCTTATAATACTTTCTTTATTACAGATATAAGGAATTCTATGGACTCGTTTCAAATCTAACAGCATGGCAAGTTGATGACCTTCACTACTTCGCCCAACTGCAGAGTATATTTTACGTTTACAAAGAAGCCAATCCTAGCTATCTGCCCGATTGGCATTTGCTCGTCGACCCCGACGATCTAGAATATCTAGCAGCCCTGCATTACTCCAGAATAAGTTTCAACCCGGAGCTGGCTAAGCTGTCAACCGGCATCTTCTTCAGCGAGCTTTTACAACACTTCGATCAAGTGATATCGCCCAACGACTACAACAGAAAATTGTACTTGATATTCGGCCACGAGGAAAATCTGGCTGCCATTTTGAACAGCATGGGGGTTTTCGAATACAGGGTGCCCAAATTCGCGAGTGCCATAATATGGGAGTTATACGAAGCCGAAGGAAGGAATTACGTACAGGTTTCGTACAGGGAAAGCGATGATTATACGAAAAATTTGACGTTGGCGGGTTGTGATACGAGATGCGATTATGACTGGTTCAGGAATAAACTGGAGCCCATTCTGATGGCTCAGAGAGATAGGAAAAACGCATGTGATATAAAAGAAGACTGAAGCTGACATAGGAATAGGGAAGATACAAAATGCTATTTATTTATATTGCCACAAATGGATCTTTATGAATATACAGGGTGTTTCAGTTTATTGTTGCATAACTTTAAGATACGATAGAGCTTTTTAAATTAATGCATAAAGTCTATATAATCATGGGTCGATAAATGCGTGGCTTCTGAAATACAGGGTGTTTAAATTTACTTTCTAAAATAGTTTTTCTTAAATATTTCGAACAATATTTGATGTATAATAGTGAAAGGGTTTTTTGGTACGACAAAACGAACCATGGGCATAGTTTTACTGTAGCCGCTAGAGGGCGCTCTCTACTGTACCTGTAGTGTATTAAAATGACCGAAATTTTTTTCTTAGTGCAATTTTTTGCTTTCTGAATATAAAAACTGATTCTTCGCACTTTTCAACATAAAAAAGATCTCTTGTGAATTTTCGTTATAGTTAGCCGTTTTTGAGATATTTCGATTTTTAAGGTTCGATGCATTTTTAATTATTTATGATAAAATAACGTTAAAAAGTCAGTATCTCGATAATTTTTAGAAGTAGGCTGTGCCTGCAAATATTTTTGAAATTGAAGGCAGAATAAGGTTAAACGTCAATTAGTTGACAGTTAGTTTTGTTGTCCGTTGAAACCTGAAACGTTTTTTTGCAATTGTGAATGCATGAAATTTAGTTTCTTTTACCTGTTTTTTTTGAGAGCTTTTTTATGTTGGAAAGTGCGAAGAATCAGTTTTTTTATTCAAAAAGCAAAAAATTGCACTAAGAAAAATTTTTCGGTCATTTTAATACACTACAGGTACAGTAGAGAGCGCCCTCTAGCGGCTACAGTAAAACTATACCCATGGTTCGTTTTGTCGTACGAAAAAACCCTGGTATATCAAATTTCACTGTTATACATCAAATATTGTTCGAAATATTTAAAAAAAAACTATTTTAGAAAGTAAATTTAAACACCCTGTATTTCGGAAGCCACGCATTTTTCGACCCTTGTTTATATAGACTGTATGCATTAATTTTAAAAGTTCTATCGAATTTTAAAGTTATGCAACAATAAACTGAAACACCCTGTATATAATACACTCCTAGTTTATAGGCCTTGAAATTTTGAAAATAATATATTTGTATAAATACACATTACTAACTAAAAAATCAAAAGACTTTGCTAATTAATTAAGATCACTCATAGGCTCTTTTGTACATATTCAAATATTTCAATATTCAGCTTAATTGGTGTTAATTTTGATAAAAAACGAAAAAATGAAATATCCAATACGGTCCTGGATTTTTTAACCGTGTCTCTAGACATGCGTTATGCCTGAGAGTTGTGATATTAAAGGTTTGGCGTGTTTAAATAAAAAAATGAATCTAACACTACTTTATTTTCGTATTCCTACCATTCCACTATAGTATTGATTCCCAAAGTGGTCTATATCGACCCCGAGGGGTCTATGCAAACCTGCAAGGGGTCTACGTCAGCGAAAAAAAATTTGGGGGTCCATGAAATGAATATGGGGGTCCACGATAGTGGATCTCAACACATACACTGATATTACCTATTTATTTACATCATACTATCTTATAATATCAAAACATATACATTATTTATAAAAGTACCTAGGAAGTAAAAAATTTATTATATATGTTTATAAAATTGTGTAAACTGCAAGATCATCTGAGAAGATACCACCCCGATAGAACAGAGAAAGATTTGAAATACTTTCAAACTCTCAAAGATAAATTGCAGAAGAGACCTACACTGGGCAGAATGTTCGCTTCGACGTCACAAAGAAATGATGATGGTTGGCGGGCGTCTTACAATATCTCGTTACTTATAGCAAAATTCGGAAAACCACATACTATCGGAGAGAAGTTAATTTTGCCAGCCGTTGAACAGGTTTTAAAAACTGTTTTACACAAACCTGCACCTGATATCATTAAAAGAATTCCCTTAAGCAATAATACTGTTGAAAGACGTATTGATGAAATGAGTTCTGATATTGAAAGCTTCTTATGTAATTATTTGCAAACGACCCATTTCTCTATACAACTGGACAAGTCAACTTTACCTGATAATGCAGCGTTATTATTGGCATATGTTCGTTTTATTATGAATCAAGAAATCTACGAAGAAATGCTCTTCGCAAGAACTTTGATAACCGACATTAAAGGTGAATCAATATTTCATATTTTGAAGGATTACTTCATTGAAAAAGCAATTCCTTTATGAAATATAATAATCAGTAGCTACAGATGGAGCACCTGCCATGGTGGGACGTTATCGTGGATTTATAAGCTATTTAAAACAAAATGTGTCAGGGGTGTTAGCAATACATTGCGTCATCCGTCGATAACATTTAGTTGCTAAACATTTGAGTGTTAGATTGCATGAATCACTTCATTTAGTCATTGATGCAGTAAACCGAATCCGAAGCAACGCGTTGAATACGCGATTATTTGCGCAGTTGTGTGAAGAAAATGATGAACACTTTCATCGATTACCCCTTCACACTGAAGTACGCTGGCTGTCGAAAGGCTTATGTTTGACAAAATTTTTTGCACTTTTTGAGACTATTTTAGAATTTCTGGATACTAAAGATAAAATTTTAAAAGAAAATTTTATGAAGAGGAAAATAGACATCGCCTATTTAACAGATTTGTTTACAAAATTTAATATGGTTAATTTGCAATTACAAGGCGACAGTTTAAATTTGATTAAAACAAAGTCCATCTTATCAGCGTTTCTTGCCAGAGTTAAACTAATGAAGCAAAATATTGGACTGGGCGAATTTTCTCAGTTCCCCAATTTGAAACAGACAAGCTGCCAGGAAGACGACGTTTCAACTTACGTTCAACATTTAAATGCCCTCTATTCAGATTTTGAATCTAGGTTTGAGGATATTTTGACTATGGTAATACCACCGTGGATAATTAATCCATATGGTGACATAGAAGAAACGAATGTCATAATACAAGAGGAACTGACTGAACTAAGTACACACGAAGAACTTAAGGTTCAGTTTAAAAACGGATATCAGCAATTCTGGCTGCAAAACAACATACCCGTTACTTATCCCGTATTATGGAATATAGCGAGGACATTTTTAATTTCCTTTCCATCGTCATACCTAGTGGAAAGGGGGTTCAGCGCTGTTACCAATCTCCTAACGAAAAAAAGAAACAGACTGGACATCATTAGCCGAGGAGATTTAAGATTAACCCTTACAAAATTGACGCCAAATGTTGATAATTTATTATTAAAGCATCAGGTTCATCCTTCTCACTAAAAATATTGAATTATTGCTTATGTTATTTTATTTATAGTTTATTTTATGTCTATTGGTGTCTGACCAATAAATGCCCGCATTGAGAATAAGTGCCCGCATTGATTGTTTCAAAGAACCCCCCTTTATAGAAAATATTTTTTTTATAAAATTATTCTGAAAATTCAAGGAAGGTACACACTAAAATTAGTTAATTTTTTGCCTATTTTTAGATAACTTAAACGTATAAGAAGCGGAATTTAATCAAACTAACAGTGAAATTATTGTAGATCATACGTTTATGTTATAATTAATAAACGAACTCGCTTATTGTACTATTTTAAGTAAAAAACATTTTTTTTATTATTTTTCACTTTTTTTTTATTTTATCCCTCAAATTTTTTTTTTCAATGCGGGCACTTATTCCCAATGCGGGCACTTATTGGTCAGACACCTGTTTATTTAATGTTACGTACCTATATTTTACATAACAGATACAAAATTTTATTTTGAGGAGTTTTAATTTAAATTCAATTAATAAATGTATAAATTAACATGTGTTTTTACTTTAAGTTTTTAACACTAAACTTCACTACAGTTAGAAATTTACAGGAAATCAATATCAGGTAAGTAGGGGGTCTACCTAACACGGAAAAACATGGCAAGGGGTCTACGACACAAAAAAGTTTGGGGAACTCTGCACTATAGTCTAATCATATTAGACGAAAATACCCCTGGTTTGCGAGATAATTGTAAAGTCCGGTGTTATCGTCGTAAGTTGTTCAAGGGGGTATTCGAAACATGGACGCATAAAATGGGTAAACCAATTTTTGCGGGTAAACCTTTTTTTCGACAACAAAGAATGAGAAAACGTGTTTTTTGGGATTCAATCGAAAGTCCAGGCATACCGAGGCAAACTGCAGGTTCTGGCACTTGTTGGTAATGCGACGATGGTTTCTCGCAAATATTTGAAATTCTCCAGATTCGTAGGATTCGTACTTCTTAATAACCACAACAAAATTGGAGTAGATTGGTCAAGTAGTTTTTGAGAATTTTTAATTGGTTATCCCAAAGCACCTGTTTTCAGGTCGTCACTACTAGTTTATTGAGCAATATACAGAGTTGGTTCAAAGGGCATTTTATAGGAAAACACACTAGTTTATCTTGCCAATATATACTAAGTGACATATAAATCCGAACACCCAGTTTAAATGGTTTTATTTTAATAAAATTTTGTATAAGTACTTAATGAAGCATAATAAGTCAATGATAAAAATTTCAAAATGATTGCACTGCTTTAAAGCCCTTTGACCTTTAATAATGTGTGGATGCACGCTGATGTGCTACGCATTCTCCAACGCGCCTAGGCATGCTTCTGATCAGGTGGTCAATGTCCTCCTGTGGTATCTCATTCCAGGCAACCACCAACTCCTCTCGAAGTGCTTCTAGAGTCTGAGGAGGACGTTGCAAATTGAGCAATCTCCTACCCATCATGTCCCACACGTGCTCAATTGGGCATAAGTCGGGAGATCTTGGTGGCCATGGTAACAATGTGACAAGAAGTCTATTGTGACTCTTGCAACATGTGGTCGGGCATTATCTTGTTGGATAGTTGGATCTGCCAGGGTGTCAAGATAGGGTAAAAGATGGGGTTCTAGAACTTCGTGGATATGACGCTGCGCGTTCATGTTACCTCTGATGAAGATTAAAGGTGACCTGGAACCATAAGCTATAGCACCCCAAACCATAACTCCAACAGTGTGATGAACATGTCTTTCAACAAAAAACTGTGGATTCCTCCTTTCACCACGTCGCCTTCTAACCCTATCACGACCATCGTGCATGCCTAAACAAAATCGAGACTCGTCACTAAAGACAATACTATTCCATTCCTGATCCCAGAGTCCCGTTGTCTGCACCACTCAAGGCGATTACGTCG